GCTACCAAGTCCGAGAAGACCGGTACTACCCCCGGCAGCGGTATTGGTGACCTGTTCGAGGATGGATCGGACGGTGTTATCGGTGGTGAGTCTGGTCCGGCCGACCCTACTTTAGTGAAGGGCACGAAGGCCCCTACTGAGGAGACAGTGCCTGTTTCGAAGACTACGAAGGTACTGCCTTAAGTTGCGGTGGCAGCCATTCTAGCGTTCGTAGCGAATTGTATTGTGCACGTATCAGTATCTGTAACTGTTTTTTGTCTGGGTGTGGCCGTCTCCTTGACTATCTTGACTTCGTACATGTACTGCACAGCGCACATCCATAGGTAGCGGCGCGTTAACGAATTGGTGGTTGTGAAGTAGGAATGGTGCCCATGACGGCGCCAGAGAAGTTAATTTAGCCCTAATGCAAATACTAGTACTAAGTAGCACTGTAGTATTGTAGTACTTCGAAGTACTTCATAACGGCAGTCCGTACTTTACTGCATTCTGTTCAAAACCATAATCTAAGGTTTCTTCTTTTGTTTTTGTTTTGTTTTTGGTTTACCTTTCTGAGTCACAGACTGCACCACATCAAGCGACATGTTGCAAATGCACGATGTAAAGAAAAAATACAATTGAACATCCTCGAATTTGACAATGCGTGGTTCCTGAAATCAGTTTTTCGGAACAGAATTTCTGCTTCTTCCTTCAGCCTGAAGGGAAGAAGCAGAAATTCACTCAGCTGGATTGTTCGATCAGACCCAGACTGAGGCACGTTCTTATTTAAATCCTATTGGCTCTGGCAGGCTGGCTCGAGACTCGAGTCAAGCAGGGTCTCTGCGGTGTACGATGTAGACAAATTACACGCCACTGGCGCCACGTATCCGAATTGCATACGAGTATTTCGGCAAGATATTAATACTGTAAACGTACAAACCTGCTTAATATTTACTGTTAATACACTGCTTTCCATAGCTTTGCAAGTGCAAGGTAATATAAACTTTATAAATTATTAATATAGTGCAGCAACAAATGTACAATCGCCCTGATTCCAGGCTCGGGTGCAAGCACCGCTTTTATATGGTACTTCGCATTAACGTTGGTAGGGGAGATTATGCTGCAGAGCGCATGCCAACTCTGCGTACAAGAGACCGCCGTCGGCATCTGGCTGGTTCGGGATTCGGTATTAAATTTAAATTTAATACCGAATCCCAAATCAAGACATTAAATCTTAACTTTTGTTTAGAAAAGTTGTACGAATGAAGTTGAGGTCTGTCTACGATTTCTGGGTCCATCTTATTGAATACATTTAAGAGCTCATCTAAGGGGATAATAGCTGTGCACTTCAAAAGGCATCATTTACACTGTTAGCTGACAGCGATAAGGTTGTAGCGAGCAAAGCCCTATTACATATAATATCCTAAATGCAATTTTGTGGTGTTCCTTGGATTTTTAAGACGAGTAGTGTTACACTTCTAATACCGTGTAGTGTACATTCCTTTAATGTTTTTTACAGTGCCGCTCAGTATTCAGTCCGGATGTATACTACAGCAATATGCCCCCATTTTTAGCTCGTAATCCCTAGGAGGATCTGTCGCGGATCTGGCTTTGAGATTTTACCGATCAAACGCAGCAGCATAAGGTTCGTCGCAAACAGACCGCCATCTTGACGGATGGGGTACATCATAGTAGTGCAGAGGCGATAGTAATATGCAGTAAACTATGATCAGTAGTGTTCTTAGGATGGGACTCGCTCCGGATTGTACGCCGCGAGATACAGACCTGGATGGTGTAGGGATGGAGGGCACGTGCTTCCTGCTGCTCATTCTCCATTTCGCGAAGCACAGCACACATCCAGCGCCTCCCGAATCAAATAAAGAAAAATGAAGTTTGCTACTGGACTTGTTCTTGCGGCTATTGCCGTCACCGCCGCTAACGCCGGCAACCCGGCGTACCTTCGTTCGACTGTCTCGGACGACGCCAGCGGAAGCGACGACTTCGATTTCTCGGACTCGCTTGACGCCAGCGGCAGCGATGACCTTCTGGACGATGAAGACCTCACGATCGATCTGACGGACCTGTTCGGCAGCGACAGCGACAGCGAAGATGGCAGTCACCTCAAGATCAACATTATGTCTCTGATCGGCAGCGGTAGTGACCAGGTTGACATTCAGGACATTATTGATGCCTTCGAGGAGGCCGAGGGATCGGACGCCAGTGGCAGCGACGATCTGTCGTGGCTGCTTGACTCGGACAGTGGCAGTGACGATGATGACGAAATCCTTCTTAAGGGTGGCAAGGGCAAGACCCTTGTTGACGACTCTGGCAGCGACGATCTGTCCTGGCTTCAGGAGGACGATGACTCGGAGTCCGGCATCGAGGATCCCGTCCTGGTCAAGGGTGCGACCAAGGGCAAGGCCCCGGTTGTTGATGACGACTCTGGCAGCGACGATGATCTGTCGTGGCTGCTTGACAGCGACTCGGACTCTGGCAGCGAGGACCCCGTTCTAGTGAAGGGTGCCACCAAGGGCAAGACGGCTCTTTTCGACGATGACTCTGAAGCCGAGGACCCCATCCTTGTGAAGGGAGCTACCAAGGGCAAGACGGCTCTTTTCGACGATGACTCTGAAGCCGAGGACCCCATCCTTGTGAAGGGCGCTACCAAGGGCAAGACGTCTCTTTTCGACGATGACTCTGAAGCGGACGACGAAGTCCTTGTGAAGGGCGGCAACAAGAGCCCTGCCACCAAGTCTTCTAAGTCTACCAAGACTGGCGAGACCACGTCCAGCTCGATCGGAACGCTTTACGATGACGGCTCGGAGGGCACCATTGGTGACACTGAGGAGGACCCTATCCTTGTTAAGGGTGCCACGAAGGGCAAGACTCCGCTGTACGAGGACGACAGCGACAGCGAGTCTGCGTCGGATGAGGAGGACCACTTGCAGACGGAGCAGTCGGATTCGGCTGCCACTAAGACTGCTACCAAGAGCTCTAAGACGCTCTGGTAAGTTTAAGGATCCTTTTTAATGTACGTTGGTCACTTGACAAAAATGTACGTAGGTCCTTCTCGACATGAATTTGAGACTTCGTATGCCTGCATAAACGTATTTGTAGATTGGTCGTCAAAACGAAGTGACGGTCTAAATATCAATACAAACCTTAAGAGAAATACTGGAGAGCCGTTTGATGCATAAACTGATGTCCTTTTTCAAATTCTAAAACTCGTTTGACTTGGAATCTGTCTGAAAGGGGTACCGTGTACCGTAACCCCTCTTCCAGATTTATTCTTTTGAACTTGTTTTGGACGTCCCAGAACCCATCAACCTCAACATTCTGCTTACTCAACAGAACAAGGAACTTCCATTTAAGAACGACGAAGATGGAGGACCGAGCGCCTTCTACCACGACGACGGCACTGCAGCTGCCCATCCTTCCTTTGGATGGCAAGGTGCTCTTCCCGCGGACGTATTTGCGCCTGGCCATCACGTCCGCGTCTGCGCTGCAGCTTCTCAAGGACTTAGTGTGGGAAGTGCGTTCTCCCAAAACATCCAAGCGGAATACAGGCGACTCTGCGGCCTCGACATCGCTTACACTGGCAATCTTCACGCGTCGCGACAGCACTGATGGCGAATCAGATCCCAGTCAGCTCCTAACCACAACGACGGAGGCCAAAGACGCAGTCTACAGCGTTGGGACTGTGGCGCGCGTCGTGCAACTCACGCGCATGCAGGGCGGCGTCGCCGGGCTCTCGGTGCTTGTGCAGGGTCTTCACCGAGTGCAGCTACAGGATGTGGCCCAGACTAGACCATATCTTGTGGGTTTGGTCCAGAGAATAATGGCTCCAGTGCCCGTTAAGGGAGCTAAGACGGAGGAAACAGCGCTTACATTAGAGCAATTAGCCCTCAGACTGAAGCACTTAACGCAGGAATATCTCGAGACAGCTAAAAGCGCGCCACTGTTGCGTCGAAGTAATGGACTAGTGGACGCCATTGGCAACTCGTCGGCCGGAGAACTGGCTGACGTGGTGGTGTCCTATCTCAATGTAGGAGTGGACGAGAAACAGCAGGTGCTAGAAGCTGTGCCCATCGCTCTTCGGTGTGAACGTGCCGTTGCTCTATTAGAGCAGGAAACGGAGAAAGCGCGATTGCAACGCAAAATCCAGAGTGAGGTGCAGGATAAGTTAGAAGGTACTCGCAAAGAGTTTCTTCTCAGACAGCAGCTTGAAGCCATCAAGAAAGAATTGGGAGAAACTGGAGATGACGGAGCTGGAGGAGACAATGCAGGCGAGATCAAATTGCTAGAAGACCGTCTTAACGCTCTGACACTGGACCCCAAGGCTTCCAAGATCGCTCAGCGTGAGCTGCGTCGACTGAAAGGCATGACTGCGATGCAGCCAGAGTATGGCATCCTCCACAATTATCTCGAGTTTTTCTCTGAGCTACCATGGAACACATCTACCGCGGATTCCTTAGTGGTGGAGCGAGTTCGCAAGCAACTCGACGCAGATCATTATGGACTGGACAAGGTGAAGAAGCGCATCACCGAGTACATTGCTGTGCGTAGTCTGAAGCGTGATATGCGCGGTCCTATTCTGTGTCTTGTTGGACCTCCAGGTGTCGGTAAAACTTCACTGGGACGCTCGATTGCTACGGCCACTAACCGCAAGTTCGAGCGAATAGCGCTTGGTGGAGTTCACGATGAATCAGAGATCCGAGGCCACCGCAAAACGTACGTTGGTGCTATGCCTGGATGCATTTTGAATGCTCTTCGTCATGCTGAGACCAACAACCCGGTATTACTGCTGGATGAGGTGGATAAGCTGGGTAAGGACTTCCGAGGTGACCCAGCTAGTGCACTGCTGGAAGTGCTGGACCCCCACCAGAACAACACTTTTAGCGACCATTATCTCAACGTCCCGTTTGACTTAAGTCGGACCCTTTTCCTTGCAACAGCCAATAGCTTGGACACCATTCCAGGACCGTTGCTCGACCGCATGGAAGTCATTGAGCTAAGTGGTTACAGTGTGGAGCAAAAGGTGGAAATCGCCCGTCGTTATCTCCTTCCACAGCAAATTGAGGCGAACGGTCTACTTGAGGACATGGTACGCATTTCAGATGAAGCGTTGCATTACCTTATCATGCGATACACACGCGAGGCTGGAGTACGTGACTTGGAGCGGCAAGTCGGTGCACTCTGTCGTTACGTGGCTGTGGATGTTGTGCGCGAACTGGATGAGAGTGATGAGAAGCAGAAGCTGGAGGATGTCGATAACTCTGATCGGCTGGCCTCGTTTGATCCGATCTTCATCGACAAGAAGATGATCCGCTCCATTCTTGGGCATGAACTAGTGTTTAATGAAATGGCACTGCGCTCTAGCGTTCCTGGGGTGGCGACTGGCATGTCGTGGAGCACAGCGGGAGGTTCTATCTTGTTCGTTGAGGCCTCATGCACACGGCACGCACCCTCTGATAAGGTTGTCACGTCGTCTACCTCAGCTTCGGTGAATACAGCTCCTACCTTGCAACTCACTGGCAAATTGGGCGACGTTATGAAGGAATCAGCACAGCTCGCACTCTCCTGGCTGCTGGTGAATGCACATCTGATTGAGCTTCCAGTGGAAGAGAGCACGTCAGCGGAAGCCGGCGAGTTGTCGGGCCCTAACACTCTGTCATTGGATGGCATTTCAAGTGTCCATGTCCACTTTCCTGAAGGAGCCATCCCCAAGGATGGTCCATCTGCTGGTGGTGCTATTGTATGTGCTCTACTATCGGTGATTTCGGGCCTCTCGGTTCCTGTCGACATCGCTATGACTGGAGAAATCACCCTGCGCGGCGTCATTCTGCCGGTCGGTGGCATCCGGGAGAAGGTCCTGGCAGCAATTCGCGCTGGTATCAAGCGAGTGATTTTACCGCGTGGAAACAAAAGTGAAGCCGAGGAATTGCGCAAAGAGTTCACAGGTGTATCCACTGGAAGTTCACGCGAGCGCAATGACCATGTGCAGTTGCTGTTTGTGAGTGACCTGCGCGAGTTGATTCAGCTTGTCTTTCACATGAAAGTCCGCAAGGATCCTGGCGTGCGCCGACTCAAAGGCACCAGAGCTAGCGGAGGCGTTGACTACACATCGGACCCAGTGCTACTCAGCATGTTGTAGTCATTGGATGCACTATCATCGATTATTTTTTTTTATTGATTGCAATGAATAACACGAAGGGTTTGTCTTTGATCGTCTTGTTAATTTTTTTCCTGGGTACTATTTGTACGAAGTAGGAACCATACACATCTCTCTTGACTTGGCTTCACTAGCCTTGGTTGACACCGGATTAAGTGGTGCTGAGAGGGTTGAAGGAGTTTGTGACGTATGGATAGTACTCAACCTGTGACGATCCTGAAGAACCCTCTTCAAGACCCGAGAACTGGGCCGGCTGTAGATGCGCATACTTCTTCGCCAGCACAGCACGCAGCTTCTTTTCCTTACCTGAATGCGGCTAAAATAAATGACATGCACATGTTAGAAACATATTCGTACGTGCTCTGGACTATACGATAGGAGCAACGCACTTTGTACATGGCAACAACAAAGTTGACTGGGAGGCCGTAGCGAAGCACAGATTCCACGAATACGCGAACCATCTGAGCTCAAAAAGCGACGTTGGTATCAAATAGATACTCATCATTTCACAATTACGCACCTTGATGTGCATCCACGCGATGAATGTCTCTCCAAAGTGTGCCTTGCACCAACGAATAAGCGCCGACCAAAGTCGATCCACCTCCACTTCCAGCTCGGCAATAGCTTCTTCGTTGGACGCGTGACTTGTCGGGTCGAAGTTGAACTCACGAACCACGAAACGCTTTTCCTTGGCGCGCGTCTTAAAGTCCTCGATGTAGTCCACCGTCGTGCCTGGCTCGAAGTTACCTTCCTTGTCCACAAAACCCGGTTGGTACTGGCCCTTCAGCAGTGTCACCGTGTATACAGCAGAATCGCCCTCTTCCATCAATTTACGCGAGGATCCCGGCACAACAGGAGATCCGCGCACGTTTCCACGCGAGCCCTTGGGACCATACTCTGCAATCTGGTCACCGATCTGTGCGTACTCAAGCTGCCACTGCTCCTCCAGATTCTTGGGCACAATCACCACCAGCGTTTGCAGATACTCCGTGTTGACAAAGTCCGAAGTGGACACGACGTCAGGCGTCAGCACATCGTTCAGATTCGCCACCATCAGGTTGCCACTATCAACCAAGCGGCAACAAGAGCAACATCAGTACGAATGCCCAGAAGCAGTAGCTCAGTTGTCCACGTACCCTTTCTTGCGTTGCAGACCAATAAGCTGCTGTTTCTTCTCTGTGTAGCGCGTACTCAGTTGCTTCAGTTCTTCTTCAATTTTACCCACCGACTACAGAAAAAAAATTAGTGCACCAATTATTTCTCAACGAGGCAGAATTGCCTTACCGATTGGATAATGCTGACGATCTCGGGCAGCGGTCGACGGTGCGGATGCTTGGCCTCGTCCCACGAGAAAAAGCCCAAGTAACGCTCCACCGGCACTGTACCATATCAACATTTTATCAGTTAGCATGCCTATCTTTTCAGTGTTATCAGGTCCGTCGCACCTCCGTCCACTGTAAGTGCTTGGTCACCCTTGTTCAAGTCGTGGAATTGGCGCTCGATCTTGCGCACGACGCTCTCAATCACCATGTCCACGCGGTTCAGGTCGTCACTCAGCGCCTTCAAATTATTAAGAACCAAAAGATCAGAATGCAGTGTGTGTCACCATCCGATTAACAACATATAACGCACCATAAGTGAGTCAAGTGTTCCCACTAGTAGATCCGACGGAAGCTCCACGCGAACGCACTCTACAGCGTAAGAGGAGGAAGGGGCGTAAGAGGGAGACCTTTGTGGTTACTTCCATTTCTACAGCTCATTACCGGCGTAGTCATGGCGACTAGAGGCTGTCTCCGCCTTCAGCGACAGAAAAGTCGTCTCGGACGAGCTGTTGCCTTCGTTGGGCACGGACACTAACCACACGCTCATGCTCGTCGGGCTCCTCTACAGGCTTAAGTCTCTGCTGCGATGAGATCCTTTTACGAACGTACTTAGTGTGGTAAATCGCACTTTAGAGGGAACCTTGACTTCAACTTGAGTTGGATTTCTAACTTTGTAGGAAGGTTGTCGTTATTGATGAATTTTACCAATCGGTATTTATTTCTACATTCAAAACACAAACTCGAGCCACATCAATAGGTTATCTAGATCATAACTGTAAATTGATTCATGCTACAGTACCACCATCCATCGATCCACAAACTGATAAAGCAATTGAGTTAGAAAGCGGCTTGATGAGAAAGGCTGAGGGTGTCTCTCAAATTCTCAAGAGGGGGGGGGGGGTATTTATTATACTGTCAGAGGCTGCGGCGACCTAAAAGTGTACCGGCCACATGAACGCGTTGCTTCACAAAAATACATCGCTCACTTCGCAGTGCTTAAACATCTCCAATAATTCCCTCTTGAGTCTGGCGGTGATAGAATCTGTAGTGACGCACATTTGGGTAAACTGCCAATTTCACCTCAACTTGGAAGCATTTTGTGCAAACGTGTGTTCTTCTTGATCCAATCAGATGAATCACTTCAGTTGGATTCATATTCGCCTTATCGACAACGATAGTCTTGGCATCCGCAGGTCTGGAAATCTGCTTTGATTATCCGATAAACACGTGCTATCTTTTCCAGCAATCATCGTTTTCGGCGAATCTACTTGAGGTAGAACAAAAGAGTAACGAAATGCTGCTTTTAACTCATTCTCCAATTTGCAGATCAGCATCACGTCCGACCAACCATGAAGACTGTTTCCTACCTTGCTCTCCTAGCTGTAACAATTTCGTCGACTATTGCCGATTCCCCCGCAGTTTCCTTGCGCTCCGTCCCGATGGCCAGTGCGATGACACACCATGCGGGGAGGAGGACGCCCCCATTTGTTGTACTGACGGAGTTACCTACGCGAACGAGTGTGAGTTGGGCCTTGCCTTTTGCAATCATCCGGAGCGCGGCATCTCGCTGGTTTACGCTGACGCTTGCGGGCCGCAAGTGACTGTTGCAGTTTGATATGTACTCAAGCCAGAAGCAGTTAAACTGCGAAGACCAAGATTGTCTTTGTAAATGTCATGACATTGCAAGTCGAGTGAGCAAGTAACGCAAGATACAGATAATTTCCCCAAATTTACATTTCCGTTCTTTTTAATAGTACTTAATAAAACTAACCAGTACTTCACTTCATTTTTTAAATAAGCAAAAGTCACCGGTTACCCTGCACTGCATACTTCATGCTTTTCACATCGGTCGTCCAAGAACGGCCGAATGGCGATTGAACTTCACCTGAATAATATATGCTCACTGAAGTGAATGAGGCGACTTTAGCTGAATTCTTCTCCGTTATTTTTTATCGATTTTTTTTATTTTGTAGGCACAGCTTGTAAAAAAAACAGGTTTTGTACGTGTACATGTATAAAAATCACTGTATGAAACAAAGAATTCTATTTTTTAAGAAAGAAAGTAATATTCAAATATTAGGTGCGACGACATGGTATGCGCGGAGGACAGTGCTATAGTCTGTGGCTCTGACGGAGTTACTTATCGGAACAATTGCGAGTTGGGCGTAGCCGTCTGCAGAAACCCAGAACGCACCATCTTGCTGGTTCACGATGGTCCTTGTGGTCCGCAGGCGTCAATTGCAGCTTAACCTGTGCCCATACCAGGGGCAGTCTCATTGCTATCAAGGGTGTTGTTGCTCACAATTCGCAAGTAGCCGATAAAGAAACAAGCAATAATAAAGAAAAAAAAGTTTTTTGTGGTTAAATGGCCTTCATTTTTTTTATAAATGGTAATTTTCAAGAATTCTAGAAAGGATTCATTACAAAATCTACCACTGTAGAGTTGACAAACTTTTGTTTAAATTACCATTCAATAGCAAAAAAAAAGCTCTAAATAAAAAAAGAATTCTTGACTACATGTAGAGTATTTTTTTTATTTAGAGCCGTTTTTTCAAACCAAAGTTTCTAAAAATGTGAAGCAACAAAAAAATAATACTTATGCATTTAGAAAAGTACAAGGGATAAGACATGGCTCGTGAGCGATGGAGTGGTAAGTTAGCAGCGCATGGTTGCGCAGCGAAGTGGTCATACTAACCATGACTAGGGCGTGAACGACACACCATCTGAGCAGGCAGCAAGTCTCCGGGGCGCTCTCGAGCCCGATCGCGCTCCCGCTCTCGATCGAAGGAGCGATCGACCAGGTCCGTTCCCCGCTTCGTTGACAAACTGAATTGCCACTTACCATTCGCCACTGTCCATTAGCCGCTCCGATCACCAACGAGGGCGCCGCCGCTCACGCTCACCTCGAAGTCGAAGCTACAGACGAAAGCACGAACGCCGCGCCTCCGTCACTTCGTCGTCCGACTCTTCATCGTCTCGCAGCAGGAGCAGATCCTCGGACTCGAGTGCCAGGAGCAGGAAGGAGAGGAAGAAATCAAATCACTCGAAAAAGAAGAGGAAACACGGAAGCTCTGGGGACAAAAAACGCAAACGAAAGTCTTCCGAGTCCAAAAAGAGAAAGAAAAAGCATAAAAAGAGTCACAGTAGACACGAACGCGACGACAGCTCGTCCTCGTCCTCTTCGTCATCGGACTCGGACACCGTTCGCAGTGCCATTTCAGGCAAGAAAATCAAGCGGAAGCTGGATCGGTCGACCACAGACTTGCAGAACCAAAAGAGTCGCCAACAGTTGCTGCAGTTCTACAACGGCATGTTTGACTAGTCAGTTTGGATCTATCGCAAAGACAAGCAGGACCTAAAGACAGGTTATCCAGACAAATGTACTCGTTCATTGAAACGGTAAACGGAATACGCTTTGTTCGCGTTGTCGCTACTCAAACTGTACGATCTAACTCGAACTGGTCGTGTAGGCGTTGAGTCCATAGGTCAGAACTTTGTCCTGAATGTCCTTGCGGTCGATGGGGCATGTTGTCATTCGCACAGCACAAGAAGCGCAAAGAACTTGGTGTCGACAGGCCAGCAGAACCACCGATACCGGCTTTTCAAAACACACAACACAGAGGTCATTTTCGCGCTGCTTCTCAATGGCAGCTCGGTACTTGGCTCGAAGAGCAGCGCGAACGCTCTCCACGCCGCGTGCCAGCATAGTTTCCAATTCTTCAAGATCGGCCAAGCTGCGTACAGCCAAAGCTTCGTCCTCTCCACGCAGAGCCGCATTCTGAGCAGTCAATTGGGAATTTTCTCGTCTGAGACTGTCAGCAATTGCCTTCAGATTATCTTGATACTCGACGCTGAGTTTGGCCTGTTGCTTGGCAAGCGTTAAACTGCGTTCGTTCATCGTGATCACCATTGCATGACGTCGAGTCTTCTGCTCGGTTTGGACGATCACGCTCTCCAGTTCTGCGATGCGAAGGGAAAGTCGCTCGCTGTCCTGAGACTTGGCACGGAGTTGGTTTGTCAACGTCATGGACCGATCTAGTGCATCGCGTAGTAGTGTTGCACGGTTTTCGTGCGACTTCACAGGTGGAGCATCAAAGTCGACTTGAGTGGATTGATTCTGCTTGAACGGAGTGACTTCGGTGTACTTTGGTGGTTCTTCTGTTTGTGGAAGTGGACGCATAGCTGCTGTTATAACTCGCAGGCGATCAGGGAACGACTTAGGGCGAACATCAGATTCGATAAATGCTAGCTTAACGTTGCGCTCGGGAGAATCGATCGTCGAGATTTGTGGAGAGCATCGAGAAGACCCCAAAATCCATTCTTGGTGAGCTGGTGAGAGCAACGAAACGCGAATCTCACGAGAGTAACTCTCGACTGAACGCTCGGACGAGATTATCGTGTCGGCGAGAAGCGATAGCACGCCTGCTTTTTCTTCCTCTGCATCAACTTCGTTGCCAATGCGAGCAGACACTTCCGTCTTCGACACTGTCACTTCTGGTACATGGACTTCAGGTTCAGGATCGATTTCGTCGAAGCTCACATCTGAAAGCACTTCTTCATTGTCGCTCACCAGACTCCACTCGTCCTCGCTGCGGTTCGCCATTTCAAAGGTTCTCAGTCTGGAGATGTAAGTTGCACAATGCAAAGCATGTAGTGTGTAGATGAAGGCGACTGCGATCCGAGCTCGAACTTGGTATGGAACGCCCACATGTATGATGGCTTGCCTCAAATTAGGTTGCTCTCCCGTCCATCTGACAAACACACAAGAGATCTGCATCTTTTGTTGGTGAAGATATCTGCCAGCATGGGATATGAGAGCCACCACATGATGAACATATCTGCCAAAATGGATATTATTAGTGTCCATACCAAATCTATAGGCCAGCTGGCTGTTGATTGAATTGCGTGGCCGCATGCTCCTGGTCGCGCACCGCCTGGACGAGCATTTGATTGAAGTCGCTCGGGTTGTCCATGAACACCTGGTGACCCGACATGGGCACCAGTCGGAAAACGGCATATCGGGTCTTTTCCAGCCGACGAACAACTGCCTCACCGTATTCCGAATTCATCCAGTCCATGCCACCACCGTACATAATGGTTAGCGGCACGTGAAGTTTCTCCGGGGTAAGAATACTATCCAATGCACGGCGTCTAGCACTTGCTCCCTGTTCGCAAAACAATCTCATTAGTACGACGTAGACGCAATCTTTATGGATGTATGTGTAAGACGTACCGGGTGCAAGTGTGTGTAGAATGCGATATCGCCCGAGGCCTGAAGAGCCCAGTTGTGGTAGCAATAATCTGTAATGAGACCGAAGTCCGCTTCCCCTGATCGAACGATGTTCGTCGCCGGCGTCCATTTGATGCGTTGACGCCACGACCATCGAACAAGACTCGGGCCTAGTGGACCCGCGAACCGAATTGCGCTCTACACACAACAAGTCAAATAGATACATTAGAGAACAAATACGAACTGAACTGGACAATGTTGCGTACCATTGGAGTGATGTAGAACAGCGACGTGAACCTCAAAAACGAGGGAAGATCCTCTTGTGTCAGGCCGCTGCTATTGACTCCAGCGGGCGAGATCAGGATAAGGTGTTCAACACGTTGCGGGTATTTCTCCGCAAAATAAGTACTATACATGGCCTGAATACAGCAGTTGTCGATGTTACATCGAGATGTTAGAATGACATTACACCACGAATGCCATGACCAACGTACCCCCATTGAATGGCCACAAAGGATGAAGCGATCGAGATTAACCTCACGCCTCCAGTCTTCTAAGGACTCTACAAAGAAGTCATCCATTTCTTCATCCGTCTTTGGATGCCATTTCGGACGGTCTGACCGTCCAATCCCTTTCCACTCGACTGCATACTACCAGAAATTACGACAACAACCGTTAATCTCACAATTTTCACACCATCACCATACTATAGCGGACGTACCACGTTGAAAGACTTCGCAAGAGTTTGTAGGTTAGCTGTCCAGAATGCGTTACCCGCGAGATATCCGTGCACGAGAACCAAATTCCTTGGCGGAAGTTGCTTGCTATCACCGCAATATGGCACATAAATTGTACCGAGACCTGCAACTTTCCTCTGCGAGAACTCCGTCACAATGAAGTGTTCGTAAATCTTCCTCTCGACCTTCTCCAGTTCATCTAGATCTGACGGCAGCCACAAATGCAAGTTGCAAATAGATAACCATGCTGGAAATAGGCAGCAGAGCGCTGCCAACGTCTCCACAATGGCTTTCTCGGTAGTGCCGCTCTCCAGACTCGTGAGGCTCACGCGGATGATGGCGTAGACTACGAGCGAAGCCGTCACAACACCATGAGCGACGTGGCTGTTGTGTCGCGGCAACAGCGAGAGGATGGCGAGGCCCAGAGTGATGACAAGCGGCCAGTCCAGCAGACGTACAGGAATGTGCGGGATGCAGAGGTACAGGACCCACGTCACGATGAAAGCTGTGACAACTACGGGCTTGGGCGGAAGTGTGAGGATGCGGCCAACGATGCCCCAAAGTGTCAGCAACAGCGCGAAAAACGGTGCGAGTAACAATAGCGCCACGCGGAATCCTGATGAGCGCAGTAGTGCGGGCGGCCCAGGTCGGGGAGATGGCGGTTCGTCTGAGTTGTGTGGCATCGACCCTGGTGTTCACGCGATTGCAAATTCAGTTTTGTCATGATGGAGGTGCGAAGTGAAGTAAGACCATCATTCTGAATTGAATCAAGGTATCTGTAAATCATAACCTTTGACAATGCATGCTATAAATTCTGATTAAAGGTATGAATGGCCTGTATTAACAGATATATTTATAGTTTTGATATTCTTTAGTTTATCCAGGTGTGTGGACAAGGACCATCATACTGTCGAATGGCCGCGTAATCAGTTTGTGGCCGCTGGTTATAGCTCAAGCAATCAGGAACATGCAATTGTCTCCATTGGAGACTCTCCTAGGTCTACTTGTATAGTATTAATGGTCCACGTTCACCAACACTTCAAAATCCAGGCTACATCGAATTAACTCCTAGCTTTTCAACTACGAAACGATTTATAGGCATTGTAAAGCGGAAGAACCTTCTGTGAAGAAGATAACGAGCCGTCTTCAATGGCCCGTAATCTTGCTTACAGATTGGACTAGCGAGCGGAGGCGAGTCCTTGGCTCATAGTGGCCTTATCGTGGCTGGCGAGTTCCCAGTCGTGCACCGCCGCAATGAGAACACGGTTGAAGGCGCTTGGGTTATCCATGAACACTTGATGCCCCGATAACGGGACAACGCGGAAGCTGGCATATCGATTGGCGTTCTGAAGACGCTCCACCACAGCTTCACCGTGCTCTTTCGGCATCCAGTCTGGTCCACCGCCATACATAAAAGTCACAGGCAACGTCCACTTCTCCGGCACGATGATCTCGGAAAGTGGCTTTCCCCGCGCAGCAGCTCCCTAAAGAAGCAGTGCAACATTCAGAAAAATCATTTCGGAAAGGGAGATACCAACAATAAACGTGACCGACTTACCGGGTGCAAATGTGTGTGCACAGCAATGTCACCGGATGCCTTTAAGGCCCAATTGTGGTAACAGTATCTTGCGAAAAGCTCAAAATCCAACTCGCCCATACGGATTGCATTGCTTGGCGGAGTCCACGAAACGCGCTTCTTCACCATCCAGTGGACCAAACGTGGTCCGAGGGGACCCATTCCACGAGCCGCCGACTGCACAACAACAAGAGTAATTTACACACTGTTAAGAAGCAACTGACATGTTTGCAAGCGACTGGCTCCGTCCACGCACCATTGGGGTCAAATGTAGTGCATAAGCAATTCGGCGACTCAGTGGAAGCTCTGAATGGGTCAGTGTTGTTGCATGGACGCCAGCAGGTGAAACTAAGATCACGTGCTCTAGCGTCTTGGGATACTTGGCGGCATAGTATATTCCGTATAGTGCTCCCATTGAGTGTCCGCAGAGAATGAACCTGTCAAGCTGAAAGATACCAAGCCACATAAAACTTTACTCGGCAATCATCACGACAGCGTATCTAAATGCGATCTCACCTTTAGTTCCTCCCGCCACTCCTCTAGTGACTCCACGAAAAATGCATCGGCTTCGGCCGCGCTTTTAGGCTTGAAAACAGGACGTAACGATCGTCCGATTCCTTTCCACTCCACGACATACTGCACGACATTAATGGTATCGTTAGAGAGCTCCGTCAAAAATTAATCGCCACAAGGTTACACTTACAACATCAAACGCGTTTGCTAAATCTCGCAAGTTCTGCGTACACCACCATAACGTTAGACCAAGCCGACTACTAAGTTAAGATACAAAGAAAACTTGAATTACCGCCGCCCAAAATGCATTTCCTGCGCCGTATCCATGGACCAGCACAAGTGTCCGAGGCTTCTTGGTCTCTTCTCCAGTATACGGCACATGCACTGTCCCCAGCCCAGCCACCGTGCTCAATGAAAACCCGTCTCCCAAGAAACTCTTGTAAATCTGGTGCTCAACCGTATGCAGCACATTCTCGTCCGCTGGCAGCCACAGTCGCAGACGACTCATGGAACCCCAGACCGGCACGAAGCAGACAAGTGTCGAGAACCAAATCGACAAGTCCAGAGCGCAGTATACAATGTACTGCACTAGAAGCACCCCGGCGGACAGATGCAGCAATGGGTTCTTGGGTAGGACCAGACTCAACGTCACACACACCGTCGCAACGATCGGAACTTGGACAGGGAGCACCCGCGACCCCCAAAGATCAAGCGTCCAGGATACCCACAGCAGCGCAGGGGCGGATACAGCCACCCGCCTCACCGGCATCGTGAACAGTAACCCCAGAATACCCCATATCACTGCGAGGCTGAGCCATAATGGCGACAGTACCACCGCCAGCAGCACGTTTGTAGTTGGCATAGTTGTGCACTTTGAAGTGAGCAGTGTAACGGTTACACGGTAACCCGCTTGCGTAACCCCTCTAAAAATGTTACGCGGATGATTGCTGTAAGTTACAACCTGTAACATGGGTAAGCTGCTGGCGTGGGGTGACGCGCTCTTCCTCGTACGCTGTGAGCTCGGAAAGCTGCAGATCCAGCGCTTAACCGTCGACGCCAAGGAGAAGAAGGTGTCGCTGCATCCTTGCAGTGTCGAAGCCGATAGAACCGCTGCTCTTCCAGTAAATGCACGTCTTGTGGCCGCCAAAGAAGTGGAGGATACTGAGCTTGCCGTGTATGTTCCACGTCTTGTATCGAACCTGGAAATACGCCCCAAAACTGCTGCGACTAACTTTTTGTATTGGTTCTGCTTGTTGCGCGTTGCAGTCGCTACCCGGTGCTGGTCTTTCACGCTTCAAGAAAGAATGATACGGAATTAACAATTGACAGTTCACCAGCCTCTCGCAAACGCCGACGGTCCGCGGAGGAAAAGGAGACATCTGCTTCAAATGATGACCTAGTACCACCCAGAGCTGAAGATCGTTTATTCTTCTGCGTTTTATACGAAACGGAGAGTGACGGTGAGATTGGTTTCAAGATACTGAACATGGTGGAAATTCCAACACATGTCGGAGCGAGTGATGATAAAGCATCTAGACACGATTCCAATTCTCGACAATATTTCCTGACGGACGGACCTTATGTGTTGCTCTTCCATCACTATTCGCAAGTGGCGACGGTGTTGAAACTGCGAAGGCGAACACTCGAGGGTGGTGACTTTGGATTTTACGTTTGGCTGGAGCAAGTGGACGTGTTTCATCGTATGGATGGCGATGCTGCAACGCCTTTTGATCTGGTGTCTTGTGTGTACGTGACTGAAACTTACTCTACCAGGCCACATATGCTAATACATGCTACGAGATCATCTTCTGAGGACAGGTAAGCTTTTATCGCAACGATGAGTGAATCGTTTATCCAATGTACCTTGATCCTAATTGGTGTATCGTGTATCTCGCCATTGTGGCTAGTGGAATTCACAATTGGAGTATCCTGGATTTAGACGATGAAGGACGAGATGGGATCAACAAGGCAACCTCGCAGTGTCATTACCTAAGCAGATTCAGTGATATTACGTTGAGCCCAGAGCAAGTTACGTGCTGTTGCTTCATTTCTGAAATGGGTGAGTGGGATTTTACAGCTTCGGCTTTCAGTGAGACAACTGCAATCTCGTCGTGGGATAATGGCCCAAATACAACTCGATCTTCTCGAACGGATATTGGTGTATCGACGTTAGTGGTGATTGGAACCACCACTAATACGATATATGTGCACGAAAACGGCATCCTGCTCGCTTCCTACGTGCTACCTACTCGACCAGCTGAAATGTACGTTTGGGCTTACGTTTTACCTCAGTTGAGGTTGCTAACACGTGTCGTGTGTGTCAGATGCGTTCTATGTGAGGATACCGTGAACCAGCATCACGTACTTTGTGTGCGGTGTGATGATGCAAAACGATCTTTCTTTATGCTGAGCTTTTCCAGCAACGTACAAAACGTCTCCATGGATCTTCTTCTCTGTAAGTTTTCTCGGCTATTATGCTACGTTTCTAGAATTGATAACTGACTTTGTATCGCCGTGTGATAGCTTTTAATCACGTAGGTCACGCATATACCGGAAACTTTGATGGCATTCACGCTGATGCATCGGAATCACCCCAAGTTCTTCTCCTGAATGACGTCTGTGGGGTAATTGAATCGAGTAACTACAGAGTTGGAAATGAGCTGGACGCCGATAAATCTGTTGATGACGGACAGCTTGTCAAGCGCAGTGTTCTCATCGCACAGAAACCATCCGCGACTGAGGTGAAGCTATCGTGCCATCGGCTGCGGCTACGTGAAGACAGTAAGTCCAAGCACGGCTCACGTTCCCGTAAGCGCTCTCGTAACAACGAGAAAAGCGGTGGGAAGAGCGATCCTTCTCGTTCTAAATCAGAGCCATTTCACTACATTGAACGCACCCAAAAGGCTTCGTCGCGTGACGTGAACCTGTTTGATGACGAGAGCGATGACCCGGCTAGCAATTTAGCTGCTTCGCAGGCGCTGCTTGGGAAGCTTGTAAGCTCATTGTCCGCACGTCTAAACAATGGGTTACTGGAGTTGAAACGCTTACAAGTGATCGTGGGAGATAAATATTCGCTGGCTCGTCAGCTTAACCAGCTTATCGCGCGACAGTGGCAAAAGCAACAGATAAGAGCAAATCAAGGCAAAGAGCACTCACTCTTGACGCCACTCATATCAGGTCAAGAAACTGGCAACCTCCCTTCAGAATCCATAGAGCTTGTCGATATGGAAACAATTGTCAGTGCTCCAAATGTTACTACAATCCCCAGAAACGCTGTGAAAGGTAAGGCAGTGGAGCACGCTTCGGGTTCTTCAATGGATGAGTGCAAGTTTGGGCTGCAAGTAGCACTGGAACAATTTCGTTTGCTCGAATACATACCGTCGTCGTCACTTATCTATGCTGAAGCCTACCTCAAGAATCTATCTGACGTAAGACTCGACGACACGTTTGTTGTATTGACCGCGCCAAGGGGGGTATCCGCAGAGGGATGGAAATGTACGTGCTCAGTGGTTCCTACTTTCTCACCTGCGGCTGATAGCGCAGCAGGGAGAGCTCGATTTCAGTTGGAGATTCAGTTTGCACCAACGTTTTCTTTTCTTCGAGAACGGAAGCCGTTAGAGATGATGTTGTGGCTCCATTGGAGTGCATCTCGAGAAGAACAAATGACTCTCGATTGGCGACCAAGTGAGTCTGCACTTGCTGTTGCACCAGTCAAGGTTTATCCCGGCGACGTGTTAAGTATCGGTCGCGAGACACCAACGAAATGCAATGACGGTGTTTGGACCAAAGGTATGTGTGCTTGTCTTGCTAGTAAATCCTGATACTGTCATTCATCTAACTGACTTACTATTCAGACCAAGAGCGATTGCTGTTCATCTCATCCGGATCAAATCTGAGCTCTTTGTTTGCAAAGCCGAGTTTCGGGATACCCACTTCCGCAGCTTTTGCCATTCGCCCAACGTTTTCGCTGGTGGATCTAAACGTGAAATCTCGCGAATTAGTGCTGTACGAGTTGAGCAGGATGGTCGCAAATTTACCGCCAGACGTATATGTGATGCGCAATCCGCTCGAACATTCCCACCTTCGAGCACTGCACAGTGTGTTGCGCTCGACGCGTCAAGAAATTCTCGCCAGTCAACAGCAAATGACCAAAGCAAAAGTTATCATGCAGGGGCAGCAGAATCAAAATACCAAGGCCGCTTCAATTCGCCGCTCGATGCAGCGCAATACAGACCTCCACGCTATCCGGTTGCTTCAAGAATTGCAGAAGCGTGTCAACTTTCACACGATGTGGTTTGACACTACTGCCACAGTTAAAACGTCAGATCAATAAACAAAACCGTAAAAGTCTCAGTTTCTAGTTTAAAGTGTAAAATAATGGCGGAATGGTGAAGCAAAAGCTACGATGTCACCGGACAAGCTCCAGGCTGAAGGTCAGCAATCTTTCTCTGGAGATCGCCCACCAACTCAGTGTTCACCAGCAAGGACTGCTCGATTCTTGACAGCGTCATTTGCAGACGCAAGATGACAAACACCAGAAGCAAGACCAAAACCCACGGAAACACTTTAACTGGAGCTGTGCGGACTCCTCCAGCTGGCATCACAACGGCGGTGGAGCTTCGGTGTCGGTGGCTTGGCTTGCTTCGGCTTCGGCTTCGGCTTCGGCTTCGACGTCTCATTATCGGTCCACGATCCTTTCTGACAGCGTCTTGCACAATCTCGGAAGAACTGCTTGATGTAGGAGGGCTCTCCGGAGCTTCTTCATTGACTCCTCTTGTGTCAAGGAACTCCTTGGCCATCCTAACCCATTTCTCCCACTTAGCTCGGTTGTCACTGATGGCACGAGTCTCGATTGTTTTCTTCCAAAACGTGGATTTACCAAAAACCACCTAACGGGAAGGCACTCAGTTCAGCACGATATCCTCGGCAACGTCATACAAAGTACTATGTAACCAAGACGTACCTTCAACTCAATAAATACTTTGCAGGCGTTGGGGTTTGATGACCGTGGCACGATAGTCCATCGATCCTCCACGCTGAAATAGTCACCGTAAGGGATATCCACAAGACGGGTCGAGCTCTCGACGACCCGCACGCCATGATCATTTTCTTTCAGGCACTGAAGCTGGTAATATTAAGTTACCATAAATTAGGAAAGAGTCCAAACTATTGTATGTTACGAGAGTTGAGACTTACCACATCAACCTGTGACGATTTTGGGCCGATGGGAGCATCGACAGGCACTCGGAATTGCAGCGAACGCGTCATGCCTGCCATGAATCAACAGGTTAGCGATCTTTAGTACACCAGTTGCAACTCTACAACTCACCAAAAGACTTCTCGTCTTCTAACGGAGTCATCCACGGGTTTATCGACATTTCAGTTGACCCAGTCTGTTCATTGAACTTGTCCAGTCCAAACGGTGCGTTGTCCAGATAAAAGAGCTCCATGAAAGTGTCAACCGATACAGGGAAGACCTCCTCAAGAATCTGTGTCATCGAAATATCCTTCGGTGCGATCGTATCCACATCCGAGACCACACTGCGTCGGCGCGGAGTTACAGGAGCTGTCTGGTCATCAGCGTCGGTCTCTTCATCTTCTGCATCGGCATTATCATTATCAGCAACTACAGCGTCGTCATGGTCAGAAACGGCAGCTTCTTCCTTCTCGCCCTCTTCTTCCTCTTCTTCTGTTTTGCTGCCTTGTGAAGGTGGAGGTGACGCAACGGGTGACTGTGATTCTCCAGAGACAGGAGACGTCGGCAGCGCCGGGTAATGCGATTCCGACGAGTTTACTGCAGTGGGGCGTAGTTCACGCAGCACTCGGTCACGTGTCTTAACAATAAGATCATAGCAGGTATCGCGGTTGTTGCCCCAAAAGCTCGTGAACGTGTACTCGTCCTTATCAAACGTGGCGAGGCGGATCGCATGTTGAAACATCATCGTCGTCGTCTTTTCAATTTCGCGAATGGACTCGTACGGGATCAGAATCTACAGACAGCAACAACAGCAAACAGTAAGACTCAGCATTGGTACAATCGTTTGCGACACCACGTTCGGGAGCCGGAAAAGCTCAGCGTCGAGCATTGCACATAAGCAAAGCCGAGCTGCAACCCCAAGAGAATACACTTGGGTGTATCCTTGAAGGTCCACCCTCTCTAACTATCTGACCTTTCTCTCGCGGCCAAACACGTTCGAGTAGAAGCACACATGCGAGCTCGTCGGATACATTCGTCCGTGCATAGCCAGCGTAGATGCGATGGCACACGAAAAGTCTGCGATAGCAACAAGCAGCGACACCCCGTTAGCACGTCTGTCCACCACGCAGTTGCAGTCCAACTGCAGCCGCTTCAGAGCCTTCACTTTCTGTGACTAACCTACCTTGGTAGAACTGCGTGGACTCGGGCAAGTCGAAGATCATGCAGATGACTTGGTCGCGCACTTGTTCCTGCTCCTTTTCGTCCTGCGTGGGGCTCTCTAATGGTAGAAATTCCTTATCAAGTGGCAAATTAAGTCGCGGTCGTTCGTCGCACGTGCTGGCTAGTGACTCCTCGTCACTTTCCTTCCTGCTGCGGTGAGAAGAGCTCATGCTCTTGTCCGTGAGGCTCGAGCCTGTGTGGTGGCGGTGCCGGTGGTGCTGCTGCTCAAAGCTTCGCCGTCTATTTTTGCGGTGGCGATGATACGCGTCGTCGCGTTCGTCCTCCACGTTGTCTTCAGTTGCGTGACGAGATCCGTGCCGGTGATCACGACGGTGGCGACTAGTGCGACTCTCGCGGCTGCTGGAGGAGGACACGGACGAGCTGGGTGAGAAGGCCGACGCCAGGCTCCGCAGAGCGGAGAGCTCCATGTCGTCTTGCGCAGTGTTGACACTTTTCGACACTGCGATGAAGTTATGTGATAAGAAAAGTGCGATCATTTAGAGCCACTTTATTTGAAAAATCTATACGTTCAGACCTGATTATCTGTACCAGGCGTATCGCACAAGTGAGGTGAATCCTGTCGAACTGCTCAGGTGCTCGACAGGTGAGCGGTGAACAATCGGGGACCTTCGTCCACGGAAGACCGTCCAAACGACTGAGAAAGGATACAGGTAGAACGCATTTCTGAAGTGACTTCAAGCAAATCGAGCTCAGAAGTGGAGCAGCAGTCTGCAACAACTGGTACAGGCACAAAGTAACATGCCGTGAATCAGAAGTTGATGGTGCTCAAATTACCAGCATCGTCACTTACAGCATCCACTACTGCGCCTGGATACTGGTGCAATCCACTGCAATGTCATTCATCAAGGCAAAAAAAAAATGATACTGCACTATGAGTTACAACTTCAACTTCGACAGCAAGTAATCGCTGCATCTCAAAGCTGTAGGCCTATCGACGCACCATTCAGCTACAGAATCACGTATCCTGGAGCCAATTCTCAGCGCTTGAACCGTGGATCCTCGTCCACCTTGTTGAGGATCTGCTCGAGACGGCGAGCCTCTTCCACGTTGCCGGACTTGTAGAACATCTGCATCTGCGACCGCAGGCGTTCCTGTTCGCGCATGGCTTCGATCTTGTCCTTATCCATGAGCTGCAGTACGAGACGGAATTCCTCCTGCTCCTTCTTCTCGCGTGCTGCCTGGCGCTCGCGCCGCACACGGTCTTCATCGGCCAGAGTATCCATTAAAGTCTTGTCGGACGTATCCTTTTGCTTCGCGTATGCCTTGCGCTGCTGCTTGTGGTAGCGCTTCATCTCGTACTTTTCAATATCGTAGTATTTTTCGTGAGGCAACGTGCACGTATTGTAGTCTTCCATGTACTCTTTAAAGAGCTCCATGGCCTCCCATTTGGGTCCGTTGAACTCGCCCATCTTCTTGACGTCGCGCAGCCACGCCTGGAACGACACACTCTTGCTGTGGAAGTCTGACTCGCGCAAGATACCGTACTTGCCATATTCGTCCTGGTTCACAGCGTGTTTTTTGCTGACCTTCTTGCTCTTTTTGCTTTTCTTCTTATCCTTCTTATGCCGCTTCCTGTCCTTCCGCAAGCTGCTGCGCTTGTGTTTCCGTTTCCGCCGAGATCGCTCGTCATCCGATCTGTCGGAGCTACCAGATTCCGAGTCCGACGAAGATTCCGACGATGAAGAACGCGAGCGAGACCGACGTCTGGAGTGGCGGTGGTGGTGCCCGTGTCTGCTGTCGTGTCTACTCTTCCTGTCCTCCTTTTCCTTGGGGCTGCTGCTACCATCATCCGAGTCCACTACCGTCCACATACGCGATCTGTGCTCTACCTCCTCCCGGTTTTCGAGCTTCTGTTTCTCGGCCCCTTCCGCCTTGTCATGCTTTTCATGGGGTCTATGCTTACGCCGGTGGTGGTGACTGTGTTTCGCAGAGGTCGAGCGACTCGCACTCCTGCTTCTGCTACGGCTCCGACTATGTCTTTCATGTCTTCGACGCGGGCTGTGGCTGCGCGATCGCCTGTGGCTGCCGCTGTGGTGCAGCTCTCTCATGCTCGATCAACCAGTTATGGAATCCAAGCGGTTAAAGAGCACACAGTTGAAGAGCAATACAGTTATCGAGTGTTTATAGCAAATCACCGTGTTGCCGATCATAATGGCCGAGGAGCAGGTTGACGACACCTCTAGTGGTGGTGACGTGCTCTCGCTGGGAGTGCGTGGCTACAGCTGTCAGATTTTCGATGAACCGGAGACGGCGTGGAAGCTTCATCAGGAGTCGCACCTGATTCCATGGCGTGGGGAGAGCGACGGCGACCTGCGCGTGGATCGCTTCGACGCGAGGAATCTGTTGGAGGACCGGAGTCTGTTCCGGCAGCTAAAGAAGAGAAAGCGAGTAGAGCCCGGAGGTAGAATGCCAGAGCTAAAAGTCGAAGGAGCTGGTGAAGGTGAAGAGGAAACAGAGCAGCAGATACTGCATCGCCTGCGCTTCGGAGACTACGCAGTCGAGTTCCCGCCGTCAGAGGAGACGTTTGCGACGGAGAACAAGTTTCCGTACCAATACGCAGAAGACGAAAGTGACGAGGAGAGTGATGGAGAAGCATTCGATCCGCTGTGGGAGGTGCCAGAACAACTAGTAATGGTAAGAAGCTGATCGTGCTGATAGTTATTCCAGCACGTTGAAGTGCATTAATATTGTATTTGTAAAGCCAAAGACCAAGAAGCTGCACGCGATTATAGAGGCTACAGCTAACAAGGTGCGGGGTCATCCGCAACTGGAAGTTATGCTGAAGGTACGAGGCCAAGCAGTTGTGTATCAACGTGGCCTTGCTAAGAAGTTGTACGCTTTGTATTGATAGGTCAAGCTCGGCGACAACAAAAAGTTCCGATTTTTAGATGCCTCGCACGCGCTTCACGCCTACTATTGCTTCTTGCGCGACGAGAACCCTCAACCAACATCAAAGAAAAGTGCAGTCAAGGTTTCGCTGTTAGGAGACGAGTATACGGATGTGCGTGAATCAAAAGAACCACTACACTCGAAAATGTGTAACAAACTCGATTTTTGTGTGTCCTTGTGACAGAGCGATGACGAAGCAGAAGACTCCACCAAATATGGCATCAACCACGAGGATGACACACATGAACAACGTCAGCAAAAGATGTCTCGGCATCATCAATAAGAGTCAGGTAAGCGATTCTTAGAACATCGTTTTGTGTCAATTTGTCTTGGTTCTTGCATACTCCTTATTCAATGAAAAACCCACGACAAACCCGAGATGCAGCGGACACATTGAGTCGACAACGCGATTCTACCGATGAGACGCTTACGGGAACAACCGCTTCGGGTCACGCGGGAACATGGAGGCCTTACGGATGTTGCCCAGGCCCAGGTACAGCATGACCACACGCTCCAGGCCAATGCCACCACCACCGTGGGGCAGAGCGCCTAGACGGAACGAGTCGATGTAGTTGCGCATAGATTCCTGAGGCACACCCAACTCGTCCATGCGCTGCATAAGCAGCTTGGGGTCGTGCACACGCTGAGCACCAGAGACGATCTCCTCGCCACGGATCATCATGTCGTACGAGTTGCTCCAACGCTTGTCCTTCGGGTCCGGCATCGTGTAGAACGGACGCACAGCCAGCGGGAACTTGTCGAGAATGTAGAAGTCGGTGTCGTACTTCTCCTTGACGAGGCGGCCCAGCCACTTCTCGTTCTCCGTGCTCAGATCGTCTTCAGGCTCCTGCTCGGCGCCAGCCTCCTTCAGCATCTTCACACCTTCCTCGAAGCTGATGATGAGCGAAGGCTTATTGTACTTGAGCGGCTCGAACGGGTACTGCTCGTTGATAATCGCCAATTCCTTGGCGTAGCGCTCCTTGAGGCCATCGAAGATGTAGATGAACAGGTCCGAGAACACCTCGAGCACCTCGTGGTAGTGCTCCTTAATAGTCATCTCCAGATCAAGACCCACAAACTCGCACATGTGACGGTGCGTGTTCGAGTTCTCGGCACGGAAGACGGGACCGATCTCAAACACGCGCTCGAGGCCAGCAACGGCACAAGCCATCTGCTTGTACGTCTGCGGACTCTGGGCCAGAGCTGCGTCCTGGTCGAAGTACTTGAGCGTGAAGCAGTTGGCGCCGCTCTCCGAGGCGCCACCCACGAGTTTGGGCGTGTGAATCTCAACGAAGTCGCGCTGGATGAGGAATTCACGGAACAGCTGGCCCACCGCAGCCTGGATACGCATGATGCACTGGTTGGCAGGTGTACGCAGGTCAAGCGGACGCGTGTTGAGGCGAGTCTCCAGACCCACGTTCACGTAGGTGGACCCCTCGGCCTTGACGAGAGCGTCGGGACGGGCAGCATCCTCCACCTGGAAGGGCAACTCCGGCAGAGCCTTGCTGACCACAAAGAACTTCTCAACGTTGAGCTCCACGTCCTTCTGCGTGGTGCTGAGTACGGGGCTGTCGGGCACAGTGAGCGTGACGAACACGTCAACGACGGACTCCTTGGGCACACCGGCCGCGAACTTAATCATGGGACGCGAGACCTTGTCACTCTCGTGCAGAATGGCCTGGATCGTGGCCGTCTGCTCGCGCAGCGTAATGAAGGCGATCTTCGACTTGGCGCGCACGGCCTGCAGGTGGCCACGCACCCAGAAACTCTCGCCCTGCAGTTCCGGGTTCAGGTCCTTGACGCTGCAGCATTGCAAGACACAGTCAGACCCGTTCAACTGTACGGGAAAACACGATTGCTAGCTACGTACGACTTGTAGTCTTTCTTGGGGCGCTCCTGCGACTGGATGAGCGGTAGCTCACCGTATGTGTCAGTGAGCGTGGGGCCAGCGGCAGCAGCAGCCGCTTTCTGGCGCTCAAGGATGCGCAGCTCCTTCTTGGTAAGCTTCTTAGGGGCGGGGGCGGGCGTCGCGTCAGCCATTTTGACTTGCTTTGGGTCAATCGGATTGTGACGCTGCGAGCCAAGCAGCAACGTGCGCTACAGAGGGGAAACATGATCCAATATTCTCTTGAACAGAGGTGAGGTACCGCATATCCGCCAATCGTCATCCACTTGTCGCAGTCAAAAAGACACGATTGGGTAAAATACCGCTCATTCGCTGCAGTCCACGAGAAAAATGCGAAAGAGCATCAAGCGCACTGTGAAGGTCGCTGCGGCTGCACCTCGCCGCTCGCCGCGTCTCAACAAGGCTTTAGCGCAGATCGAGACCATCACCACCGTGACCTCCGTCTCTGTGCGTGCCAAACGCACCCCGAAGCCGAAGAAACCGGCTAAAAGCAAGCAAATCTTGTCGCCATCGACGCTCTCCCGGATTTTTGAGACTCGCTACGAAGCCAAGGGCTACACGACTGTCATTGGCGTGGATGAAGCTGGTCGGGGGCCTCTAGTCGGACCTGTGGTAGCGGCTGCGTGCCATGTGCCGCTGGACGTGACGATTCCAGGCGTGGACGATAGCAAAAAGATTTTGGAGCCGCAGCGCGAGGCACTGTTCGAACTGCTGACCACCCACCCGAGTATCACGTACGCTGTGCACGTGAACAGCGCACAGCGGATCGATGAGATCAACATTCTACAGGCATCTCTGGAGTCCATGACAAAGTCGGTGAATGAGGTGGCAGAGCGACTACAGCAGAAGGATAAGACGTTCGTGCTCGTGGACGGCAACAAGCTTCCACCAACACTTGAACTGCCAGCTGAGGCAGTTATTAAAGGAGACTCCAAGGTCTACAGTATCGCAGCGGCTTCCATCATCGCCAAGGTCACGCGAGACCGCCTTATGCGCGAATACGACGAAAAGTTCCCGCAGTACGGACTCGCACAACACAAGGGATACCCGACGCGAGGCCACGTAGCTGCCATCGCCAAGCATGGACCATGTGAGATCCATCGTATGACTTTTGCTCCGTTGAAGCCTAAAGAGGCTCCCAAACCCAAGGCGAAAGGCAAGAAGAAGAAGTCCGCGTGATGAGGACTAATAGAACCACAAGGTATAATGCATCCCATTTACATGTATTATCTCTTGGAACAGTTTATAGATATTTTTCTACCCTATCGGCTACTAACAAAGAATTATGTACGCAGCGGAGTGACGCGGGCTGCTACCTCCGTTGGACTGTCAAAGCCACAGTCGCTGTGATTGCTCTCCAAACCTCGTGGAGAGCTGGCGAATGATGACAGCTCGTCCGTCGGGTTGCGCACGAACGACGGCAACTTGAGCGACGTCATGGCTTGCATATGATCCTCGAAGCACGTATCGCACACACGCTGGGCCGCCATGTAGCCCAAGTGAGGAAGTGCTAGCTGACGAGTCGAGTGCTCGTAACAGAACGAGTTGCCGCATTGACGGCAGTGATGGCGACGAACGAGAAGGTTAAATGTACAGTCGCACTCGAAACAGGTCGGAGCTTTAGCGAAGCGAGGGACTACGACTCCAGGGCGAACTGTCACCGATGGCGCATAGCATGAAGAAGAATTCGATGACCGCGTACGGTACAGTCCAGCGGATGCTGAGCGCCTGGGCATCGGGTGGCTGCCTTCATCGTCGCCCTCTACGGAGCGATTGTCGCAGTTCGGACTGTCAAAGTAGGCGGGTGTTCGACCGCTGGTAGCGTGCGTCATGCTGTGGGGTGCTGCAAAGTTCCAGCGGGAAGGACCTTGTCGACCACACGAGGTCAAAGGCGCAGGAACCCGAAGTGGGCTATCAACGGCGCGAGAACGACGCGGGTGACTAATGCACGAGGCTGGACCAGCATCGATGACATTGTTATCCACTTTCAACTCGAACTCAGGCAGCTGCAGTTGCAATTGCATCGTTTTTCGCTTGATCTGTGATGCAACAAGCTTCTGAAGAGCAATTTCTTGCTGCTGCTGGCGTTCTGGCGAGGGCTCATCAGCAGCAGCCTCCCGGATTTCTTCACGCAGTTGGCAGACTTCTTTTTGCGCCTCCGCCTCCTGCTGCCGCCACAGATCCAAGCTCTGACGTCGTTCACGGGAGCGAGAACCACGGGGTGATGCAGGTGGCGTCTTCTCTTCTTGCTCTGCATCTTCATTCGCCGGTTCAAGAGTAGGTGGTAACCTGAATTGGCGAGTCCGACGTGAGTTGGGCGTCTGCAGTTTGGGCTTCTGCTGGCTGAACGACAGATCGACAACGCAGCCTACATCACGACCATCGGCTGCGTTGGGGTTCCCACCGGTATCCATTCTCACAAGATCGTCCGAAAGCTCAAGCTCCAATTGGTTCTCGCAGTCGCGTTGGTTGCTATCGTCTTCTGCAGGGCCATTATCATTCTCCGATGAGAACAGAACAGCCTTGTGCGGAGATTTGCGTGCAGGATCTTCTGCAGTCTTGAACAAAGGGAACGGCTGCTGTTGACGCTCTTTACTGGCACTCTGAGCCACCAAGACCTGCATTTGTCGACGTAACTCAGCCAGCTCGTCCTTGAGCTGCGCGTTGTCTTCCTTCAGCTTGGCCACGTTCCTGCTCTCCTCACGCAGTACCTTCAATACTTGCTTGGCGGTACGAATTCGCACCGCGCATTGAAGCGCCAGCGTGGCACTACACAACTTGCGGTACTTCCGTTGAGCAGACGATCGACGCCAAGCTGTGGCGATACGTGTCACTGCACGAGCCTCACGACGTGTCTGCACCACTCGTACAGCACGACGACATCGGAAGCGACACTGCACTGCCAGCACTCCTGCACGCGCACGGAGGAACCTGCTTCGCGCACATAGCTGGCGCATTCTCGACTGGAGCACTCGAGCTTGTTGCATCGCACGCATCCAGCACACGTGCCTGTAGGCACGACGTCCTCGCACACGCGCTTGCATGGTGATCGTGGCTTGACGAAGGTGTTGATAGCTACGGCGGGCCACGAATCCTCTAACGTGTCTTTGGAGGACTAGGCTGGCACGTTGGCGGACAGCTACGCGCACATTTTCCAGCTTTTCGTACGGCTTGCGACGGAAAAAGACGCGGGTCTTGCCGAGACTGACACCACAGCGCATCTGACGATCCAGTTCGTCTTCATTCACATCTTCAATCTCTTCATTATCAGCAAGAAGAACTTGAGTAAGCTGGTGTAGACACAAGTCAAGTTCGCTCCAGTTTCTGTGCTTCCTTTCAAAGTCATTGTCTCCCCACTTATAAAGTGAGAGCAGTACACGACGATACCGTCCGAGGAATTGCTTGTGTGTGAGACGCACAGGGAACCCGGCACGGGCCACTCTCACAGCTTCAAGAACACCACCACTGCGTAGCTGCTCCACAACGCGAGTGCTTTGGAACAACGAGCCCACATGGGAGTCGTTCGGCTTGATGCAGCGCACATATCGAGGCGTTGTGGCACGGACAGTGCTCAATAACTCATTCAGTTGGATCTTGAACTGCGTCCCCACACTAACCGCTGCAATAGCTGACTTGGCACGTCGACGTGTCCGACCTCCGAAACCATCCAGCTCACTATCTCCATTGGCATCCTCATCATTCGATCCTGCAGCAAGAGCCTGGATTAGAGGGTTGGACGACCCTGCCAACAACTGAGCGGCACTCTCGCAGAAAGAATCCTTGTTTTTCGCAAGGAATCCATCGATAGTATACGTCACGCAGCCAGCATAATGAGCCACTACAAACTGTGTCGTGCGCTGGATCAGCGGAGCTGAGCGAAAGTGAGGGTGCGAGTTCTTCTTCTCAAATTCCAGGTAATACTTAGCCACGAGAGCACGGTCAGTGCCTTGAGGGAAGACGCACTCTTGGTCCGTCAGCGAGAAAATACCAATTGGCCGGTGCTCAAACAACTCGAGACAAGCGCGGTTATTAGGGAAATCGACAAAGCTCCAACGGATCCCTTCATCACGATACAATCGCTGTTCCTCCTCGAAAATGTACTGGTTGAACTGATGTTGCAGTGCCTCATTGGCATAGTTGATGCAGAGCTGCTCGAAGGAGTTTTCCGCCATATCTTCAAAACCAAAGATATCCAGCAGACCGATGAAATCAGTCGCGTCTTCCTCGTCATCCACGTCACTTTCGTCGTCACCCCATGGAGCACTAGCCTGTCGTTGAAGTTTGTTATTGACCCGGGCTACAAGCCATTCAAATAGAAGTCTGTAACACTCCATGGTTAATGCATTGCGAGTGTTGCGTGCATGGGCCACGTCAACTCCCACAACCAACGTTTCGTTGGATGCATGCAGCCAGCGCTTGGTCAGAGCATGATCTAGCGCTTCAGTGGACACCCCAAGTAGCTCGGCAGCCTTTGTAAAGTGGTCGAAAGCACCAGTCGTCGAACTCATCACACGTGCTTCGTCAGCGAACACGGTATCATCTCCCTTGTGCGGTATTTGTTCAAAGTCCACATTGCCCATATGCAACACAGCAGCCACGATCTCCAACACTCCGCCGATCTCACCTTCGCTCATGCCAAGCTGCTGCATGGCTCGCTTGGTCGCACGGAACTGCACGCCATCCTTGACGCCGTCGCGTCGCTTAGAGCACAAACTCTGATTCAGCAGACGGAAGCTTTGCGGCCCGCCACTCAGCGCCAGCACCTGCTTCTGCTCTTTACTCACGCAATTGTTGTCTGCACTGAGCAGCTCATAGAAAATGTGAAAGTTGCGTTCATGAGGAGCTTGTTTGATCACTCGGATCTTCTCCAACAGGTACGTTCGGATACGGGCGCCTGCGAGTCTCCGGCGTTCGTCGCGGAAGCGCAACTCGATGAACTTGCCGAACCGTGAACTGTTGTCGTTTCGCACTGTACGAGCATTACCGAAGGCCTCCAGAATGGGGTTGGACTGCAGAACTTGCTCTTCAATCGTCGTACGGGACGGTGACGCTGGGGGTGAAATGGATTCTGAATTTGTCAGGTTGTTGTTACCAGTGCCGCAATGGACAGCGAAGTACGTCATGATAATCTTAGTGGCTTCGGTCTTGCCTGCACCGCTCTCGCCGCTGATGAGGATAGACTGACTACGGCCGTTCTGCACGATGTCAATGTAGGCTGCACGAGCGACAGCAAACAGATGCGGCTCTCTCGGGTCTGTGGACGTGACGCGGTCGCCGAACTGCGAGTTGTGGTCGTACGCGTATCCTCGCAGTATTTCGTCACCATAGAGTTGCGGGAGGTCCTGGAAGGGGTTGATGGAGATGAGGATGTCCCCGATGTGTGTGTAAATGGCGTGCCGCTCGTAGCGCAGTCGCAGAGCATTGAGGATCGAGGCCTCGTGTAGGTGCGGGAGCGCCACTAGATCGCGCTGGTCTTGCTCGCGTGGCATGTTGCGCGGCAGCACGTTGATGCATTCGCCTGAGGACGCGAATGTCAAAGCCACATCTCGACGTCTGGATTCAGCATCGTCGTCATCGTATGAGCCGCGATGATTGAAGCGCGACGTCGCCGGTTTTTCTTCGCGTTGGTTCTCGAGCTCGACATTCACGGCTGCCTGACGCACCTCGATCACTCGTGCTGCAAGCCACACGCTTTCATCCGCCGGGTCGGCGACCCATACGCGCGCGCCCACGTCCATTAAGAGGCGAGGGGGTTCTGGTTACTCCGAGTTTGGATTCTGAAGCAAGAGGGGAGGACGCGGTGGTCACCGTCCGTTTCCGATCTTTATCTGTCGCTAGGTACGCAGAGACCAGTGGTCGTTGAGAGCGATCTTGCTGGTTCCTTGCCACTGCTTGCGTGCTTTATGTCTTATCGGGGAGAAGCTATAGTGGGCCATCGAGTGAGAGTGGCGGCTCCATTTGCGGCTCTCTCAGTTGCCGTTGGCCAAATTAGGATGCGCGAATATCAGGACATTTTTCGCCAATAGAAATCCAGTTGCACCGTTTAATTAGCCAATCGTTGCGTGCGCTGCCCGATCTTGAAAGGCCACTGAAATTTCTCATCGCCTTCATTTCGGCAGCATATTCAAATCAAGTGAGCAGTTGTAGGCAAAAAGGCGCCTAGATGTCCCAGCCGTCCGCTCGTATGTGCACTGCAAGTTGCAGGGCAGACACAACCGAACGAGCCGCTGTCCATTGCAGTGATGTCACTTACTCGCGCATGGGTCCCTAATTCGCACTCATTTTCACTGCTTGAAGGAGGCCGACAAGTTTGCAGCGCGGCTGCTCTCTTCACGCCTTTTTTCCGACCTCTGCGCCCTTTGGAAGCGCTATGCTAGCGTAACGCCCGAGGACCAAAATTGTGTGTGCTGCCGTCTGCAGCTGAGCTATCGAAGCCTCTGCCTGCAGTAACTGCATTGAGGACTTCACTAAAGTTGCTTGGGGATCCTCAGCGCTTGTCCATGCTGGCGTGGGAGTGGTACGTGTATCAAGCTCTCAAATTGAGTCAATCGAGCGACAAGCAACTGGTCTGTGCCAGCGAGATTGGATCGCGAGCAACGACAACTTCACAGCTAAACTTGACTTAAGGGCACTGTTCTCCTGATCCTTCTTCTCCAAGGTCGCCGTTTCGAGAACGTGGCTGTGACAACAATGAAATATTCCGCCGCCACGAACTTGGCATTGCACTACGGAGCGCGGGATGGAGCTTTTGCGCTTGGATCTTGAATGGCTATTGAGGAAACCACAATGAACATGTACAGGATGATGCGGCAGAGCATCGCTAGTGCTTTCGTGGTATGTAGTTCCAAATTGGAACTTCCGACACTATTTCGCAGTCACTACCGATATTTTCTTTAGCGATGCTCGCAGAATGCCACCACAAGCTACTGGATGAACTGATAACCGATGAACGCTTCGTCTTTTAGTCATACAACTTCAACTCGTATCATTATCTCGTCCTCCCTCCTCCTTGACTGCGCCGCTACTGGCGCAGCGGAGATGCCAAACATCCGTTCTGCAATACCTAGCTAAGAATATGGTGGCGATAGGTCGCACGACACACGGTTCCTTCCCGTCTGCAGTCGGCCGGCCGGGGCGCAGAATGCGTATGGGCCTTACGAGCTGCTCCAGCGCGCCTGGTTCACGTCATTCGCGTTATTGCCAGCCTGGGCGCCGCCATTGCCGTACTGGTGGTAGCTCTGCTGGTGCGCGCTAGGCTGCTGCTGCTGCTGCTGTTGCTGCTGCTGCTGAGGGACCTGCTGCTGCTGCGACGGAGACTGTTGGTAGCCCTGCGGCATCATGTGACCCCCCCATCCGCCCACTGGCTGCGCGCCGTAGTTACCTGCCCAGCCATAGTGCTGGCCGTACGAACCAGTCATGGCCGCCGACGCGTTAGGTACCGGCGGTGACACGTGGTCACGGCCTCCAGCGTTCTGGTAACCCTGCATGCTCGCGTTGCCGCGCTGGCCGTGTGACTGCTGCGAGCCGGATCCGCCGGCACCAGAGCCTGAGCCTCCCTTGCCGTGTCCCTGTGGGCCACTCTGATGACCGTGGTGGCCGTGGTGGCCACCCTGTTGCTGCATCGGCGCCTGCTGCATGTATGCGGCGTTGATCTCACCGAAGCCCTGGGGAACAGCTCCAGCATACTCGTGCTGCTGAGCCATCATGTGCTGGTCCTGGTAAGGCATGTTCGGCGGGTTCGAGAAGCCCGGCACGGGGCCCTCAACTCCATACGGCATGTTGCCGCGCGGAGGGTACTGGGTACGCGGGCTGTACTGAGCAAACTGTTAAGTAACAACAAGAAAGATACATCGTGAGTACTAAATTCACGTCAGACCTGTAAGCGTATGACAAGAAACTCACCTGCGGGTTCTGGTAGTATCCGTAGCCCTGGTAATAGCCAGCGTAGTTGTACGGGTTGTATGGCAGCGCCATGCCAGGCGGGGGAGGCGGAGCATAGTGGTAGCCCTGCTGCATGCCGGCCTGGGCCTGCTGATGCATCTGGGCCGCCGATTGTTGCTGAGTCTGGTTCTGCTGGTTTTGCTGAGGCTGCTGAGTCTGTTGCTGCTGGACCTGCTTCTGCTGAGATTGCTGTTGGACCTGCTGCTGTTGCTGCTGTGCCTGTTGTTGCAGAGGAATCTGCTGCATTTGAGCCACGGGCTGCTGTCCACGCGACGGAGACTGGGTCGCGACTTGAGCTGCAGCACCGCCGCGAGCGCCAGCGCTCTTCGGGGTTCCGGATCCAGCGGGAAGCTGACTGGGCGTTGATGTGGCAGCGGGACGACCAAGATCCATTGAGTATTGGCCATACGACGCCTGGTACAGACCCGTGCCGTAGCCAATGTTCATCTTGTTAGTCTGACCCCCAGCTCCTCCCTGAGCTTGGAACGGACCTCCCTGGGCGCGCGTGGGTGTGCCACGCTTGACCTCATCGGGCTTAGGTAGAGACGCCGGAGACGGAGCCGAAGGCGCGTACCGCGGAGACTGCCCCGTGGTAGGCGTCACACGGCCCGAGTCCACCGAAAGTCCGGGGGGTGCCGAGGTAGTAGCCTTCGTGGTAGTTACTTCCTGTGCGCGCTGCTGCTGCTGCTCACTGCGGTCAGGAGACAGCGTCTTCTTGGGTGAAGCGGGTTTCGTGGAGGTGCCCCAAGCACTCTGAGTCGTGGTAGTTTTAGTGATAGTCTTGCCACCACTGTTCGAGTTGGACGTCGTAGTCGTCGTGGTCGTCGATCCCCAGCCAACCTCTGACGAAGGCTCAAGCGTGTCCACGCCATTCAGCGAAAAGCTTCCAAACTGAAGCGACAGATTCGGCGTTGCAGCACTGTCCCATTTGCCCATCTTGAGATATGGCCGAGGACTAGTCGACGCTGATCCAGCCGAGCGAGGTGCATCAATGTCCTTAGGAGAGCCTGGAACAACTGTCGGTCTTGCTTCAGCAACCGGCGACTTGGGGGTGGAGGCGGCTTCCTTGCTAGCAGGAGGAGAGAGGACAGGGCTGCCACGTCCCCATGCATTTGGGGTCGACGCCTTCTTTGGCTCAGTGGCAGGGGCAGACGAAGACCACTCGGTCATAGTCGAGGTTGCTACATCCAGGGCACCCCATCCGGCAGCAATGTTCGACGAAGTGGTCTCCACAGTCGTATCCACGGTCTTTGTCTTCTTCTCCATCGTCTTCTTCGGCGATGCCTTAGGGCTGGCCACCTTCTCCACAATCTTCACAGTCTCGGTCTTGTCGACAACTACAGTAGCTTCTTCAACTGCATCAGTAGTGCTGAATTTCTGTGTCTTCTTACTCTTCTTTTCCTGCTGAGTCTTCTTCGGGCTGGTAGTCTTGGGGGCCTCCGGTGTCGCAGTAGCAGCAGCAGTCTCTGTTTCTGTAACAGGAGCAGTCGGTTTTTCCGCAGTCTTGGGCGCTGATGCAGGTGCAGGTGTGGGTGCAGGCGCAGATGTGGGGGCGGGTTCTACAGGCTTAGGCTTTGAGGTGACGCCGGTAACGTTCAGCTTCTTCGTCCAAGCGCCAGTCAGCACGGGGTAAACTACAGGAGGCACCTGAGCAGCAGGCTGCGTAGTGGTCGTTTTAGTGGTAGTTTTTGCACTACGGTCTCTCTTCGAGTCCTTCGCCGTTTTAGAGGACGGCTGCCCGCGAGTATCATTGGACGGCGTGGAGCTGTCAGTAGAATTGCTGTCGTTCTCCGGGCTCTCTTCTTCATTGTCTCCGTTGCGAGGTCCGCGCGTGCTGCCTGTGGCCACAACAGCGCCACCACGACCACGGCCGCCACGGCCTCCCCGACCACCCCGCGAGGAGGCCATGCCTCGGCCTCTCATGCTACCACGGCCTCGAGTCGAGAATCGCTCCAACGACCTGGGGCCCTGTGCGTCGCCATCCTGTGGCGCATCAGCGTCGTCCTGTTGGTGCTGTGTCTTCGAATAGGAGCGCTGCGATGAGGAGTGTGTTTGCTCCTGCATTGGTAGCAACACGAAGAACAAAATAATAAGACAAATGCAACACACAACCGACTGTTAGTACAGCAATTTGCCATTAGACAGAGATGGCAAACTGACGCACCTGTTTCTTCTTCGTGCTTTTCTTGGACACAGTGGCCCAGGCGTCCTGGTCGTTGCCACGGTAGTCTTCCCACAGCTCACTGATGGCGTTCTCCATTCGTTGCGCATCGCCCTTGCACTGGGCAATCAGCTTCTGGATCTGAATGTCTGGGGTGGCGGGAGGGCACAGCTCGCGGTATTTGGCAACCTGTGCCATAAATGGCGGGTAGAAAGAGAAGCAACGTTAGCATCATCGTATTAATGTAGCGTCTAAGCCACGTATAAGCCAAGGAAGGGCGGCATCTTACTTCGCGCGAGGCGTTTCCGCCGCTGGGGGCGGAGGAGATCTGTTCGTCCAGGCGCTGCATCTGCAGACCCTTCTGCAGGAAGTATTCGCGCTTGCTCATGTTTCTGATGTGTTTTCTGCGGTCGAGAGGGGCGGGGAGCTCGGGGCGAGCTTCTCGGAGGATGCGGGGCGGCGGGGGGCGTGCGCGGTTGGTTTCCAAAAGAGTGATGGTCCCCTTCCGAGCCAAACAAAATGTATGGGTTGTTGGTGCCCCCCAATTGATCTTACCCGGTCCCGCGGGCCCAAAGATCTCCTTCAATAAAACCTCAAAAACTACAAACAGGAAGAGGTTATTTATGCTGAAACGGCTGAGTGATCCCGCGGGCTGCTTGTCTTCCGTTTCTTGCTTTTCCCCTAACTCGCACGCGCGCTCACACGATTGGTCAGTTACGACATGAAATTCACGAAATATCACGTTACACTCGGAATTTCTACGGCAAGTTGAAGGTGTAAGAAGTATCTTAGTTATGGCGCGGAAACGCCCTCATAGCTATCTACAACTCGCCACATTCAGTGATGGTAATAGAGAGCTTGGGCTTGCTATTAGGCCCCACGGGCACACTCTCCATCTTGCGCAGCAGCAGCAGCGAAGCTGGGTCCAGCACCTTGCCGAAGACCACGTGCTTGCCGTCCAACCAGTCGCACGGTGCACAGGTAAGGAAAAACTGGCAGCCGTTCGTGCCTGGTCCACTGTTCGCCTGTGGTAGCAGCAACCATAATAGTGGAGGTGAGCAGGCAGCAACTTGACAGCAGATTAGAAGGAGTGAAGTCGGTGCACGCCTTACCATCGACAACAGTCCGGGTTCCGTGTGCTTGTGGGCGAAGCTTTCGTCCTCGAACTTGTCTCCGTAGATGCTAATCCGACCTGTGCCGTCTCCCTGCAGTTCACCGCCGTCATGTGAGCTCATGCGCCGGCAAGCAGAAACAGCCAGCTGCGCCTTACCTTTAGGAAGTCGCCGCCCTGCACCATAAAGTCTTTGATAACACGGTGGAACGTGCAGCCCTTGTAGCCCACCGGCAGCTCAGATTTCCTGTGGTAGCACAATGCACAACCAAAAGCAAGAGAGAAGCAACGCGTCAGTCTTACGCCACCCACTCACCAAGAGTATTGACTTGAGCAGCACATTGTTACCTGTACTCGCCCGTGCAGAATTGCCTGTCGTCATCACATTCACGAGAAAGCAGTTCTTCAGTTAGCACTGTTAACTGAGCCACACCGTAACCCCGCAACCAGTCAATGTCGCCCACCTGAAGTTCTCAACCGTACGCGGACAGTCCTTCTTGAACAGCTCCAGCCGCAGGCGGCCTACCGGCGCGCCTCCGATCGAGATGTCGAAGAACACGACCGGGTTGCCCCGCCGCAGTGCCTCGTTCAGTGCCGCGTCCATTATTGTCCTCGCCTCTCAAAAGTGGCAATGCTCAAAACGAGACTCCAGTTGGCATATCGAATTTTGGAGGGTATTCGCGATACTACTGAAAAGAAAATCCTGGAAACAGTTTGCAGAATCGGCCCCGTCGACTTTCTTCTCTGCAGCGGAATGACGCTCGAATTGTACCCCGCGTCGGCGCACGATGCGTTCCATGGGACAAATGTCCACTACCTGCGCGAAGTTGATGAAGCCGTGCAACAGATACACGGTGCTTGCAAGGGCCTGGGCACAGACGAGCAAACTTTGATCGCGGTGCTGGGCTCAAAATCACCAGAGACGCGCAACTTGATTTCTCTACGCTACAAGGAACTATACCAGCAGCCGTTGAAGAGTTTACTTAAAAGCGAGACGTCGGGTGACTTTGGTCGGCTGCTGCGTATGATCTCCACGCCGCTGGCTGAGACGGAGGCGCAGATCCTACGCGATGCCACCAAGGGCATGGGCACGACCGAGAGCCTCATCGTGCAGATTCTGTCGGGTAGGACGAACGAGGAGATGAACATCCTCAAGCGAACCTACTTCGATCTGGTGGGCAAGGACCTTGCTGTCACGCTCAACTCGGAGCTCAGCGGAGATTTCCGCAAGGTCGTCATGGCCATACTTCAATCCTCTCAAGAACCGTACAATCCGGCTGTACACAACGCGGCAAAAGCCGAGGAAGAAGCTGTAGCACTCTATAAAGCAGGTCAAGGTCGTCTCGGTACCAACGAGGAAGTCTTCATTGGAATCCTAGTCAAAGCCCCGCCTGAGTTACTAAAGATGATGGACGCTGTGTATGTCGCCAAGTACAACAACAACATCGCCAAGGCAGTGGACAAGGAGTTCAGTGGTGACGCTAAGAAGAGTCTCAATTACCTGGTTCGTTCCACTCTCGATCCGTATCCTGCTATCGCGGAAGTGTTTGAAAAGACCATGAAAGGATTCGGAACGGATGAAACGGGACTTAGTACGGCACTAGTACGCTACCAGTCCGTGTTACCACACGTGAAGGCTGCATACAAGAGACTATACCACGAAGAGCTCCGTGATCGTATCAGTGGGGAAACCAGTGGAGATTACAAAAAGCTATTACTTGAGGTGTTTGACGCACCCCTGGATCCACCCAGAACGAAGAATAAAGGGCCTAGTGGAGTCGCTTCCTCTAGTGGGGTCAATACAGGACCTACGGGGGCTAACCCGCCGGCTTATTTGTCGACCCAGACGTCGTATGCTGCCTCGAGCGCCAGTTTGCAGTCAAGTCCCTCTTTCGCATACCCAACTCCATCAGCGCAGCAACCTTATGGCCAATCTTCCCAAGCCACCCCTGTTCAAGCAGCCTATGGTGCCGTTCCGCACCAAACGTCAATTCCTCAGCCTGGTGGATATCCATCACAAGCACCGACATCTCAGCCCGCGGGTTATCCGAGCGGAAGCAGCTACCCTGGTCAAAGCCCAGCTCACGGCCAAGATCACTCAGCACCTAGCTATCCGTCTCCACAGCAGCAATATGCACCTCCCGGACAGCAACCTCCAAGTCAGCAGTACCCGCAACACTCGTCACCTGGGCGACAACCACCGAACCAGTATTCACCTGGGCAGCAACAGCAGCAGCCTCCAGGCCAACAGTATCAGCAATACCCAGCTCCTGGAGGTCAGAGTCAACCGTACCAGCAGTATGGAGCGTCCTCCGGGCCACAACATCAGTCCCCAGGCCAATCGTACCAACAGTATCCACCCCCTGGTGGCCAACCACCAAACCAGCCATACCAACAGTACCCCGTTCCTGGACAGCAGCAACCTCCGAGCCAAGCGTATCATCAATACCCACCGCCACAACAACAAACTAGTTACCCTCCAAGCTCCTACCAGCAGTATGGCGCGCCGCACGACCAGCATCATCAGCCACCGAGCCAGCAGTACCAGCAATATCCACCACCCGGCCAGCAGACGCCGTCCCAATCGTATCAACAGTATGCAACCGCTGGACAGCAACCACCGACTCAACCATATCAGCAATATCCAGTGCCGCAACAACCCGGTTACCCTCCAAGTCAGCCGCAACCGTACCAGCAGTACAGTGCTCCGCCCGGACAACCGGGTTACCCGTCTCCGTACGGAGCTGCGCCTCCTCCCCAACAGCATGGTGGCTACCCACCCCCGCACCAGCCGCAGCACGGATATCCTCCGTACCGAGGTGTGTAGTGTAGGAAATCATGAACCAGTTGGCTCAGCTACTTTCAGCTTATAATGTTCATGCTATGGATCAGTAACGAACAATTGTATTTTGTATTTCGAAGTATTTGATGATCCGAGGTGTACCAAAAGTAAGAGAACTTGAGAGAGCGCTCGTTCGAAAGACATGTGGATCGTCTCGAAGTCGATGTTGATGGATGTGATGGAAGAGAAATGCCTTGTCTCTCATTGATTGACTAGTATATTGTCCAAGAGCAGCTTGATTGACTACTGGAGATTAACAATGAGAGCGACACCGAAACACTCAGCATCCAAAGCTCATTATTCAACTTCCTCCCGTTCTCCAACAACAACAGCCGACAACCACTCAACCATGAAGCCGTTCCAGTTCATCTTCGCACTTTTCGTTGCAGTCTTGCTGGAATCGACCTATGCCATTGGCTTAGGCTGGGAACCGGGAGCTGATGTGGAGATTCCTGGCAATGTTGCAATCCACCCAACGAACGCGTTGCGACGCGTGCAAGCTACCACGGACCTGTCAAGCACGGGGTCTACTACTGATACCTCGTCCGGATCAACGGCGGATGCCTCTGCGTCTGCTGCACCTTCGGCGACTGATACGGAAACACCGACGACGATCATGGTGCTGCTGCCCGACAATCTCGCCGCGAGCTACTCTGGCTCTGGCAGTGTCATGTTCTTCGATGGATCCGTTGACCGCAAGAGCGAGAGTAAGTCGGCTGGCTCGGACACCGTTGGCAGTGAAGCATCCGGCTCGGTCTCAGCGCGTAACTTCGGAATGGCAACGGCGTTGACCGCGTTTACGGCCCTCTTTGCTCTTGTGATGGTGTAGAAAAGCACCGCCAAGTGTTTTGGAAGCAGTTGCATATCGTAAAAGTCTAGTGAATGAATCATAAATGTACATGTACTCACCAATAAAGCTGCTTTGACCATGCCAAATCAAAAATTGAAGTTACGAATACCCAGTCAGAATGTGAAACACGCAGCTTGTCCATATTACTTCAAAGAGTGTGGCAGGAAATGGCCATAAAGAGGGAAGAACTACAGGCTGTTCACCTCGCCCACGATATTGACCTTGTATCCCTTGAACAGCGGCGGTAACGCTGCTTCCAGCTGTATGACACACTCATAGTTAGATTCTCACTACTCACTCCAACCACTAGCCAATTCGTACCTCTTTCTTGAGCTTTTTCGTTGCGGTCACAAGGGCGTTGATCTGAGGCTGCACGTTTTTAGTGGCATCAATGAGGTCCACATTCTTGTCCTCCAATCCGTGAATTTCACGTCGGCACTTGTCCATGTGCTTCGTCAGCATCTCCAGACTCGCCACATGCCTATCCAAATATCGCTCCGATGTCTTGATAAGTACCAATTGCTGAAGGCGCTTGCTTGTCAACAAAGATACAGCGTGGTCCACTACAGCTTGTAGCTCTTCGATCCTAGACGTGCTTTGCTGTTCCAATAGCGCTGTTCATACACCACAACAACGCCGTTAGCATTTGGTTATAAGCCGAAAGCAGTAGCTTGTTCTTACGTGAAGAACCCTGGAACTGATTGGCGAAAGCAACTGAATCGCTCCCAGACAACTCAACTAGCCGCTGGCGGAGGAATGCACGTAGCTCCAGGAGATCGTTAAGCACTCGGGTGCGGAATTCGTTGTCGTCCAGAAGGCCCACGCGAGTGGGCTTTCCAGTCGTAGCAGGCACATCTAGCACCGGCTCCACGACGCCAGCAGCTTCAGAAGCGCTGGCTTCGCTGACAGGTTCCACGACATCAGAAGTTGTAATATCCCAATCGATCTCGACGGGGGCGTCATCAGCTGCGGCAGTAGGTTCGGCGGATGCGACCGTTTCGATTCCCCAGTCAATTTCTCCGGCGTCAGCGGTGCCGCTGTCGTCAAGTGAGATATCCCAACTGATCTCCGCTGCTTCTGCCTCGAAATCGAGCGTAGTATCCACCAACTCGTCGCTTGCATTGCGCAATTCCTCGATGGCAGCAAAGAACTTATGCGGGGCTACGACGAGCTCAAATGGCTCATCGGTTGACATTTCAGGTTCTTCAGTCACCTCAGCCTGCTTCTTGCTCTTCTTCCTGCCCTTCTTGCCCTTCTTTGAAGAAGACGAGCTAGTAGATTCCATCACGGATGCCACGACGGGGATCTCACAGTCGTGCAGGTATACCTGGAGAGCTTGGTGATACTCAATTGCATTGGCAATTTCATCACTACAAATTGCTTTCGCAACGCCATCGAAAATGGACGGCAGTTCCAGTGGCAATCGTCGCAGTTCCTCACGGAAGTTCTCTCCCTACCACAGGAATTATAAGTACATAAATATACATGTTTGGAGCAGTAAAGGGGACGCACCAGAATGCCCATGTCAGCACACGAAGTCTCGAGTTTGCGCTTATACTCTGCGATGCTTCTGGTCAGGTCCTAACACAGAACAGGAATCACATTAATTCAGCCCATAGACGTAACCTACAATAGCCAATATCATAACTCACCGCCATCTTGCGATTATTATCTGCGACTTGCTTTTCATTCTGCTGGATAGATTTCTTTAGGAAAGGACTGAACAGCACAGCACACACAGATATAAGTCCACGAGCACCTACACTTTATACTTCACCATCCCCACTCACATCTCAAACGCCGTGTTCTGGGCGATGATACGCGCAGTCTCGGCTGCGAAGACGTTGTTCTTCTCATACTGGCGGATCAACGCGCTCCATCGCTTAAGCACGGGCGACGTATACTGTGTACAGTAAAATACCAACGCAAATCCTCGTCAGTTTAAGAGCTTGCCACCACAGCTGCTGTCTTCGAACCTGGCCAAAAAAGTTCTTTGAAGCTCCCTCGTCCGATTGTTCGAGGCACTTGAAGATAAACTTGCAGTCAAAATAGTTGAGATCCTCGTGACTGGGCTTCTTGGAGCGGAACTTAGATAGCGCGTCGCTGGCCAGAGGCAGCTCTGGGTACAGCGCGGCGATAGCGTCGCGGATCTGCTTGTGTTGCTCTAGCCACTTATTTGGCACGATGCGGCGGTCCACCAGCGCCTCTACGGGACACAAGGATGTAGGGAGCGTTAGGAGGATGCTATGGAGGTCGCTGCGGCAGGGACCTACCCAGGAGCTGCTTGTACTGAATGTCGATCGGCAACTTGCGCTTGTCCGCCATTTTGTTGCTTTGAGGAATGAAAAAAAGCTGCTAACTTTTGACCAATCACAGGACGAAAAATCCGGTTTGACAATATCTTTGACAAAATCTTTCCGCAGTGACGTCAGCAACAAGATACAATCAAAAGATACTTTGGATATTGAAGCGCGCGACGCACGTGCTACAGATGACTCAGGTGCTTAATCCAAATCTCCAGGCACCGGATATCGTCTCCGTCTGGTGGCTACTTTGCTCGACGCGGCCGCAGTCGCTCGCTCCTGCTCATTCTTCAATTTGCCGCCTCCTGCGCAGCCACCTCCAACCGCTCTTCACTCTCTCTCCAACCTCAAGATGCTGAGTCTCTACCCGTCGTCTGTTTTCGACGCCTACAGGAAGGAGAAGACCCGCTTCTCGGCTTCCATCGATGCCGTCGTGGAGCAGATCCACGCTGCTTGCGACGGTGTCGGAACGGACGACAAGGCGCTCGTGCAGCTCATCGGCCCGCTATCGCCGAATGACCGTGCTCTTGTGTCCCTTCGCTACAAGGAACTACACGGTCAGACGCTGCGTGAACTCGTCAAGAGCGAGACGTCGGGCAACTTCGGCTATCTGCTGCAGCTCATCAGCTTCCCTCTGCACCAGGCCGAAGCCTACATTCTCTTCCACGCCATGAAGGGCGCTGGTACCTCGGACCACCTGCTCTACTCGGTCCTCATGGGCCGCAATAACGAAGAGATCGGCGTGCTCAAAAAGGCCTACTTCGAGATGTACGACACGGATCTCTCAGTCGCAATTAGCGACGAGATCAGTGGCGACTTCCTCGCTGTCATTATGAAGGCGCTCCAGGTGAGCAGCGCGTATTTCATTAGCCTCAAATTACATTTGAACTAACTATTTACTTTCCTACATCATCAGGAACCTATGGTTGAGTACAAGCCTTCGTTCCACACTAAGGAAAAGGCTGCTGAGGATGCTGAGCTCATCTACAAGGCCGGCGAGGGCAAGTGGGGCACCGACGAGAACGGATTCATCAAGGTGCTGCTGGCGAGCCCGCCCGAGCACCTGCGCAACATTGACGCGGCGTACCAGGCCAAACACGAGCACGACTTGGTTTACGCCATCCAGAGCGAGTTCAGCGGTAGCGACAGCGCCGCTCTTACCTTCTTCGGTACGTGTGATATTTTCTTTTGAACACTGAAGCAAGACTAATATTTGCATTATTTTTCTCTATTGCAGTTCGCATCAGCCTCAACGCGTGGTCGTTCCTCGCCGAGCACATTGAAGGCACCATGGCCGGCATTGGCACGGACTCGACGGCTCTCAGCGCTGCCATTGTGCGCTACCACTCGTACCTGGGCAACATCATGCCGGTCTACGAGAGGAAGTACAACAAGACGCTGCAAGACCGTATCAAGGAAGAAGCTAGTGGCGAGTACCTGGAGCTGCTGCTGCAGCTGCTCGAGACTCCGCGCCCCATCGGCAGCTTCGCGTAAATGTCAAAAAGTCAAGAATTGTTCATGACATGAAGTTTTTCGTTGTCGAACTTCATGAATTCACCCACAAAAATCCAATTCAAAATTTTCTGATATACCACTTGTACTACTATACCAACACCTGTGATTTATAATACTAATCAAATCAAGCTCTTTAGCTAAGGAAAGTTGTTTCTTACAATTATGACTGTTTAACTGAGTATTGGGTTTTCCAAAGTCTTTATTGTGGTAATCGGTGCTTCGCGTTAGCACAAGTTGACAGCGGTGCTCTGCCCGCAGTCGCAATGCAGCGCATATTCCCTCAACACGCGCACGATGTGTACCGCGGCGTGCCGCTGGTGTATCCGCGCGAGATTGACGACGTCTGCGAGCGTATCCGCGATGCAACAGACGGCCTAGGCGTGGACGAGAAGGTGCTTGTGGACGCGCTGAGCTCACTGTCGGCGAGTGATCGATCGCTGCTTATCTACCGATACAAGGACCTGTACCGGGAGGAGCTCAAGGACACGTTGGGCCGCGATACCGTTGGCGACTTCCGCTTGCTGCTACTGCTGCTCACGATGCCGCTGCCTGAGGTAGAGGCGTTCATACTGAACGTGGCCACTTCAGGTAGTGGCACGAAAGAGCGACTGCTTTACCCGGTATGATGATGCGTCTTGCTTTATAGGAAGTGCCGTGTAGGCTTTTTGTAGTAGCACACTTACCCGGTATGTTGTTGTATTAACTGTAAGGTAGATCTTGCTGGGACGCACGAATGAAGAGCTGTCAATGCTCAAGTCGACGTACTATTACATCTTCAACAAGGACCTGACCTGGCTCATGCGCTCGGAGCTGAGCGGCGACTACCGTGAGATCATCCTGCTGGCGCTTGAGGTGCGTTTGCTGCTGTCTATAGTATGCTAGCAATGACTACAATTGTGCTAATCATTTTTTTTTACTTTTTAGCGTCTGCAAGTCACATATGACCCAGAGTTCCACACGTACGAGAAAGCCAAGGCGGACGCCGTCAAGCTGTACGACGCTGGGGAAGGTCGCTGGGGGACGGACGAGACCACGTTCGTCCGTATCCTTTTCTCCAGTCCGCGTGAGCACCTCGTGCTGGTGAACGACATCTACAAGAAGAAGTACGTGAGCGACCTCGAGGAGGCTGTGCGAGGCGAGTTCAGCGGCTACGCGACCGAGGCGCTCGTGTTCTACGGTGCGTTGATAGCAAAGTTCGACCATACTTCTTGTCGCTGCTGCTGTACACTATCAGCTAACTAACGATGCTCGACTTGTTCTTTGCAGTCCGCCTGGCACTGAAGCCGGACATGGCGATTGCCATCCACTTCGAGCGCATGATGAAAGGTCTTGGTACGGACGAGAAGGGTCTGAGCGCGGCCGTGATCCGATACCACTGGATGCAGCCTCGTGTTGAGCAGCTGTACGAGAAGCTGTATGGACGTTCACTCGAGGAGCGGATCCGCACCGACACGGACGCCAACTACGGGGACCTCCTGGTCACATTACTGCATATCCCGACTGATGACGACGAGAGCAGCAGAAATAGCGACAGCGACAGTAGTAGCGGGAAGGAGCCTGAGAATGCTACCTAGGAACCAGGACGATGGTTCTCACCCCCACGCCTGTGATGCGCGTTGTTTCGGGCTTCATACTCCGACTCAGGCGCGATAGCAGGTTGCAAATTTAATTTGTTTAAAAAAAAACGAGTTGCGCCTTTGTATGGTAACATCAGCCCACGCCACCAAGCTTGCACCCAAGCGCGTTCCCAAGAAATCAATAGCGGCAGTTGCTTTCCAAGCTGCTCCACAGCACAGCACGATCTCGTAAAAGTGTCAAAGTTTTCTACCGGCCTCATCGAATGAGGCCGGATGAGGAATATTCGTGAACACGGGTGCACCTCCGCGAGCGCTCGCCGTGAAACGCTAAGAAACCAGAAGAAACCATTGACGTTTCAGTCTGAATTCAGGTGCGACGATGGTGGCGTCATGACAGCAAGCCCGGTAACTGTGAACAGCAAATGCACATTAGGTTCAGTTGCATACACTGCTAATAATGCAGCTAAAAGGTTACTAGCTGCAGCTGTAATATAGCAGAGGCTAAGCTGCTCAGCACTCGACCACCAGAGAGCTGGACGACGTGCAGGGTACTGTGTTTCAGGTACACTGTACCGATACACTCATCTGCAGAGTGATTGCGGTGTGCTGGTCGACATTATTTTTTCGACCAATCGACGCGCGGTCCGACACGCTCAAAGATTGCGCCAGCAAGAAGTGGAACTTGCGTGACTGGCTCAGCGAAGCTTTAATTAACGAATGAAAGCTATTGTCAAACTTGAAAATGTACACCTCAGATGTGAAAGTGACATCAAGCTGGAAATGTACTCATCGAGCTAAAACCGAAATTGAACGCAGGCCTCGCTACCGTCGTAAACACGCAAGAAAATCAAGCCTTCCGCCGTCAACTCTCCCCATCGAGAATTGGAGCACAGCAAGCCGGGCGCAATAATCGGCAGCGACATGTTGTCGTGCCCGAGTTTGGCGCCATCAAGGGCAAGAGAGTATTCTTACAAAGCTGCATCAACTCCTGTCCGTCCGCTTTTTCCCCTGGACCGGAAAGCACATTCCTTTTGCCGCCTGCCCACAGCCACAACCGTTGTTGTGATTCGCAACCGGTCCAAAACATGCCAGATGGCGACTTATGCAGATGTGTTCAGCGTCTCACGCCGGAATGATGGCTGGTCGCCGACACTTGGTAAGAGCTGTCAAGCCTTGACTCAAACGAGGTTCGGGGCGCTAACTGTATGTCGCAAAGCCACCTGTAACAGCAGTCCGTGCCTCCGCTGCGCCTATTCCTGCGAAAAGCAGCAACAATCGCTTTTAAATTTAAAGCTCCGCCGCAACGCCGGCATAGGCATTTGGCTTGGTCGCTGTGCTGAGTCGAAAAATGACGATAATAACTTGAATTATTGCTTTTGAATCAAGGCGCTCCCAAAAAGTATCTTTCCGTTCACGGCGGTTTTACCTTCATTCGCGCCACCCATTTTCATCCACTATTGCTATATTTCGAAAAACGCTATTTTGGCCAATCCGCCCACGCCAAGCCGATTACGACGTCCGCTTCTGGGCCCTAGCCCTATGGGCTCGCGTAATCGCCTCTGCCTTTAAGCACGATGACTTGAAGAATGTAAGGTCAGACGAATGCGGTTGACCACGGGTCAAAAAAGCTTACTCCAGCCAGACTTCAGTCGCCCATAAGGCAATTTTCTCTTTAGAGCGCAGGTTGCTGTCTCGGATTGACTTGCCTAGACGTTGGACAGTAAGATAGCGTCGGAAACATGGGCCTGGGTCTATTGGACGTGGATGTGATCCAATCAAAAGAGTGTCGCTCCTCCTTCCTCACTACATCAACGTGCTGCTCGGCCGTGAGCAGCGGCGGCGTGGATTCGACCATGCTGGATACAGAGATGCTCAGCAACTCGCGCCTTAGCAGCCTGTACGGCGGCGCTACTACCACTGGCCAGCGCCTAACGATCCTCGAGGAGGATCTGGAGACCGAGGACTCCTCGACGTCACAGAAGCAGATCCAGAAGAAACTCTTTGAGCTGCACGAGCTGCGCGTGCTGAAGCAAGTGCCACTACCCGACTGGATGAAGATCTTCGTGCCGCGAATTGTGCGTCTGCAGACCGGAACGGTGCCCTACATGGAGTACGCGCGCTCGGAGAAGGGCGAGGTGCGCCAGCGTCAGATGATCAGCGTTTGGACGCGTGTGGATCGCTTGCCCAAGAATAAACTGTCCATCGACTTCCGTATTCCCGAGGGAAGCGATCGCTCGACACACGCGCCCAGCTCGAGCCCATCCAAGACCACGAACGACAAGGTGGCTCACGACAAGTGGATTCTCAAGTTCGAGACCAAGAACGAGCGTGACCTGTGGGCCAAGCTAGTGCAGGACGCCATCGATCTGCTCGGATGGATCGCCAAGTTTACGCTGGGCAGCGTGATTATGGAAACGGAGAACTCGTCAGTCGTCGAGTGCTCCACTTGGATGGACCGTGGTCGTCCGTCCTACGTGATGAAGTCAATGGAAGCCTCATCCTCAAAGCAGAGCCACTCGGCTCGCAACGAGATTGAAATTCAGCGCATGCTGACTAACTATTCGAGCCATCCGAACATCGTGGCACTCCATGATTCCTTCCACCAAAAGGATAATACCTATCTCGTCATGGAGAACTGCGTGGGCGGTGACCTCTTTGACTTCATCAGCCAAAACGGCGGCATGGACGAGCATGAAGCCAAGACGCTGTTCCGCCACATCACTAGCGCCATCAACCACTGCCACGAACACGGCGTCGTACACCTAGATATCAAGCCTGAGAACCTGTTCTTCAAGGTGTCGTCTATGCAGCTAGAGACTGTCAAACTGGGCGACTTTGGCTCAGCGATGCAGCTGGACGAGAACACAGTCAAGAAGGCCATTAGCTGTACAGTGGGCTACGCGGCGCCAGAGGTGCTACAGAACGGCAAGATTTCTACCGCCGCGGACGTGTTTAGTGCGGGCGCCGTACTCTACACGATCCTTTGTGGCTACTCCCCGTTTAGTGCTCCTTCTGAGGACGAAATGGTGGAGCGAACTCTCTCAGGCGAGATTTTCTTTGACGAGCTCGAGTGGTGGCGGATCAGCAAAGAGGCCAAGGAACTCGTGAAGCAAATGCTACACTCGGACGCCAAGCAGCGCCCCACCATGGAGGAGGTACTGGAACACCCTTGGTTCTCGAAGTGGTAGATAATTGTATTAGGAAGTTAACATATTTAAGCGCACAGCAAAGGCGCGTCGTAATGAAGCACTAGTCGATCGTACAACCTATTTATCTTAGACTTCCTCTGTCCAGTGCTTGTAGAAAGCCAGTGGTTCCGCTGCTTACCTTCGGCTTGCGCCGCACACGCGGCATGGCTTCAGATCATTTTTACGACCAGAAGGACAGAGTTGGGCGACGCATGCCACTTCAATCCGCTTCAGGTTGCGGTGGCTGCATTTAATTGGTCGCGACCATCCCAACAGAAATGCATAGCGCAAAGTTGGTAAGCTCATACTACTACTGATGTAGTAGTAGCTATGAGCGGAGCAGCGCTGTTCTGTCGCCTGTATTTGAGCAATCTACTATGCATCGGTTGGGAACGGGTCTAGTAGGCATTGCTGCTTTTTTCTTCTGTTCACGATCGCATTGACTCGATATTAGAGCGTAGCTATGGGCGGAGAACGCAGGTGCGACCGCGCGGCCGGACTACCCCGTAACCATGCGCCGCAATATCCGTTCGGTTGGCTGTCCAGGATTGGTGTCGCCATAGAGTCAAACGCGAGGCCACGAATGCGGTGCATACAAATTTTGCAGGTTTGTAGCGTCGTCCTTTCCATCCATTGTAGCAGTGCTTGAAGCACTGCACGAATATGAGAAACCAAATTATAAGCTAGCGCACGACCGGTGAAGTTTTCCATTGACCACAGCGATTAGTACACTTGGAACGACGAACGTTTTTTAATCTAAGATAAGTTCAGCAATTTGAAAAGTACTGTAGGCTCCATTAAGAGCAACAGCTACACTGTAGCTGCCGCTCTTAGTGAAGCCAAACTGGGGTTGTCGGCGCCGGCTTCACGCTCTGACCGGATTGCTGCTCCATTTACCTCGAAGCGCACCATCCAGCCTCGATGGTGCGCTGGTTGCTAAGAATGTTTACGGTTGCTGGCTCCTTCGACGTGCTCATTTTCATATTTTCATGGTTCTGGTGTACATTTTAAAAGTTGATGAAATCGAATGCGAAATTGAAATTTCGCTGGTGGCGCAATCTTTGAAATTAAATTCATCAATCTCACCGTAATCACTCCGCAGACTACCGGTAGTAAACAGAACCGGTATAAATACAGTATACCGGAAATTGTACTTGGACCGGTACAAGAAAGTAATCATGGATCGCAATTTTATTCATTCTCGCTGCTGCTTTCGTCGTCATCAGTCGGGATATGCAGTAATGTGACCAGGAGGTCCCCGTAGTTGGCGTCCGTGTCGGTGCGGATCCGCTCCTCGAGTGAACGTCCATACAGCTTCTCGTACAGCTGCTCAACACGAGGCTGCATCCAGTGGTATCGGATCACGGCCGCGCTCAGACCCTTCTCGTCCGTACCAAGGCCTTTCATCATGCGCTCGAAGTGGATGGCAATCGCCATGTCCGGCTCCAGTGCCAGGCGGACTGCAAAGCACAAGTCGAGCATCGTTAGTTAGCTGATGGTGTACAGCAGCAGCGACAAGAAGTATGGTCGAACTTTGCTATCAACGCACCGTAGAACACGAGCGCCTCGGTCGCGTAGCCGCTGAACTCGCCTCGCACAGCCTCCTCGAGGTCACTCACGTACTTCTTCTTGTAGATGTCGTTCACCAGCACGAGGTGCTCACGCGGACTGGAGAAAAGGATACGGACGAACGTGGTCTCGTCCGTCCCCCAGCGACCTTCCCCAGCGTCGTACAGCTTGACGGCGTCTGCCTTGGCTTTCTCGTACCGTACGGAGTTTCACTCGTACGAGTCGTGCGTGTGAAACTCCGGGTCGGGTGTGACTAGTTGGCGCTGTCGTCATCGTAAAAAATGATGAGGTCAACTGTAGTCATAGCCAGCATTTAGAGACTGCAGCACCCGCGCTTCGAGCACCAGCGGGTTGGTAGGCTACATTCATTACTGGTCAGGCCATATCCGTGTTGTAAGGTAGCGTGTCTACAATGTCAGTGTCGCTTCAATATACGTTTTGGCAGATCAGTATTATTTCAGACAGACCCTTGATAAACGGTGCATTTTGCCCACTAGAAAAAGTCTGTGACAACTGTGTTTTGATTGGTTCCGAGTATTTTTACCGAATCATTTTCCGGATCCCATGCGACCAGCCAGAATGATTAACCTGGAGCCACGTACTTCGAAGTGATCCGCTGGAACACGCCGTTTCAGCGTCGTCGACAGGGACGAGATCTCCGAGCTGGTAATTGTATCAAGTTACTACTCCATGTAGCACCACAAGGCATAGCAGAGTCGCAGGGTGGGTCCAGTGAGAAACTTGTGAGCTCCAGAAAAGGCGGTACTATGAGGTGCTGGAGCATCGCCCCATGCGATGATCGGAAACGAGTTCGCTGCACGAGTCGTGCATCGTGACATCAGCAAAAGCACCGCTCAGACAACATTTTATTGAGACACCTGACAACTATCCAGTGCGAATGGCAGCCACTTCGGCGAAGCAGGGTTCACAAATTGTGAATCACAATACCAATGGTACGTGGTACTATTGGGACAAAACAAGCATCGCCGCTGCCAGCGGCAACTCAAATTCCGCTGCACGACTGTACTGTATGACCAGTAACTGGTCTCTTAACCACAGCCTCTGGCACTGGCTATTAGCCAGATCCGCGTGTTTGCTCGGGTCCCACAGTTCATTCGCGTCGGTAGCTACCTCATGATTTGCGCTTCAGACTCTGCCTTATTTATTATAGAGGCACGATCGACCTTAATGCACATGTTGGGACGCTATGGCTGGTCCCGCAACCTGGAGTTGCCACCAGGAGGACTACCAGCAGCTTGCCCTTGACTAGAGAGCAAGGTCGATGCGTGGCTTGGTGGTATATGCACCACGCAAGCTGGAGGTAGCTCCACTTCCATTTGGACTTCTTTTGCTTCAGCTGATTCACCCCCTGTTCCAGCAACAGCTGGTGCAAAGCAAAGGCCACGCACGCGGCTTTAAAATTGGCCACACAAGCCTTGTGCTGCTTGGTTTGCCGGCTGGCTGGCACGACGCATATGGTCGGCGCTTACATGACCGGTAAAGCTCAGAAACACGTTTTGAACGCGCAGCTTGAGTGCATCCACGGACGCATCGCGCGCTGTTATCCAAGCAAATATTGATCGTGTGCACAGAGGTTTCCTGTCCGCCGGGCATGCTGTCATGATGTGAACGATTGCACGGTCCAGCGCCCACAAAACGGGAATCTTAGCTGCGACCACTTCAAAAATCCCCCAAACCGATACATCGGTATTAGCGGGGAATGTGGTCTAGCATCGTCCAAAACTTCAGAATTGTATTCTAGTGGATTTCAGCCCCATAATAACCCATGCACCACATGTCGCAGCATGAGCCTCCTAAAGTCTATGCCGTACATCCCCTATTTGCGGATTCTTACTACCAAGAAGTGAGTGTACCTCGCTCAAGCCATGGAATCTCTCATCTGATACTCCCGTCCATTTTTTGCTGATCATCAGATGTGCGGCACAGGACTTGACAGCGCCAGGCAGCCCCTCTGCTTCGCAGCGAGCCAAACTGACGTCGACGTCTCCCGCTCTCATTCTCCAAATCGCCGGCTTTAGCGCACACCTCAAGAGCTCGCTGCCCGCATCACAACACACACACCACCCACTATGAGGAAAGAAACCATGACCCACTCGCACACCTTCGGCGGCTACGCTGGCGAGCGTCCCATCACTCGCCACGACCTCAAGCATGCTACGCGTATCGTGGTCAAAATGGGAACCAGCGTGGTGTCCACCAACGGTGAGCCCGCGCTGGGCCGCATTGCTTCCATCGTGGAGCAGGTCTGTATGCTCAAGCGCCAGGGCAAGGAAGTGCTACTGGTGACCAGCGGGTCCGTGGGTATCGGCCGCAAGCGCCTCAACAAACAGATCCTGCTCTCTGCTTCGCTGCGCACGCACGTGCAAGGCAACCAGCAGATGCTGGCACTCGAGAAGAAGAAGGGCGCCATGGCCGCCGCTGGCCAGATTGGCCTTATGTCCCTCTACGAGACGCTCTTCTCGCTCTACGACGTGGCCTGTTCTCAGGTGCTCGTTACGGCCTCCGACTTCAAGACGGCCCAGAACCGCGCTAACATGCGCGACACGATGCTCAATCTGCTGGAGCTGGATGTTGTTCCTATCGTCAACGAGAACGACGCTGTGAGTGCCTCACCCGACGGTACCGTCTTCACGGACAACGACTCGCTCGCTGCATTAGTCGGCGGCGAGATCGAAGCCGACCTGCTTATGCTGCTCACAGATGTGGAGGGACTGTACAACAAGCCTCCCAGCCAACCTGGTGCCAAGGTCATCTCAGTTTTCCGTCCTGAGAACAACAGCTTCAAGATCGGCGAGAAGTCAAGCGTTGGACGTGGCGGTATGGGCGCCAAGATCGAGGCTGCACAGTCGGCCATCTCACAGGGAGTCAATGCTGTGGTCATTGCCAGCGGCTTCAAGTACGGCGTGGTTAATTCCATCATGAAGGGCGCTAGTCTCGGTACGCTCTTCGTCGCCAACCCTGGCGTTGAGTCGCCTGACTCCATGTCGGCCGAGGAGATGGCCAATGCCGCTCGTGAAGGCTGCCACCAGCTACAGGCGCTGTCTTCAGAGGAACGTGCCAGTATTCTGTTCCGCATTGCTGACGAGCTCAAGAACAACAGCAAGTCGATCCTCAACGCCAACCGCAAGGATCTGCAGGCAGCACAGAAGTCTTCAATTGACGAGGGACTGATCGCTCGCTTGAAGCTGTCAGAGGAGAAGCTGGAGACACTGGCTGACGGTATTCGGAGTATTGCCGAGTCGGAGGAGCCGATTGGCCGCATGTTGAAGCGCACGGAGCTGGCATCTGGCCTGGTGTTGCACCAGGAGACGGCGTCGATCGGTGTGCTGCTTGTGATCTTCGAGAGCCGCCCGGACTCGCTTCCTCAGATCGCTGCGCTAGCCCTGCGTAGTGGCAACGGTCTGCTGTTGAAGGGCGGCAAGGAAGCGCTCCACAGTAACGCTGTGCTGCACAAGATCATTGTGAAGGCAGTGGAGGAGGCCACGAACGGCAAGGTGAAGAAGGACGTTATCGGTCTGGTCACGTCGCGTGAGGAGATCTCGGATCTGCTTCGTCTGGACGACGTCATTGACCTGTGCATCCCTCGCGGCTCGGGCTCCATGGTCAGCTACATCAAGAAGAACACGCGCATTCCTGTTCTCGGCCACGCTGAGGGCGTGTGTCACATGTACATCCACAGCGCAGCTGATGTGAAGAAGGCTATTGAGCTCGCTATCGATGCCAAGACGGACTACCCGGCTGCCTGCAATGCGCTTGAGACGCTGCTGCTAGATGAGTCGCTGGTGACCAGTGGTCAGGACAAGGAGATCCTGGTGAAGCTAGAGGAAGCTGGCATTAACCTGCACATCGCCCCCAACGCGGCCAAGCTGGGTGTTGCCACTGCTAAGTCGCGTCCTACAGACACGCTATCCACAGAGTACGGCTCCACGGACCTTACAATCGAGGTGGTGAACGGCGTTGGCGCTGCCATTTCTCACATCAACCAGTACAGCAGTGGTCACACTGAGTGTATCGTAACGGAAGATGCCGCTGCTGCCGAGCAATTCCAACAGATGATTGACAGCGCGTGCGTGTTCCACAACGCCAGCACTCGCTTCGCTGACGGCTACCGCTTCGGTCTGGGCGCTGAGGTTGGTATCAGCACTGGTCGCATTCACGCGCGTGGTCCTGTGGGCGTGGAGGGTCTGCTTACAACCAAGTGGAAACTTGTGTCGGAGAGCGGCCACACCGTCTCGCAGTTCTCGGCTGCTAAGAGCGACCACCCGCTCAAGTACACGCACAAGAAGCTGGAGCTGATCCAGAAGGAGGCAAATGTTGCCCGCCCGAGGAGTAGCCGGCTATAAGATTGCCACGTATTCTATGTAGCGGTTTGCTTGTAGATGAAGAAGAGTTCTGCAGCAACGAAATAAAGCAATTCGATCGATACAATACTCAAGCAATAATTGTGTTTGCAACCAGTTATTGCGCGTGTTAGGCGTTTGGGTCGCGTTCTGTAGCATTGTTGTAGAAAGCACTTTTCTCTATCAGAAATCCATGTTGTCCTCCTCTTCCTCTTTCTGTCGCTTCATACGCTTGCGGCGTTCGCTGTCGTTGATGGCAGTCAAATCACGCGTCGCCTTGGCTCGCAAGGTGTCAATGTCGTCTGCATCCTCCGCCCACTCAAGCACGAGATGTCTACCGTACAGGTGCGAGCTGGCTAGAGCCGAGAACGCATTACGAGCTTCTTGCTCCGTAAGGAATTCAACGAACGCGAATCCACGATGTCGGCCGTCAAATTTCTTGGGCATGCGCACACGTTTGAGCTGTCCGAAGGCACCAAACAACTCGCGGATCTCGTTACTTGTTGCCTCAAATGCGACATTGCGAACAATGATTTTGGACTTGCGTCCTTCACCGTCCACTTCTCCAGCTGCGCGCTTGGGAGCAGCCGACGCCTTCTTCTGAGAGAGCTTCAGGTTCAACGCGTGACCATCCACGACTGTATTCTGCAACGTTTGCAGAGCTCGCTCCGTGTGCTTGGCATCGACGTATTCCACGAAGCCAAAACCCATCGACAACATGCCACGCTTCGGATCTTTGCGACGAGCGACTGTGACCTTGCGTAGTTTACCACAACGCGAGAAGATCTTCTCCAGCGCAGCCTCCTTTGTAGAGAAGTTCAGGTTCTTGACGCAAATGGTATGACACGCGTCACCCACAGCAGTATCGCCATCGTCGTCCACGTCCGGCACAACGGCTGCTGTCGTCTTGATCCCCTTCTGTTCGGATGTCGAAGCGTTCACACTTGAAGCAGGACGATCAAACACTTTGACTGGAGCCCACTCCAGATACAGCGGTACATGCTGGTACTTCTTGTACGCCAGTGAGCGAAAGGCCTTGCGAGCTTCCGAAGGCTCCAGAAACTCCACGACAGCGAGTGTCTTGGACGGTGGCAGGAGGAAGCGACCGATCTCGCCGTGCTTACGGAAAAGCTGAGCCAGTTCTTCCTCTTCTGTGGTATGCGGCAGATTCTTGATCAAGATAACAGTCGTGCTTCGCTCGATCTTCTTCGATTGTTGTTGGTTTGGCTTCTTCACCAACGCACCTTCAATGGCATTGAGATCCACACCTTCTCGAGCGAAAAAGTCTTTGTTTTCTTTGACCAACATCGTCTCACCGATTGCAAGACGCACAGCCATATTGCCCTGCTCCTTGTCCATGATCTCACCACGTTTCACGCCCATACGCTCGGCGAGAGAGCCTACAGTCGCGTCTCCGCGAATATACGAAGCGTTCCATCCAGTCTTCTTTTGAGCCTGAATCTGGCGCTCCAGCTCCTTACGCTGTTTGTAGGTTAAGTTCGGGTCTGCCAGAGCCGCCTCCGGGTCAAGTTTAACGGGCTTGGAGCGGGCGAAAATCACATGCAGACGTCGACCTTGGAACGCCATTCCATTCAGAGCTGTGAGAGCTGTTTGAGCGTCTACAGTGGTGCGGAAGAGAACAAAACCGTAGCCTTTACGACGACGGGTGTCATCCAGAGGCATGTGCACTTCTTCCACGGGGCCGTACGTCGAGCACAGCGCCTCCAGATCCTCCTCTACTGCAGTGAATGGTAGATTACGCACGAACAAGCGGGCGGTCGGCTTGTCATCTTCAGCCTCCGCTTCACCAGATGTACTCTTCTTGTCACCAGTGGTCTCAGTGGCCTCTTCATCGTCAGCATTTTCCATATCTTCATCTGAGTCTTCATTGTCCGAATCCTTGTCGATGCTTTTGCTCATTTTGGAGCGCAAGAAATCCATATCGGACATGGGTTCCGATTTCTTGCTCTTCTTCTGGCTATCTGCATCGTCCTCTTCGTCATTCTGAGACTTCATCGCGTCAAGTTCCTGATACTCGTCATCGCTGTCCTCTGCATCAGCAATGTCTACGCCCTTTGTAGTTGCTTTGCCATCCGCCGGCCCCTGCACGTCATCGTTGGCCCAGAATTTGGTCTTTGATCGGGCCTGCATGGTCTCCATGAATTCCTGGAACTCTCCGCTCGTATCATCCTGCTTCATCGCCTTCTTCTCCTTTTTCTCGGGAGAAATCTTGTCTTCCTTCGAAGAGGTCGCTACGACGCCCGACTCTGGGTGTAGCTTTTGGTAGCGGCCGCTTCCAGCCGAGTATTTGCTCCACGGCCGCTCCATCTCATCAGATTCTTTCTAAACATGCGTAAAAAACCCATTCAAACAGCAATAATTCATCAGCATCAAAACCATTAAATGCTTGATGCCATTGATTGAGTTCCGTACCGCCACAGCCACGCGCACGTTAATTCTGCAGGTGTCGAAGAAGCTCTGGTGGAAGAACTTGAGCGCCTGCTCCGCCTGTTTCGCGCTCTTGAAGCCCACAAAGCCAAAGCGCCGGGACTTGCTGCCGTCCTTGGTGCGAATCACACAAGCGTCTGTCACCTCGCCCTGCGCCGCGAAGTGCTCGCGCAGCCGCGCCGAGTCCACGTAAGCTGGGAGGTTCTGCACATACAGACGCGTACCAGTCTCCTGCGCCGCTTCCTTGGGCGCGCCCGTCGTCGCTGCTGCTGCCATCGTCTCACTTCCAGTCGTCAGTGAGTCAGTGGCGTCGTTTGATGAGCGTTTTGTGGGTAGTACAGAGGAGTACACACTTTCCGCACATGAAATGAAAACCTAAAGTAAGAATAGATTAGTTTTAAAAGTTAATTTGAGCTACTTTCACAGATTCTACAGATTAATTTACTAATATTACCAATTCATAACGGTCTTTCAGTCTTTTTAGAGTGAGTACTGTACATCACACTTTCCATTGGACAGCAGCAAATGTCCACATTCCACTTGAAGTGGTCCATTCACTAATTCAAATGGTCAATTGAAGTTGTTAGTGTCTAGCTGCTTCGGTTAAACGCATCGTACGGGTTCTCCGTGCTGCGCAGTGCTCGCTGGAGCTCCTCGTAGTCAGGAAAATTGTCAGCCGAGATCACACCATGACGGACGAAGAAGTCGAGCAGTAGAATGCACACGTCAGGCTTGAAGCGCTCGGACTCCGACCACAGACGTGAAAGTACGTCCTGTACAGGCATCAGGTCGAAGCTCTCCACCTCGCCGTCTTGATTGACCGGAACAATATCCATCGGCAGCTCCACGTCAAATATGAGCATCGTATCGTTTGTTAAGCCGTACGGATGATTGGACACGTACGAGATGCTGCCGGCAGCCACGAGCCGCGAACGCGTCCAAGATGGATTCAGTCCAGCCTCTTCTTGCGCCTCCTTCACCATATTATCGAGCGCTGAGATGCCTGCAGGCAGTCCTCCGCCCGCGATGGTGTCGCGCATCAGTGGCCAGCGCTTCTTGGAGGCGCTACGTGTTGCGATCCACACATGTGTCACCGTGCCAGTCTCCTTGTCGCGTACAAATCCATTGAGGTGAGAAGCGAACTGACTGAGACCGAAGTAGGGCCCCACGCCACGGTGGTAGTTGAAAATAGTGGGACTGGAGAACGTCGTCCTTGCCATGTAGAACTCGTCCTGCCAGAATGGGAACGCTCCTTCCTGCTTCAGCTCGAATTCCATCCTCTGGAACGCCTGGGACCGCTCCTCAACAGTGCTGAACCGCGGCTTCATGATGATCTCGTGGTCCGTCACCTCTAGTAGATCCTTAAACTTGCTCAGGCGCTGCGCCATTGGTAGTACAGCATAGCTCATTAGTCTACCGGGACTTTGCATACTAGTAGTGTTAGATACCGCAGCTCACCTCTCGCTGCTCCTTCAGGACGAACCCTGCCACGACCGACGTGCATGGTCCCTGAACGCCCAGGGCGCGTCCCCATACCTCCCCCTCATCGGGGTGCAGCATGACACGCAGAGGCACATATGCGTCACGCGTCCATCTCTTCACACGCGCCACCAGCGGTCGCCACGCCATCGAATCGTACCAACACTGATTAAAACTCGGTGAAAAACATACATACAAACTCCAAGTGTAATTCAGGATGAGGCACGTGTCAGAACCTGCTGACGTACTTGGAAGTGCGCTTGCAGCAAGCATTGAGTGGTGGGAACCCCCTCTATATATTACATGAATCTCTCATCTCTTACTCCTTCTCCGCTATTATCTCCTTCCTAAGACTTGGCCATCTCAGTGCAGGATAAAGTTGAGGGAGTGCGACTTCTGGTCAAACTCGTCGTCGCTGTCTGCATCCTCCTCCATCTCAGCATCAGGTGCTTCGTGGCCATACCTCGCACGTTCACCCGCATACTCGCGGGGCTGGCCCTCGCCGCGCTGACCATTGAAGCCGTTCGTGCGCTGCTGCTGCTGTTGCTGCGCATTGGGCGGCGCCATGCGAACATCCTCCCCATTGTTGTCGTCCTCCACGCGATGAGTGCGTCCGTCCGAGGAGGGAAGAGTGCGCCGCGGGGCACCGCCTGTCAGCGCCTGCTGCTCCACAAAGTCGTCCTTCATGGCCTTGAGATCAGACAGCGGCAGCCCCATGAACACGCCGAATCCGTAGTACACCTTCTCGTCTTCGTTGTCGTTATCCTCAGCCACGCCGCCTACGCGCGGGAGGTTCGAGCCAGGGGCTGCACCCTCACGGCGCGTCGCCAATCGGTTCTCCATCGCCATTGCGCTAAAACTGTGCTCTTCGATAATGGCCGAGGGATAGCGGTGCAGGATAAATTCGTACTTAGTGGTATGCGGATAGAATGCACTCATTACACACATGGCTTCACGGTTACAGATGCAAGCATACCGAATACCGTAACCGAACTCTATTTCGTCGCTATTCAACAAGCTACATAAGCTCGTTTCCCCCTATTTCCTTCGGCGGAAGCGCTTGTACGACTTCTTACCCTTAGATGCCAGGTCTTCATTGGCGTCACGAGCACGGTACTCGCCGTCACCGGTGATCTGAGACCCTAGTTCCTTGTGTAGCTGCCGGAATTTACGAGCAGAGCCCACTGGACGCAGAGGAGCAGCAAGCAAACGACTCAGTTGAGCACGTAGCGACTGCACCGGCTGATTGGCTGTCTTCCTCTTCTTGCCATCCTGGTTTCGCTGCTTGGCTCCTAACTCGAACAACAAATCCTCGTCCATATCCAAGTCAGCAGCAGCAGCCATTTGCTCGAACCACGTTGCCTCCGACTTGAGCTTGCCAGCAGCGTTCTCCTGCTCGTTGATACTCTTGGCAAGACGCATACGCTCGTCAATCGCCTCCATATACCGATGGTCGAAAGGGAAGTCTGACAGTCCAGTGGGTCGCTGCAGCATTTTACAGATCTGCGTGTGATACTTGGCATCAGTGGGAGACACCAGCGAAATACTGAGACCGTCCTTGTTCGCACGAGCGGTACGACCACTACGATGCACGAAAACCTCCGTGGAGCGAGCAATATGGTAGTGGACGACGTAGTCCACACTAGGGATATCCAGACCACGCGCTGCAACGTCCGTCGCCACCAGAATACCCTTAGCATGTGAACGGAAGCCATCCAACTTCTTCAAACGCTGACGTTGCTGCATCTCAGCATGTAAGGCAAACACGGGGAGGTTGAGCAGATTCAATAGGCCCGTAAGTTTCCGGACTTGATGAATAGCGTTCAAGAAGATGATGGTTCGGCCAGGGTATTGTGTGAGGAAGTAGTACAGGAAACTATCGCGAGTAGACTCCGTCACTTCGTGCTGACAGAGCTCGAGACCTGCAGGCAGAGACAACGCCACATTCTCCTGTTGTTTCTTCATCTTACGCTCAACTTCTTCCGAGATAATCGGCTTTGCTCCAGGGATACCCATGTCAGGCTCTGCGATACTGAGATCCACAACAGCAGGCTTTCCACGAAGACCCACACGCTTCATGACTCGCTCCAGAACACTCAGCGCATTACGGTACTTCTTGGTCTTGCTCTTCTGGAAGCGACCGCCTTCAGGAATCGTCAGCGTAGCGGAGAACAGGAATGTCTGGCGTACATGTCGCGGAGTCACGGCTTCACCCTTAGCCTTGGTCTTCGCTGCCTTCTCATTCCCCTTAGTCTTCTCTTCCTTGTCTTGCTGCTTACGTTGCATCTTGAGCACATCATCAAGCATCAAAACCTTCGAGCCACTTGCGAACTTGGACATATCGATATCCTCGCCATCATCTTCATCGTTATCCTCGTCCTCTCTTTCCTCTTCATCTTCTTCGCTGTCCGAGAGGTTAGACAGTTCAGAAGACGTAGATTTGCTCTTACGACGCAGCACATCGAAGATCTTCTCCAATTCCGGGTACGATCCAGGCTGCAGCATACGATCCGCCTCATCCACAACCAAGAAGCGCAGTGTGGTAGCCAGATCCTGCATGTGTTCATGATTCGCCTCAATGATATCCCAAAGACGACCAGGGGTACCGATGACAATTTCAGGTCTGTAACTGAGAATTCTCTTCTGCTTCTGCACAGCCATACCGCCCACCAACGTAACCACACCGATCTCTCGGTTCCGCACCATCTTCTCGAGATGTTGCTGGATCTGGATAGCAAGTTCGCGTGTTGGAGTTAGAATCAGCGCCTTGCAGTCTTTAGTGTATCCTGGTTGCTCGCGTTCATGCAGCAGCTGGCTCAAGATCGGGAGGCCAAATGCCAATGTCTTACCGGAACCTGTCGGTGCTGCACCAACCACATCTCGGTTGTCTACTAGTGCTGGCAGCAACGTGCGTTCCTGAATGCGTGTTGGAGCAGTGAAGCCACATGTCTGCAGTGACTGCATCAGCAGTGGATGCAGCTTAAACTTATTCCACTTGGGCAGATTTACGTCTTTCAAAGCGACTGTCTCCACCTGCTCCAGCTCCTTCTTAGCCTTGCCACCGCGGTTTTTCTTCTTCTTGTTCTTCTTCGAAACATCTTCTCCACTATCCTGTCGCTTCGTCTGTTCCTGTTCTTCCTCCTTCGTCTCGACATCCTTCACCAGTTCTGGTTTCGTTGCCTTTGATTTCCTACGTTTCTTCTTCTTTCCGCCCTCTTGTTGGCTCTTGGCTTCTCCGACCAGCATCTTACCACCATCCTCCGTAGTCTCCACACGATAGTCTGTCAGCTCCTCCAGCTCGAAGGCGCAGCCATCCTGGAAACCCTCAAGCTGCATATCCTCGATGTCCACTTTTGTCCAGCCGGAGTTGGCCATCGACGAGCTCGCATCCGCATCTGCACCACTAGCGCTGGAATTCGAGCGTTTCTTCCGCTTCTTGGACGGCTTTGACCCGGCCCCGGACGCCGGCGCCAGCGTGTAGGGCACCACGGACACACCGCTCATGCTTCCACTTGACCAGTGACAGGTGCAATTGCAACCATTATCACGGCGAGTCTCAACCAGCCGAATTTTTAACCAATCCTCAAATCGTATTTCACCGTTTATGACCAATCATCGCCCTATTTTTAATTTTATGTGATTGCTCGTCAAGTCATAATTGCCACAATCGCGAGCAGCTCAGATCTCCGGGTCAAGACATGCGCGCGTTTTCTCGCCTCACGGCGACAGGCCGCGCGATACGGCGCTCAAACGTCACGCTCATGGCCTCTAGTAGTAGTCGCCGTGGTCTAGCTAGCGAGGCCTTTGTGTCGCGCCACTACCAGATGCAGGACCCTAAGGACGTGGCGGACTTCCTACACCGCAAAAGCTTGACTGTACGCGAGACAGATTCTCACTTCGTAGTGCGCGACTGCCCGTTCTGCCACGCCACACACGGTAAGGCCGACAATCTCTTCAAGATGTACGTGCACAAGACGCAGGGCGTCTACAAATGCCACCGCTGCGGCTCAGCTGGTAGCTGGTTCGACTTTAAGCGCAAGTTGCAGGGCAATGTGGGCGTTGCCTCCTCGAGTAACGCGCTTTACGGAGGCAGCAATGCTGGGGCGCCTGGGGCTGCTGCAGAGGTGAAGGTTATTCAAGCACTAGACAACGAGAAGGCCATGGCGATACAGAAAAACCTGCTGGACGACCCCGAGTTTGAACCTGTGCTCAAGTACCTGACAGACATTCGTGGCCTCTCCAAGGAGGTATTGCAGAAGTACTGTGTAGGTGCAATTGAACAGCCGTTCTGGGACCACGATGCAGGCGAACGCGTCAATGCCCAGTGTATTTCCTTCCCGTGGATGGCTCGGCAGATGGACATGAACGCGATGGGAGTTGTGTGTCAGGATGAGAAGCAACAGACAACAGAAGACAAGAACTTGTACGACGTTGTCCGACTCAAACTACGCGCTGTGAACGACAAGGCTAAGCAGCAGCTTGTGCCTAAAGGTGGCAGTTGGGGGCTTTTTGGTTGGAACACCGTTCCTACAACTGCACAAGAGCTCGTTCTTACAGAGGGAGAGTTTGATGCGATGGCTGTGCACCAAGCGACTGGTATGGCTGCAGTATCACTACCGAATGGCTGCCAGTCGCTTCCACCGAGCGTCCTGCCGTTGCTCGAACGATTCAAGCGCATTTACCTGTGGATGGACAACGATGCCTCTGGTCAGTCAAATGTTGAGAAGTTCGCTGCAAAACTCGGCATGGCTCGCTGCTACATTGTCCGCATGCCTACGAATGCAGCGGCGTCTTCTATTAAGGACGCAAATGACGCTCTCCGAGCCGGCCTGGACCTTACAGCTATCGTGAATGCAGCAGAACGTATTCCGCACAGTCAGATCACCACGTTTGAGGAGCTTCGTCGTGACGTTTATGAGGAAATCGTAAACCCGTTGAAAGCTTGCGGCGTGCAATCTCGCGCTTTCCCGTCGTTGAACAGACTGATGAAGGGCCATCGTATGGGTGAAGTGACAGTGCTGACGGGCCCTACAGGATGCGGTAAGACTACGTTTCTGAGTCAGTTATCGCTGGACTTATGTGGTCAAGGAGTGAGCACACTGTGGGGTTCATTCGAGATCAAAAATACGCGACTAATGCACAAGATGCTCACACAACTGGCCCAGAAAAATCTGTCAGGTGACGTGAGAGCGTTTGAAGCCGCAGCTGATCGGTTTGAGGCGCTGCCCATGCATTTTTTGCGCTTCTTTGGTAGTACCGAAGTCGATGAAGTTCTGGACGCCATGGAATACGCTGTGTACGCCTACGATGTACAGCATATTCTGTTGGACAATGTGCAGTTCATGATGGCGGGTCAAGGGCGTGGATACGACAAATTCGAGCGACAAGATGCAGCATTGGACAAGTTTCGAAAATTCGCTTCAGCTAAGAATGTGCATCTCACACTTGTGATTCATCCGCGGAAGGAGCAGGAGGACCAGGATCTCACACTGTCGTCGGTTTTCGGTACGGCTAAGGCTACTCAAGAAGCCGATAATGTGCTGATCTTGCAGCGTACGCGTGGAGAATCCAAGTTGGACATCCGTAAAAACCGCTTTGACGGCGCTTTGGGCTCAATCCCGTTGAAGTTTGAACCGGATTCTGCTTCGTTGCGCGAGGTAGGCACAGAAGGGATGTCAGAGGGCGTTGCAGCTGTAGACCTCGAGGCCGAGATGGAGCTCGCTCAAAAGCGACGCATTCAGAAGAGCTCTCGTTCACAGGAGCATCTCCATCCAGAACCACTCGATATTGAACCACAAGATGACCAGTCTTCGCAAACGTTCCAGTATGTTGCAGCTCCTGCTGCTGATTCTGTGAATGGCCATGAACACACGAATGGATTCCACGACCATAACGGGAGTTATAGTTTCAAGGTCAACGGAAGCTCTTTACCCAGGCTCAGTGGTGACGACACCGATGATCACGACTTCAATGGAAGTAGCAGTGGCCTCAACGGTAATTCCAGACTAAACTCGCCTGGGAGCAATCTCAATGGCAATGGACCACACGCGAACGGGGGTGAACCTTTTGCCGCTTTCACGCCTATCATCACGCGGTAATTGCTGCTCAATATAGGGAAGTATTACCGAAATCCATGCTCGCGTGCTAGCCGTTAGTTTTTCATAGTTTTTCTAATACAAAAATTTACTATCAACTTCTAATGGTCCCCAGCCACGAACTAGAGCCTTGTCATCTATCGCAGAGATAATTGCTCGTAGATTGTCCACGTGACTGCCGTGGACAGCGTTCGTTTGATCACACGTGGAAGGATTCCCTTTGCGAAGCCACGCAGACCTTCGTGGTGATAGATCTTGGCCACAGTCTGTCGCAATGTGAGTGAGTTCTGCACAGCAGCAGCGCCGCCGTCTCCGTTGTTTACCATAATGGCGAGCTGCATGCGTGTCTTTACCACATCGGCAGGATGCACGATGGACGTCGCCAGCACGCCCGCGACCACGCCGCTGCTGAAATGCACGCCGTACACTGGCAGGTGCGAAAACTTCTCGGCCCACGAGTCGCGCAAACGCGTGTATATGAGCACATACAGTCCTGAAAACGGCACGTCTCGGATGAGCGTTGGCATCATGCCACGATACAATCCACATACGCCTTCGTGATGCAGCACGTGACGCACAACCTGCAAGTTGCTATCGAAAGTACCAGGCGGTAGGAACTCCATTCGCGCCTTGACAATAGTGAAAGGAGACATGACACCACCTGCAAAGGTACGCGCAAAAGCTCCTGCCAGGAAGGTGTTGACTGCAGTTTGTGGGAAAAGGTTGAGGCAGTGGTCCAGAGTGGCGAAGTAGAGCCCGGCGCCGCCCGCGACGCGAATGAGCGTGGACGAGGTTCCACGCCACATGGAGCGAAGCCTCGCTACAGGATCGTCAGCCGGTCGAGACGCCTTAATGGTGTCCGGAAGAGAGAGGCGTGAGGTTGCAGTAGACACTTTGGGAGGCTCCGAATGTGACGTGAACGCGCCCTGTTGATGCGTGCGCAGCACGTCCAGAGGCTGGAAGGCCAACGCGGAAATCATACCGGACAGTGCGCCCGCCAACAATTTCTTGGTCTTGCGTGTGGCGCCAGAGAGCTCGTCAATGTGGCGCTGGTCTTCCGCCAGCTTCGACACCATCATGGACGGCGCAGGTGTCATCGACTGTTGCTCTTGATTACTTGAGGTCGTCGTGGATGCCGGAATGCCGGCAATTGAACGAGTTTGAGAGGGGACCCATTATTTGCCGTGTGTGGACCACTACGACTACTCTAAGCCCCAAAAATAAGTTTAGGGTTATTTAGAACATTATTGCTTGTCATTTTAGATTTTGAAATTTCCTCGGATATCTCAATACAATATTTTAAAGAACGTTTTTCGGAGATCATTTTAATGATCTTTATTAAAATAACTCCAATGGATTTGTAAAAGGACCAAAATACTTTTTGATTGACACACCCAACAAATTTGATATAGCTTATCACGTCGGAGAAGTACTTCCCGATCAACAACGACTAATTATTGCAATGGTCGTGCTGTGCAGCGCAGGGTTACACAGTAATCGAATGACAGAGGCATTTAAACTATCACATACATAAGAGCTGAAAGTCGTAACGATTTGTTGAGTCAAACTGTGACGGGCTGCCGTCACACGCTTGCCATCGCGTTGCGCGATGGCCAATCAGGCCCCGATTGTGTATCACTGGCTGGGACGGCCTCGCGTGTCGAGGCCGTCTCGTCAATCAATATATTCAGAGTCAAATTTACCTTCCTCTTCAGTGTACGTCGGTAACGGGCCAGAAAGCCCGTTACACCTGGAAGCACTTCGTACTCCGTCCGACGACCAAGACCAAGATGAACGACGCGTCGATGGCAAACGCGTCTGTCACTTCGCTGGATCATGCCAGTTTTCCCCACCTCTCGACGATAGAGTGGGAGGCGCTGCACCGCCTCGCTGCAGTGTCTGGCGACGGCGTCATTACGACGCTGCTGACTGTGGGCACTGAGGGGCAGCAACGCCTGGCCGCCCAGGAGTTCATGGCGCGTGAGCTCGCTGACCTTCGTCAGCGAGTATCGACTCCCACACAGACCAAGAACAAGACCGACATCGTCAAGCTCGATGTCTCGACCTACAGTGGCAAAGGCGAGAGTCGCCTTCACCTCAAGCGCTGGTTCTGCGAGGTGGACATCGCAATTGAAGCTCGGCAGCTGTCTACCGAGCTCGCGCGCACGCGCTTTATCCTATCCAAATTGACGGGAAAGGCGAAAGATTGGGCGCTCGGTAAGCTCGTTGCCGACGCCTCCTGCTTCCCGACTATGGACTTAATGAAAACGGACCTGCGACTCGTATTCGAGCCGCCACAAGAAGAGACCGCCCAGAGAACAGCTCTTCTGTCCCTGCGCCAAGGGGCCGTGTCGATGCTAGAGTATATCCAGCGCGCGCGCCACCTCGTATCGTGCATCACGTCTCATCCGGCGGACATGACGACCCAAGTTCATGTCTTCGTGTCCGGTATGAACGCTGGCTACCAGTGTTTCTACTTGACCCGGAAGACCCCATCGACTCTAGAAGAGGCCTTCGCCGTCGCCCTCCGCGAAGACTACAGTGTGACAGCATCGCAAGCACAAAAAAACGGCGACAACCAGTAGGTGTGGGGCACCCTACTGGTCGCGGAAGGAGCGATGGCTCTCTGTGGCAGAGCCTCCTCCTAGCCCTCCCGTGCTTCATGCACATCTATTTTTCACCACCTCCGGCAGCCTGTAGGTTGATCGTCCTCAACGTTCAAGTTGATGGCGCGAGCTTCGTGCGCTGCTGGATTCGGGCGCGACGAACAACTTTGTTCGCGCCGAGAGTTTGGCGGTGTTACCGGCGGATCTGAGCCTTCGCGAAGGTCGGAGGGGGGGGGGGATGATCGTGAAGTACGCCGATGGGAAGCCACGGCGCACGCCGCGGCGCTCTACGACCTTCACGTACGAGTTTGACGGATTCCGAAGCTCCGAAGAGTTCCTAGTGATCGAGCTGAGTGGTTCGTTCGACTGCATTTTCGACATGCCATGGCTCGCCCGTCACCAGCCTGAGATTAACTGGCTGACCGGCACAGTCCGTCCACGTGACATCGACGTAGTACTGGCGTTCTTGCGCAGAACGCCGAACCGATGGCCGCATGTTGCAGTGATGGACTCCGACTCCATGACCCTGCCACACCTGAAGTCCTTCGTGTGCGGCGTGCGAGCGCGCATCTTGCGCCGGTATTGAGCAGGTGGCTCAAGACGTGTCTGACGTGGTCGAGCATGGGCTCCCACGTCCCGATGAGCAGCGGCTCTCGGCAGCAGACAACAACGTGGTTGAACAGAGGTTCCCACGCCCGGACGAGCAGCGGCTCTCCGTTGGCAACGAACGAGAAGACGTGGTTGAGCGTGGTCTCCCACGTGCGGTCGAGCAGGGGCTCCCGCATGTGGTCGAGCAGGAGCTCCCTGATGAAGTTGACGCCGATGTCGTGTCCCGGTGTCTGAGTACAGCAGACTTGGTCGAGCGTGGTCTCCCACTCCCTGCTACGGACGAGTTCAACCGGCCTGTTCGTCGCCGTGGTCACCGCCAGCCTCGGCGACCCCGAGCTCTTCCGCGTGAGATTATCTCCGTCCTGATGGGGGATGACGCGGCGACAAGACCACGTAAGTACGACATCGAGGTCGCACGCCTTCCGTCTGACGCATCCGAGATCACCAAGTTGCCTGGCCTGTCGTGGAAACACTTCCTCCACGACTTGAAGCATGGAGAGATTGAGCAGGTTTGCATGATCGTCGCGGATAACTCTGCAACTATCGCGGCTGTCGATATAGATGCTGGCGATCTAGCATCTGACGCCCGAGAATGTCCGAAAGGTGCTGAGCCGAAGTCCGCCCGTGAAGCCCGCTATGCAGCTCAGTCGTTGCCGGCACTCGAAGCCGCCGGCAACCCGGTTGCTCCACTGGTTCGCGAGTTTATCGACATCGTCCCTGCCAAGGTTCCGGCTGAACTCCCCCCGGGTCGTGGCGTCAAACACGAGATTGACCTCGTGCTCGGCGCGAAGTACTGCTTGACACGACAGTGGCCGCTTCCCCGTGACCAAGTCGAAGCGATCGATGCGTTTTTTGAGGGTCGCCGGCAAGCCGGCCATGTCCGTGAAAGCCTTTCGCCACATTCCAGTCCGACTTTCTGTGTGAAGAAGGCGGCGGGCGGGTGGTGCATTGTCCACGCCTTCATCAAGCTACCATCCCGGCGCAGACGCCCATCCCGCGGAAGGACATGGTGCTCGACACTATGTCTGGCAGCACTGTCTACAGTACTATCGATCTCATGGACGGCATCTACCAAATCTTGATGCGCGAAGAAGACGCGCCGTTGACCGCGGTCAGCACGCCCAGTGGAATGTTGTGGGAATGGCTCGTGATGCCGCAGGGTCTGAAGAACGCCCCTGCCACTTTCAATCGCATGGTGTCCAATCTACTTCGCCCGTATCGCGACTTCGCGCTCAACTACTTCGACGACATCTTTATTCACAGTCGCGCCGAGAGCGTCATGACGGATGTCGACATCCACCTTCAACACCTCCGCAAGGTGTTTGATGTAATGCGGGAAAACAAGCTGTACGCCAATTTGAAGAAATGCATCTTCTGCGCTCCCGAGATCCCAGTGCTCGGGACCTACGTCAGCAAGGACGACGTCCGCGCCGACCCGGAAAAGATCGCGGCGATCTGCGCTTGGCCAACACCACAGGACCAGAAGCAGCTCCGGCAGTGGCTCGGACTCGCCACTTACCTCCATCATTACTCGAAGAACTTTGCTTCGACTGTCCGTCCGCTGTCTCAACTTTTGAAAGCCGACGCTACGTGGTCGTGGCGCCCCGAATATCAAGCTGCCTTCGACGCGGTGAAGACGAGCTTGTCCACCGCGCCAGTCCTGATGCTCCCGGACCATTCGAAGTCCTTTCATGTGGTGTGTGACGCGAGCGCCTTTGCTATTGGAAGCGCCTTGATGCAGTTTAATAAGCGAGCGAGTGATAAGTTATCAGTCGCGTCAATTGAAACCCGCGGAGCGGAATTATCCGGTCCATGACAAGGAGTTATTGGCGATGCGATACGCCCTCATCAAGTTTCGCGTGTACCTCTTGGGCGAACAAACTTTCGTGGTATATACGGATCACGCTTCGCTTCGGACGGCGACGAAGAACCCCCATCTGTCACAGCGCATGGCACGCTGGTTATCGCTCTTCTCCAAGTACAACTTCGTCGTGCACTGCAATCCGGGCAAGACCAACATTCTCGCAGACGCGTTATCGCGTCGGCCCGACTACGTGTCCTCCGGTCGCCACGCAGATGGTGACGACGACGAAGACGACTGTGCTGTGTGTATCGCTGAAGGCGTCGCTACTGTTGAAGTCGCAGCGTCCACTCCGCTACGTGACTTGATCTCCGACGCGTACAAGGACGACGCATCCTGTTCTGAGCTGATCAAGTTCCTGCGGAACCCCAACGACACAGCCAAGCGCAAGCGGTCCCCAGGCGCACGCGCTCGCATCGGCCGCTACTCCCTTGACGGCGTGCTGCTGACGTACCGCGTCGATCAAGAGGACTCTCCCCGCATCGTCGTTCCGCTTGACGATGATCTCCGAGCTCGGCTGATCCACGAGTTTCACGATACTCCAAGTGGTGGACACCTCGGTCGCGAGAAGACCTTTGCGTCCCTTTCTCGCGACTTCTACTGGCCGCATATGTACAAGTGGGCGCGGAAGGGGGTACGCTCGTGCGAAGCGTGCCAACGCGTGAAGCCGAATCCGTCCAAGCAGGCCCCGCTTAGACCTCTCCCAGTCGCCACCGACGCGTGGTCATCCGTGAGCATGGACTTCGTCTTTGGCTTACCTCGGGGCACTCGAGGTCGTACTCATTCTCGTCTTCGTTGGCCACTTCAGCAAGATGGTCCATCTCGCTCAAGTCGCAGCTTCGATCACCGCACAGCAGGCTGCTGCGCTCTTTGTCGACGTGGTATACCGCCACCACGGCATCCCGTCCTCAATTGTGTCAGATCGGGATCCTCGCTTCACGTCCGCCTTCTGGAGAGAGCTCTTCAAGCCGCTGGGGACGCGGTTGGCTATGTCTACCGCGTCACAGCCCGAGACGGACGGCCAAACTGAGCGCGCCAACCGTGTCGTCGAAGACGTGCTCCGCAGCTTCGCCACATCGTTTACCTCGTGGAGTTCATTCCTGCCCATGGTCGAGTTCGCGATCAACAACGCTGTGCACGCGTCGACTGGCCTGACCCCGTTCTTCATCAACTTCGACCGTCGTCCCAGCGCTCCTTGGGATGGAGCACCCGTCCATCGCTCCTGTTCCCGCAAGCGAAGACGCGGCAGTGTCCGCGCCGTCCGACCCGGCAACCTTATCGCGTGCGGCCGTGCCTCTGACGTATGTTGCCAGTCGTGAAGGTGCTCACGACACTGCTGCGCCACTATTACACGCCGTCACCACGTGACATGGTGCCAAGACTGCCACGCAAGGAGTGCGTATACGCGCCACCACCAAACCCGCGCTGAATCCAGACGGTGCGACTCAGGGCCAAGTGCCGCGAACAAATGCCGCCACGGGGGCGACACCGCCTGACATTGCCGCTTGGACTTCGCGGACGTTGATCGCTCCAAGTCAATGTCGTGCCGTTGAATACCAGAACGCGCCGGGTGCGGTCGCTTCTGCTGTGCCGATTCCCGCCAACTTCGACCCGCTTCCGGTGCCACAGCCTCATGATGCTGTGACTGTTAACGACTTCCTGGCAAAGCGTGAGTCCATCGTCCGCTTCGTACGCTACACCATCGCAACGGCGGTGGACCGTCAAAAAGAATATGCTGATCGATGCGGCCGCAAGAACAGAGAGGTGTTCGTTGTCGACGACCGCGTCCTACTTTCGACGGCCGGCATCCAACCAACAGCGGTGACGAACTTGGGTACCAGCAAGCTTGCACCACGATTCATAGGTCCATTCAAGGTTACGAAGGTACTTGGGGATGCGTACACGCTTCAACTGCCTACCGCTATTCGCCTGCATCCTACCTTCTACGTCGGTCGACCCCGCCGATACCACCCGGCGGATGTCCCTAGTGGCAGTCCCGATCACGTTCACGGCGCTCCGGTCCACGTGCCCCCAACTGTCGACGCAGCTCCTCCAGGTCGCGCTCCAGCCGCTCCCAGTCCCGGCGGCGTTGATGCTCCGCCTCCGCTTCCGCCCAGCGGTCGTACTGTCCGGTTCCTGCGCGACGGTCCTCCGCCTCTCGTGGATAGCGCGGGCCACGTTCGACATATCGTGAAGGTGATCTTGAGCACGACGATCGTCGCGCTGCTCCTCGTCGTACGCAGTCTGGCCGAGGCGCTCGTATCCGCGGCAATCGCGTTCCCTCGCATCGGCAGTACCTTGTCCGCTGGCTCGGTCCATTGGAGGATAGTTGGGAGCCCCGCGAGGTGCTCCTCCAAGACGTTCCGGACTGCGTGGCGGCGTACGAGGCAAGCCTGCTAGGCGGCGCGGCGGCGCGCCGCGCCTAGCCTCTTCCAGCGCGCGCTGGTACCGTCTGATCACATTGTCTTCGGTGGGGGAGAGAGGGGCAGCGTCAAGGATGCGCTGCCATGCTGCAGGACCGGGTCGAGAGCGCTCGTACCCGCGACAGCGCGCACAGCCTTCGTTGAAGTGGACGAAGCAGCAATCCCGATCGGCTCCCCATGACAGCTCGCATACTTGCTCCGCAAGCGCGCTGAGGGACAGACCAGCGTGGTCCGCCTCGCGCTGCTCCAACTTCCGCTTGAACTCATCGGCGCCTTCCGTGTTCCAGCGCTCCACGAACGCAGTCCAGGCGCGATCCAGCGACCGCGGGGTCACGGTGGCCGACACCGTGGCGGGCTTGCTACGCGTCGTTCTCCAACGGCGGAACAACTCCTGCATCTCAGCGTCCCCTGGCGAGTTCACCACGGCGCTGCAGTCGTGCAGCGCCCAGCGTTCCAGCACTTCTTCGTACGTGGACAGTCGGTCGCGGTCCGGCGCCTGCGCCGCTCCTCGCTCCGCTCCCGCCGCAGACTACATGCTACTGCCAGCTCGCAAGATCCAAACTGAGTCCGTGCATGTTTCATTTTAGTGAGGGGTGGTGTGACGTGCTGCCGTGACACGCTTGCCAACGCGTTGCGCGATGGCCAATGAGGCCCCGATTGTGTATCACTGGCTGGGACGGCCTCGTGTGTCGAGGCCGTCTCATCAATCAATATATTCAGTCAAATTTACCTTCCTCTTCAGTGTACGTCGGTAACGGGCCAGAAAGCCCGTTACACAAACGCACATGCACCGGTACTGAGAGTGTATATACTGCAGCTCCTTCCAACTGAGCAAGCTAAGGGTGTCTGCGTTCGACAAAGATCTTAGATGGTAGCAGCATATACATCCCACAATTGTTGATATCGACAAAAACTTCTAACCTACTCACATACGACTGAAATCTGTATTATCTCGGAGCGAAGTAAGGTACCATTGTGAGAGAGAGATGGGCCTTAGTTCCGTAGCTTGATCCCATCGGATTGTAGACTAAAACTTCTTTAGATCTCAGGTTTATCATGACCGATCAGCACTTACGACCCCCCCCCCCCCCCCGCACACACACCTCCTATTTCCCGTGGTAGTTCCACTTAAGCGGTCGATTTGCATGACGAGTACCATTGCCACGATAGGCCGTGCTCTCAACTTTGATTTGATGTGTTGGTGGCGTGTCAAATGACAACTAGTGCCCTGACTACGGGCGCTAAGTGCAACAAACTGTCGATGCGAAGCCACGAAACGAAAACAACCCGAAACGAAGTCCCACAACCTGGTGCCGCAGCTAGATGCTGGTTGTTGGTAAGAGATGAAGTAGAGTAGTGATCAATTGGTCGGTTAGACTAAAGCTGTCTCAAGCAGCCACCTGCCCATGGAAACGAGGACACGGACATAAGTATTATGGTCCCATCCAAAAACCTTTCAATCTCAAATCCGAATTCTATTGTTATCTACCAATGAAAATCTAAACTAGTTTGATGTCGATTGACTAAAACGTTCTCCTGAGCGTCACAAAAACTCCGGATGACAAGCTTGATTGAAACAAATCCAAAAAAGTTTTACTAGTGAGGTTGCGCTAACCCCGAAGTTTACGAGGCAACTTGCGTGCCAAACGATTACCCCCTTTAGCTGCTCGACCTTTGCTAGAGGTCCAACTGGACTCTACCAGGATTCAAATAGAATCGCAATTCCCCCATAATTTACCAGCATTTGTTGAAAATGTTACCGAAGAGGTATATGCACCACCTATCATATTGCGTCTAACAACCTTTCAAGTTGCCTTGTCTAACCTAAGCCGAATAGTTTAACTTAAACCAAAGGGAATGCATACAAGGCAAACACAATGTAGCTGTTCGTAATATGCTGTTCATTGTAAACTGCTAGCAAATTCAGAACAATTGGCGTGGGAGTTCTCTGCCGTCGCATTGGCAAGAGGACTGCATCGTAACATGTCGATTCTTATGCGGTCCGGAGATATAATATGTGGCAAGTACCCTGTAGCTGGATGCGCAGCTGCAACTAAGCAAATCTGAAAATGTTACATTCGAGGCTATCGCGTCGCCTCCCCACCCTTTCCGCAGCTCGCTCATTTGGAATTAGTTCGGGAAAATCTTACTTCTGAGCGCCTCTGGCGGACTTCTGAGTGGCTACATCAGTTGGCGGAGAAATGAGTGGGCTGTTGACTTCTGAGTGCGGCTTGGTTGACTTCCGAGCGGATGCAGGAAATATGAGCGTCAATGAAAAGTAATGTATTGATGAAATAGTAGTGCTACCTATTTCAAGGGACTACTTCACGCAGTGAATTGTGCTACCCTGGGGTCATTCCTGTTTCGTTTGCAAAGCGAATGGCTTCAGCAAGCGCTTGACACTCGAGATATCAATAGAGCCGCCAGATAGCAACACGTTCCACTTGTACACGCCGCGCTGATTCTTCCACGTACTCACCACACCAGGAATGTTTTCGTGTGAACTTGGATTCTCGATTAAGACGGGAAAGTTTAGTAGACGACTTGGTTTCGCTAACAGTAGCGCAATCATATTGTCAACATCAAAAAATGCTGTTGAGTTGCCATCTCGAGCCAACGCGCGAGAACCTTTCCGTGGACAACCGGGAGGCTTTCGCGCCGGAAGTGCTTGCATCATTACACTCAGCGGAAAATCGTCGATAAATGTCATCGTAGCGACAATATGAGAGCACACCCACCCTGTCACGAAGTAACTTCTGCACGTACACAGATACTTCGATCGAACAAGTAGTGCCTGACAACAAAAACAAGCAAAGTGCCAAATTAGCTAAACAATCGCTCAAAGCGCTGTAGTACATACCTCCTGGCGCGTCCACACAGGTTGAGCAATGTCGTGGTCAATGTTGATCGTGCGGTCGCGCATTTGCACTCGGTGCATGGACAGATAGTCTACGTGAAGAGTATCTGTCGTTGCGTCTCTTTTCAGAGTTCCATCGCGGGAGTTTTCAAACACGCGAGCCGTATATTTTCATGCTGTTTAGGTTACCATCATGCGGGCCATGGGACACGTACTTCGCTAAATTGTAGAGGATCGCCTGGATTAAGCGTGCCGGACCCCTTCCTTGGTACACATAACGAAAATTCCCATGCAGAGTGAGTTGGCTACCTGCGACGACCCACTCGTTTGCTAAAAGCCCCCCACAATAGTGACCAAAAGAAGACACAGCGTCAGCTCAATTTCCAGCGTGAATCATGACACTAGCAAGGACGTCGTTTAACACACGAGCTGTAGATGCACGTAGCGATTGAATAGCACTTTTCTTGAGGCTGCGGTGATGCGACTCAATGGGATTCTGAGAACACCGGCAACTCCACTTGACACGCGATACCAACGATACCAATTCGTGGACAGATACTCAGCTTCCAACCATGTCGCGTATGCTTCTTCTCCACACGCTCTCCAATGTGCAATTACTATATCACGCATAGCCGAAAATTGAGCAGGGCTTCGGGCTTCGTGCAAATAGTCTAGACACACACGGGCAACGCCCGATATAAAACTGGGCGATTTCAAAATTGACTCCTTCTCGCCGGTCTTGCGTGCAAGATGAGCCCAGCAATTTAGCAGCGTAATTTCTAGCCACTCTGCCTTAAACACATTTGCAATTGCAGCATCATGATCAAGAGACCCAAACCGAAGACGCAGCTCAAGACCGAAAAATTCCAGCGATCGTTGGTGCACAATTGACAACATCTCAGTATATGCTCGCTCATTTCAGACTTCACGAACATGTAGGCCCAGGGGACGTACCGATGAACGTACTTTTGCCGATCAAAAGCAACGACAGCAGGTCAAAGCAGACCAAGGTCCACCCACCAAAGTGCACCTTGTATGTGCCATCCGTCACACCGAAAACACCATCTTCACCTTGGCCGCAAATTGAGAATGCAACATTCCGGAATATTTTTCGTGAGGTGAACACCAACCCCATGCAAGCAGGATCGAAGCATCAGAAAAGTAACCCCAACACAATTACATCGTTTTGAGTTGACGACGCCACATTAGCAAATTCAACTCGATCAGCTTCCAGAGAAAATGAATCCACGGTTTTACCGAAAAAAGCAACTTGAGTCTCGCATATACGTCCACCAGCCCACTTCAGTAAATCAGCATAGGTCAGGACACTTTTGCCTGAACAGTACAAGTAAATTAGTACCGCACAATAAAACAAATTATTGATTGTTTGACTCACCTGCTGCGAGCCTGCTCAAATATTGCTTCCTGTTCTTCAACTGTTTCTCGGTTGGCAAAAACCTTAACTTCTCTGGATTGTTGGTGCACACTTTATCTAAGAGGACAAGGCAAGCTTTAGGACCATTGCCTCTGAGGAGACTATCGACCTCTCCGAGAATTGCTCGATTTATACCCATCTTAGCCACATTGGACGTTTCCTCAGCATGGGCACCAGTAGCTTGGAGTGTGTGTTTGCTGTCTTGCGAGTGCAGACGCAGGAAATACGTGCAGGAAAGGTGCGATGCGTACCGATATGTCGTTATCTTGACTCCAACTCTAGCTGACTTGTGATAAACTTTAAAACGATACGAGGAGTGGCTGTCCACGAAATCGCCGGCTTGTTTAAAAGATGAAAATTCACCAATCACTGGGACATCGTCGGGCTGGGACTGCGTTCGGTCTCAAAACTCTTCTCCCTCGGGTTCAGAATCAGAAGACGCCACATGACCGTCCTCCGTTGCCATCGTGGCCGCAGTGGTGCTAGTTGGCAAGTGAAGAAATGCACAGGGTCCTGAAATATACCCTCCAAAGTTGCTAAAGGACATGGACGCCTTCACAGCCAACCGCAGCATTTATTCCTTTACAGTCAACAACAGCATTTTGTTAGCAACACACGTCGCACTAGGGCGATTGGAAGCACTTCAAGTTGAAGTCTTCAATACCATTCAATAAAAGGTTTCTTACATGTTACACTCACTTGTCCTCTGCCACCCAGAAGTCCTCCGTGTAAAAACGAGGAAGGACATTACTCCGCCATCACAGAAAAGGCTCATAAAAGTCCGCTTCTTCGCTTGTTCGATCGGAAGTCCGCATGTTGCCGCTCAGAAGTAATCCGCACCCAATTAGTTTGTGAGTGGAGTTCTAACACCCAATCACCCCTTCTGAGGGGGGGGGGGGGGGGGGGCTTCACTACGATTTCGTCCGGATGGAACTTCTGGAATACACACAAGCATGGCTGCCCTACCGTTTGGGGTTTCCGATAAATCGATTTACAGTTTAATTATACTTGTCAGCTAGTTCACCTGGCTTCCTGTCTGCACCCTGGTCTCTGTTGCTCACTGATTATGGCTATGTCGGCATGTACGATAGCCACCTTGTATTCTTAAGACAATGTAAAACATCCGGTATTCCTCGCCCAGGATCGAAGTCCGACCAGGTCTAACTAGTCTAGGGTCTTCTGGCAGTCACAGTCACAGGAGGCTTGATCACGCTGTTCCACGTCATACGCCTAGCCAAGCCAGGTGGTACACAAGCTGGTGCCCTCTATCTCTCCTTTTGGGATTTCAAAATAATTGATAAACGCTATTGGGATTCACTTTGCCTGGGGTAACAAAGCCTATCCATAGCTAAGCATGATTCATCACGATTCATTTCACGTGCCATTCTGCTGACTTCACAAGCCGGTCGTTTCGATTCCCTGCCCCCTCCCCGCCATTCAAATCAGTAGCAGCTGCTTAGGATCCGATAGAGTTCTTTGTCCGATTTTGCCGAGGTGTACTAGTCAAAATGGCATCGGTATTACTTGAACTCTTAGTTTAGCTATACAAGTACACCCAAGCATGGGTATACAGAAGCTAGGAATAGGAGCTGCTATGACCAATACAACCTGTAATCGGCTGAAAACGATTCTGGAACTCGTCAATTGTAACAACACCGTCGACGATATGCCAAGAGCATGAAAGCTATAATGTTTGTTTTTGAGTTATCGCGTTCTGGTGGCCACCCGTAAGCAGTGCACCGATGCTGAGGATTCCTAGGCATGTTTGTGGAACCACCGACTCTTCGCGCAAAGATTTAAGTCTGGAGACGGGGGGGGAGGGGGGGGGGGGGGTTGGTAGAAATGACGATTTAGAGTAGTGTCAATGGTTCAAAAGTATCTGACAATGACCGAACGTAGAACCAGATCAGAGCGAGCTGTCAACGGAGCAAATCTACCGATCGATTGGCGAAGTTTGCCATATCGCATTACCCTATCTAAGCTACATATTGGATTTCGGAGATTCGAAATCTTTGTTGGAGGCTTCAGGTGACCCTCTGTAAGCTTCAAAACGAGCTCTAGAAGTCAGTAGATCCAAGTTTGCTGCTGTTTAACGAGTGAGTTTAGAATCGGCTATGAAAGTGGGAGTACCTACCTGATAATAATGAAAGGGTGGTCTCGTCACGTTGAACTCGTGGACATCGAACCAAAGGCATCAATACATGCATGTAAACTGGGTTTCTTTTTTATCGAACTACTAGCCTAAAATCGTAGGAGCTTCTGTCGACATACGCTATAGTAGGGGAATGTGCTGATCTTTTCACAAAGAGTGCGACACTGTGTTCTGCTGTATTGCAAAATTTTATCCCACATGTGCATACCCAATAGTGCCATGATGCTGGACTTCAGTCTGCCGGAATTGCTTCTAACGATGCTAAACTTTCGGTACCTCAATACTCACTGTTTATCACCCGGTTGCGTTCTGTTTTGGTATCCTTGCGTTCGTAAAACTTGTTATCATGATTGGTACTTCCCTGCATGAAAAGGGAGTTCAATACAGAAGATAACATTCGCAAGCTCGCGTTTAACTGATGATACCAAAAATATATGTATATGCAATGAACACCTCAAATTGTAGATCAAGTCGCCATGCACAGTAAAAGTAGAAAAATGCACTACGCGCAAGGACACTGCTCCCTTTCCGACCGCCATGCAACCATAAACACTATTTTCCTTACTCGCTAAATCTTGCAAACGCCCGCATCGTTGGTCACCGTCAGGATACGCACACAATGTGTAGAAAGGTGTCCACTTTCTCTGCAATTCAAACACTTTTTTGCCTACAAATCCGAAACTTAAAAAAAAACGTCAACAATGGAACGTTCCTAGATCTCCCACTTATAGACAATTCTCAGCGAATTACACATTCGACACTTTACCTTAATTCTCTTTCTTCTTGTCCTTCACTTCTGTCTTTTTCTTGGATCCGTGAAGCGCAGACCCCTTGATACGAAGCTGGCTCCAATCTGGTGCTGTTTCGCCATGGTAGCCGTAGTCGAAAAACAGTTCTTCACCCTTGGAAATATCTTGCTGTGCCCAAATGGAAATTCGATGTTCGCCACCCACAGTCAGAACTTTTCCCTTGCACTTCTTGTTCACTGCCGAGTGGTTTGCGAACTTGCTTTTATTGCCCTTGCGAATTGCGTCAACGACCGAGTCGTCGTCGACATCGAACAAAAAGCTGATTGTCATCTTGTCATAGATGCTTCCACGTCGTTCAGCTTCATCCTGGGATAGAAGCGCGCCGTGGTATTCGTAGATGAACTCGCCACGCTTGATCGGTTCCAAGGCAAACGCACCCCAACCGTGTGTGGTAGAATAGGCCACGCCAATTTTCTTGTGCTGACCACGCAAGATATTCACGTTACAACAGATACCTAAGTCCAGTGCGGACATGTTTCTGCGTTCCTCATCGAAGATCAGCGCAGGAACTTCGCTAGCACCACAAGTGATGCACAAATCCGGATTGCACTCGCGCGCAGCAACGAAACACGGACACGCCTTGGTTCGGCAATTGCCGAGGCTGCACCTGCAACCAGGGAACCTAAAAATCCAAGTTAGAATTGGGTTAGCAGTAAGTACAGCAAGCGTAAAAAAGATCACACAAACCTGTTGGGGCAGTCACGTGAGCACGAGCACGCCTTGTCGCACGTGTGGTCTCGAGTCATGCATGAGCAGTCTGTCGAATCGCATGCTCCTTCGTGGTTGCACGGTTCGTACTCGTGGTTCGCTCCCTTGTCCTTCAAGCGGTTGTTTCTGGTTCGGTTGAGCAGAATACGGTTATTGCTGCTACGTGAGTTCCGAGCCCTTCCACGCTTTCGACCATTGTGAAGAGAACGACCTTCAGGCGAGAGAGGCATGTCATCCATTGAACTGGTGCGCGTAGGCTTGCTCTGTCGCTCAGATTCCAAGAACGCCCCAACCTCCTTGCACGTTGTCGACTTGACCATCGACGAAATGATACACGGGTTGTCACCGATGATGGTATGAAGCTTGCGAAGTAAGACCAACTCGGTCTCACTCAGTGCTTTTGTGGTGGTCTTCGCCTCATCCGAAGAAAGACCAGTTTCTCCAGAGTTTTCAGCTTTCCAGCACTCACTCGAGCAGTTCTCATCATCCTTGAGCGACTTCTTGACAATGGCAGTCACCTCAGCATAGTGAGAATCGTCCAGGTACTCTGACTCATCCGCCACCTGCGGATATATCTGCACGCGCTGAGGACGAGACTGCTTCCTCTTCGATGGCTGTGCAGCTTGTTTAGTTAAGCTTCGGCTAGCCAGAGTGTTGTTCCTCGTCGCAGTGCGAGTAGATCGACGCGTTTCATTCGATTCCCCAGCAACTACCACTTCTTCGTCCGTGGCAGTCTCGTAACAAGCCTCACTCGACCCGTTCTCCATAGTAACATCTTCATCGGTAGGCACATCCTCTTCGTTCTTATCATCAGCTTTGAAATTGTCTTCAGCTGAGCAATTGCCACTATCCACGCTCGGCGGAGGGCTCACAGTGGAGGCGCAGCTTTCTGGGCTGCAGCTTAATTGTTCTGCGATCTCCTCCTGCTCTTTCTTCCTAGTAGCTGCAAGTGCTACAGCTGACAGATGGAGTGGCGGGTTAGCGGGATCAACTCGATGAGAGGGGAGAGGGTGTTCAATGCCGTGCTCCAGACAATGATAATCGTAACACATCCGGCAGAACATGTCACGATACGTAACCAGCAGCTCCGAATATTCATCAGTTGAACGCAAACCCAATCCGTAGCCACGGTTGGCGTGATTCCTTGCGAGGTTGGAGTCGAAATATGTCGCTGGAGGTGCTAACCGCTCCTCCAAGGTCTTCTGAGAATCATCAGCATCCCCAAGTGCTGGCTCCAATGTTGCAACCTTGGTTAGCGGGAACTCTGGTGGTTTACTCGAGATCAGATCCTTCGCCTCCTTGATACGGCGTGCGGCGAGTCGAGTAGAATCGTCCAGCTTCTTGATTTCAGCGTAGTCCGAGTAAGCTTGGGCAAAGCCTGGCACCTTTTTCAGTGCACTAAACACCTTTTCCGTGGGGCCGCACTCACGAACAACAAGACGCAACATAAACTCATTCACCTCGCCATCCAATCCACTCGAAAGACTGGAGTTCTTGGGCGCAACCGCATCATACCAAGCTTCGTCGATATCCGCACCGTCGTCATCTTCTCCGAAATAAGGCTTGTAGCGCAAAATCGGGTCGTCTTCCACGCGGACATTAGCCTTCACGCCAATATAGGCCGTGCATTTGCTCAGTGGCCGAATATTAGGCAGCTGGTTAACGTCGTGAGGATAGAGCTTCTCTTCGACATCAATCGTTTCACCCCAAATGTTGGTGTACCCCAACGACAACGCCTGTGTGAGCTTTTCCTGCTTCATCTGGTTCAATAGAGACTTATCCAGGGTGTCCACATCGCCCAGACGCTTGCCTTCAACTACGCAAAACACATAATTAGAATTAGCGCTCCGTAAACATCCACGTGATATGCAGGAAATATAACCTACGCTGGGAATCCTGCCTCTGATTCTGAACCGCCTCGTGCGCAGCCAGATACGCTCTAACTTTTGATCGCGATTCGGCAATTACTGCCGAGGTTTTTCCTTGATGACATGCTCGAAGTCTAGGTAGTTCACGCTGGATGATGTTTGTCACGCGAATATCCATGTCCTCTTGTGTGATGGTCTGGTCGGGCTCATCGGATACTAATGCGGATGAGATAAAATGTGTCGATTTTCCGAATTGTGGCAATAGCTTGCATTTGCTCCTCAAGTCACCATCCACATCTGTGCAAAAGATAACAACTACGTCAGTAACAATGGCTAAAGTGCTGGTCCTCCATCTAGTACAGTACAAACCATAGCTGAGCAGCGGCCGGTCAAACTCCGAGAAAAAAGGAAGCGCAACATCCACAGGCAGTGGCAACAAATTCGACGGTGCCGTATCGAAACACACGTTCCGCCACACTGTGCTGTGCATCACTGTATCCCGAGCATTTCTTGGACGCGCCAACTTGTCGGAAACAACACCAGACTGTGCAGGCAGAGAAGACTGCACTCCCGACGTAGCAGACGAAGATCGAGAGTTGTTGTCCCCTTTCTTGGCTTTAGACTTGGATGACTTCTTCGATTCACTGGACCTGTTTTTGTTTGTCTTGCCGCTTTTGCTTTTTTGGTCATTAGTACGCGCTGAAGCAGGTTGCGCAGACGGCGTTTTGGGCTTGCTGGGCACATACTCTTCGTCGCTAACTCCCTTGTTTGACTCCGAATACGATTCTTCCAACAACGGCTCGGGCTCGTATGAGCCTTTGGATTTGTTCTCTTCGAACTTGCCATCATCACTCGGCTCCGATTCAGACCAACCAGTTCCGTCGATAACGTTGTTATTGCTCTGGGCTGCAGAGAAAAAGAACGATATTTTCTGAGCCGATGATGACTTTGTCGTTTGCTTCGGTGCTGATTTTGATGCCACTTTCTTTTTCTTTTTGGGGGGCGCAGCACGATCCTTCATTTTAGCGTTTTCATCACGCAGGCGCGCAAGTTCCCGCTCTTGAGCCACCACATCCTTTAGAGACATTAGCTTACTTCGGGGACTCAATAAAGCTGCACGGTTATCGTCCGTAGACGACGAAGACTCCGACGACTCATCACTTGACTCAGGAAAGTCGAAATCAAATGGCGAAGGTGACGCAGTTTTCTTCAAAACTGAACTTTTAGTCCTGGAAATAGGCGAGCTATTCCTCGTCGAAGCTGCTTCACTTGCCTTGCGCTTGGTGCCTGTAGTCGGTCGACGCGCAGTGTTGCGAGGCGCCGACTTGCGATGCGCCATCGCCTGCAGCCTCTCGAACTCCCGCTGCTGTGCCTGCAGCTCACTGAATGACATGGCGTCCGCATACATGCGTCCATCACTGTCAGCGAACCTCAACTGCGTCGTCTCCCCAGCTGTGTCATCGTCCGAGTCCGCCGTAGCGCTGGATAGAAGAGCAGAGCTGGTTTTCTTCTTCTCGTTTTGAGACGTTGACTGTTCACTGGTAGCACCCTCGTCCTCCTTACTCTCAGAAGGAACCTCCTCATCTGATTCACTGTTATGAGCGGAGTTCAATACCTTGGAGTCACTGACTGAGACCTTGGGAGACTCCACACGCAGCTTCTTGGGACGAGGGGCTTCGGACTCGTCCGACGAGCTCACAAGCAATGGGGTGCTCTGGCGGCCACTGGCGGGCGCTGGCTCCTCATCGCTCGAGTCGTCGACGACAATCACAGAGCTGGGTGGACTCGGCATAAACTGTGGCAATGAGTACATTAGGTTAGAACAAGAGCGTATTAAGGGGTAAAAACTATTTGAGATGCCATGCAAGGTGCAGGTGAAGATGCAACGCTACTATTTGTGCTGTATCGCGATCTGCGGGCGATGATATGCATGATGAATATCCTACCTTGCCTCTCGCTTCCGTGAGCCTTTCGTTCGTTTCACAAAGGTGACAAGTGAACACGAAAAAGATTAGGGAGCTTATTTGAGGTACGTTTTAAATTAATTTTTGTCAAATTGGCTTAATTTTTACCGTTATTGGGGCTACAAGTTAGAGATTTGTTTATTTGATAAAACAAATCTCGGGGCCAGAGTTTCTAATACTGTAAGAGAAATCATTTCTTCCCAACAACATTGTATCCTCTTATAAGACAACCATCTTACCGTTGCCTAGATGCAAAGGATCTCGATTTCCGAACGTTCGTAAACTCTCCAAAGTAAGGTTTAGTCCGACTCGAGCAAGTATCGACGCTTCACTCGCGGTGGTTTCAGTTGACGCGACTGGTAGTAGACCACACGATCACGTTCATCATCCCCTCCTTCAGAACACATACACACACGTACACCACAATTAGCTTGTTCATTCGCTCGCTCACTCATTCACAGCCGTGCTCGAGTTTGAGTTATATCACATAACTTATGTGATCGCGCTCCATATTCCAAGAGGATTCACAGCATCTTAATATCCATTTTTACAATGTCTCGACATTTTCTCTTTTTAGTGCGGTATCGTATATCAAGTAGTTACTGACAATGATATAAGGTAGCCTTCTATTTTATTTTAAACTTTTTTATGTTTCAATTGAAGCTTTATATGGTAAGACCCAATTGAACTCTGAGGCTCCATCGTAGTAATGAGTTCCGTATGACGGTGGGTATTTGACAATTCATATCGAAAATCATGTTATCGTTGAGTGAGGATAAAACTTAGAATTATATCAGGTAGTTATTGCAAAGGAGAGTTCCTACTAGCTATATCCGTCTCGAACTAACTCGAGCACGCTTAGCTCTGACAAGGCATTGCCTCAATGGACACACCTTCAATAAATGTAAACATTTTAGATTTCAGCAAGTTTTGCCTGGACTTGATCTACGGTTTTGACAGTTAAGTTCCATACTCCTCGTTTTATCGCATAGGCACCAGGGTGGTCGATTAGCTTTCCGCTCATTAATGCATCTCGAGTTGCGAAGTACATAAACTTAGCCTCTAAATTTTATCTCAACTCCAAAATTCCAGAATCTACATTAAATTTACACCTAACTGGAAAAGTTCTGTTTTTTATTTGAGGTGAAACCTCAAATAATGACTTCCATCATCCTCTTAATTTCTTCAAGATAAATCGTCTCACTTTCGAGGATGAACTGGGTCAGCTCTTCGTTAGAACTCGCGGGCTCGCTGCTCGAGTCCGTGGACCAACAGGCCGCGCTCACCCTTGCCGGTACGTGTGTCGTAGCGCTTAGCACACTAATCTCTTTCGATTCCGCCCTAATATTTGTCCAATAACTCGCAACAGGGACTGAAGAGGAGGGGGAAGACGCAGAGCTGCTGAGAACGAGCCATGCATCTGGCGGAAGTGCGCCCAGCGCCGTGGATATTGTAGGGCTGGAAGATCCCGCAAGCGAGGAGGCCCCGTTGTCGACGGTAGGCTGCTGTAGTTGCTGTAGGTGGTGTAGTTTACAGTAGAGCATCGTTTTCTAACAACTTGGTTTTTTGTAATCTGCGTGGGGACCAATAGGATGGCACATCGAGTACCAACTCCAGTCAGACCAAGGCAACTGTGGTTAGTGGTGTGAACAACACGCCCCCTCGCTCAAACTCGAGTAATAAGCTGGCGGGACTGGTGAGTGCCATCTCAACGCAGCTGGAGAATGTATCCTCAGGAAGAGGTGGAAACCCTCCTTTGAGCAACAGCGGGTCGCAATCGGGCTCGACTGAGGGAGAGTGCACTCGACTGCACAAGGAATTGGCACGAGTGAAGAATGAGTTGCGTTTGAAGGACAAGCAGCTGAGTAGCACGCAGAAGAGCATGCAGATCTGCGAGGAAGAACTTGTTGCTCTGGAGCAGGAGTGCAAGGAGAAGATCGCTCAAGTGCAACACGAGGTTTGTATTAAGCACTGTCCCTTTGTTAAGATAATTTCTACTCACGAACTTTACTTTAATGCAAGCAGATGTCCGTCCTTCAGCAGGACAAGAACTCGGACGAGCAGAACTTCATCCAAGCGCTGGAGATGAAAGACAACCAATTGCGTGCAATGAAGGCAGATCTAGACGTTCTAACAGAGGCGAAAGCACAGTACACAGATGAAATCGCGTCACTGAAGGCTGAATTAGCGAAGGCGGTGGAGTCGAAGGACACGTTGTGGACCTCTGCAGCGTCAGCTAGCAACGAGTCTGAGCAGTTGATTGAGTCGCTCCGATCGGAACTACAAGATACACTGGCGGCTATGAACAACTTGAAACGTGAATATGCAGAGTCGAAGAATGCCATGTTTTCACGCCAGTCGCAGCTGGAGAGCACCAACACGGAGCTAGTGAACAATGTGGCCAATCTGGAGCGTGAGCTGGCGAAAGCAAAAGAAGCTGCTGCTGCTGCTGCAGCCTCTCAAACCAACGGAGTGAATGGGAATATTAGCTCTGGGCCTTCTCATTTTGGTGCAAACTCCAATTTTGCGTCGATGAATGATGACTATCGACGGGTACAGCAGACGTTGGTACTTACGAAGAAGTCGTTGCATGACGAATCACGAAAGAATGAAGTTCAGAAACAAGAGATCATCACTCTGACTGAAGAAGTGCGTCGACTAAAGCAAGCTTTGCAGACTGCACAGGAGAATTCATCGCGGCAACAGGAGGCAACGTCACAAGAGAACATGAGACTGAAGGAGCAGGTGAACCAATTATCGTCTCACAGTAGTGTTGCTGCGGCTGCCAATGGCGAGTTGCGCATCCAACGTCTGACGAACCGGTTGATTGAGAAACAGGAGACGATCGACTCCTTGCGCAGCCGTGTGACGACGATGGACGTACGTCTCCAAGACGTGACGTTGCGGGCGCAGCGCGCCGAAGAGAAACTGACTCGGATGGAGCAAAACGGCGGCATTGACGATATGGAAATGGCAACTCCTGTTGGGAAGGTTGGAAGAGGCGGCATGCGCTCTCGACCGAACCGCATGGCCCACGTGATATCTCGTGTGGCTCCAGTGGTGGAGCGTAGCCACCGAGTGCTGACGGCGCTGGATGTGCTGGATCGCTGGCTGCTTTTCCTCGGTCGAGTATTTCTACAGGCTCCTTTCGCTCGCCTCGGAATGTTGTGTTATGTTATGCTGATCCACTTTTGGGTGTTCGTGATTTTGAGCTTCCACACGAGCCACTTGACGGAGGAGATGCAGTTGTCTAGTGCTGCTGAGAACACTGCCATTGAGCCGGGTGAAGATATGATCCCTGGAGGTCACTAAGTAAGAAAAACCACTTTAATCTTCTGTCAGAAATATTTTATCAAGTTGAAGCGTTTTAACACGCATTTCGACTACTGTAATGTCATCGACCTGTATCAGATGTATTCAGAACCTTTGTATGAGCTTCACTATGGATCTCGCACCAGCTATTTTTAGCTTCGACCAGTCAGTATTCCCGTCAATCGTCATTCCGCCGCTCTCCTTCCATCGCCAGCATGAGTCAGACTCCTGACGGCCCCCTATCGACAGCCAGCGAAGGCGCCGCCAGCGTCAGCTCTGTGTGTCTTGAGGAAGACACTACAAATGCCGAGATCGCGTGGCTGCACCGTTGTCTGCCCATTTTCGTCCAGCCAGACGTGGACATCAAGAACCGCAACGATCTGGTCAAAGTGTTCTACCGCTTCGAACGCGACGATCAGTCTGGCCACTTATTCTGCAAGCTTTGCATTGTATTTGCCGGTGAGTCCAGCTATAACCGCGTGCAGGAGGAGATCGAAAACTCACTAGCCACGCTCTGTTACCGCACCTTCAACCGGCGGACTTACAAGCGTACAGCCGACATCAACTACATGGAATTCCGGTACGTCCTCGACGCTCTATTATCAAGGCTTTATACTTATGTTGGCATCTCTCTCATTCGGTGTAGAAATGTCGACCTGGATCCGGACGCTGCCGTCCCTTGGGCCTCCATTTACTCGCAGGACCACGGCGGCAAGCAGCAGTGGGCGCAGGGCGAGAAGAAGGACCTCGGCAACTGGTTCTCGCTCATGCACCACTACCAGATAGACGTCGCCTGCTCGGGCTGGAAGCTGCACCCGCAGACTCATCGCCCGTACATCTACCTCAACACTTGCAACCACATGATCGGCGAGAAGGACAACAATCCCAAGCTCAGCAAGTTCAACTGGATCGACTACCCGTTCCAACAGGGAGACAATGAAGACGCCTTCCACTACGTCGTGGACCATGTGCCTACTAAGTGCAATCTCTACTCGTACTTTTGCTTCTGGCGCGCTCGCAACGGTGGCGGCTGGTGCGATCGTCACCCCGGAGGCAAGACAATCTCACGGGATGGTAAATCCATCTATGTCAAGTATCCATCCACCACTGCAGGTGTGTAGCAATACCCTCACACACGAGTACAATATTGTAGCTAGAAACAAGAAAAAAAAGTTTTAGATGAAATTTGTCACGACACTATCCAGCAGCGGGTGTGGCTGAAGTGCCCTCTTGTGGTTGCTCTGCATCGTCCTCGACTTTTGTCGACAAGTTGCGAGTCATTTGTTGAGCTACGCGCTCGTTTTCCAGTGCAGACGACGCCGAGGAGGTTGGTGAAGTCATCGCACTCGAGTCAAAATTTGTGGGTCCAGTGAATTTGGTCGCGTCTAGCTCTCGCACTTTCATCCACGTCGTCCACATCTCTTCGACTGAGATCGGAGCTTGTTCTAGTAGCCAACCCATTTGGCGTCGCGTGGCATCCAGCACAGGCTGGAATCCCATCTGCGTCGCTCCAGAGTGCACCCAGTGCAAGTCCAGCAGCATGAACGCCATGGCATGTAGCTTGAAGAAAGCCTTTTGGTCATCAAACACACGCCAGAATGGCGTACGGCTCACACGCTCGGCTACTCGTAGCTTCATCACCACTGCCGGGGAAGTATCATCGTTGGTCTCCACAGAATGCAGGACGAGCTTGGTGCACACATCAGGAGCCTCGTCAAGCATCAACAAGTGCATCATCATCCGCATCACATTGATACTCGCAACTGGGAACGGATAGCGGTTGCCACCAGCTACGGCATTACGCTCCATCATCGCACGCGCTTTCTCTGGATATTCCTCCAAAAAGTAAACAAGGCACTCAAGTGCTAATACACCTCCGCCACGGAAACCACCGAGCGGATTATCCGTGTGGAATCCACTGCATTTCCAGCGAGGTGAAGCCAGCATCGCAGCGACGTCAACACCACCGACTTCACTCTCACTGTTGCTAGAAGCTGACAATACTGAGTCGCTTTCTTCGTTCTCCGGTACTAGCAGGGCGTCCCATAGCCGCTTGAGTAGAGCGACATGGCTCTCGTTTGTCATGTCCAATGGATCCTCCATACCGAAACGGAGAGTTTCCAGACGTCGCACCTTGTCACGTAACTGGGAGCGACGTGAGCAGAGCTCAGCTCGGAAGTCACGCAGTACAGCTTCTTGCTCCCTGAACAACATGGCAATCACTTGGACAGCTTCTTCGGCATCACGTGTTTTGTGGCGAACTTCTCGAGCATCAGACGGGAGACCCAAGCTATTACCTGGGAAGGTCGACAAGTAGTCTTCTTCGTCCGGCATCAAGCGAGAGCGGACAGAAGTCCGATGCTGATATCCAACAGGATATTTGCGGTAGCTTGAGTCCTCGAAATCGTGGAAGCGCTCGCTGTGTCTTCCTCGAAGCAGCAGTGGAGCCAAACAGTTAGCTATCGCATACACCGTAAGTCCATTCTTCTCAGCATGGCGCGGTTGCAGCGCCACCGATACCCAGTGACACAAGCGTTCAAGCAGAGGTTTGCAGTACCACGGCAGATCGTTGACTAGAACCACAAGAACCGCCTTGCACTCCTCTTCCGACATTCCGCTGCCTGGCCGACCAGCACAAACCAAGAATCTGTCCAATCGCTCTTCCGTGAGAAGAGGATCAGGCAGTTCCCACAGATACTGAAGCAAAATCGCCACAACTTCATGAGGATCCACTGCCATCTTCCGATGAAAACCGCCAAGTTCTTCAATCGTGTCACGCAGTTCCATGACGTGGCTGGCCTGCAAATGTGCTTGAAAGAGACCAGGAGAGTCCACGTGCTCGTACAAATAACAGAAACAAGCTTCAGCGACATCAGGAAGACCCAGAGCAGTCTCGAAGCGAGCCATACCGCTCAAGAACGGATTGCACAATACATCGAGCAAGTCGCTGCCGAACACGTCGTACTCTGGATACCCCAGCTCCAAGAAACGAAGAACCGCAGTTGCTGCATCCTCCATCTTCTGGGACTGAGCTGCTTGCCTCAATGTCTCGGACAAGGGATTGCCACCTTTGCGGGAGTTAAACGCCAGTCGAAGTTCATGGTGGGAAACGAGTTTCTCAGCCAACATGTCGGTCTCATCGTCGGCTTGGCAGAGACGCACGCGTCCACTCACCATATCCTCGGGATCAATGAGCTTAGGTGCTTGCTTCTTGCTCTTTCGCGCCTTCGGACGAGGCAAAGGACGCGAGAATGGCAAGGTTTCCGGAGCCAGATCCAGTCGTGGGTCGTCAATTAAGAATGCAAATGGGAGATTGTCCAGTCCAGACAGGAGATTGAGGAACATCTTGACCTCGTCACGTTGACGAAAGAGAGCGAACTCGGTGTAATATGATGCTAACAAGTCGAGATTGGTCTCCGATAGCACCATACTCAGACTAGATTGCAACACGTGCGTGTTGAGTGCTTGGCGGATGAAAGCTCGTGCTTTGCCTTCGTCAGTGTGCACGTTAGTGAGGCCAATAGCGGAACGGACAGCACCCACCAGACCGCGAACGTGGCGAGGGAGGTCTGCTTCGACACTGGAAGTCACGACCTCGCACACTTTGCTGTTTGTAGAGGACGTTGGTCCTTTTGGAGCCGCTGCGGCGCGGTGCATGGCTTCCACCATTTGCTTTTGACGAATGGCTTCCATCCGAGTGCATGTCCACTTGACAACGCCAAAGAACTTGACGGTGGCTCCGGTACTTGATTCGTCTGCCTCTAGCAGACGCAGACCATGGGAAATACAGCGATCCAACTGCGTACACAGCAAGTTGACTACCGCTTGCTCGTCGTTTAGGAGCAGTTCCCGAGCATCGTCCGTGCTCTCCATCATCGCTGCCTTCGGACTGTCATTGTCGTCATTGGACATTGACGTTGTATCTGACCCATCGTCCATAGAGCTACTTCGACAATTATTGTTGCTAGTGCCTTTCTTGGCGTCCATGAAGAGCTGTAGCCCTTTCACGGCGCTCTCCAGATCTTCGAGGATGATGCCGCGTTGGCTCTTGGCCTGCAGCTGGCGCTTGGCGCGGTTGCGACGACGCAATTGTTGCTCTTCCTCCGTCTCCTCCTCGGGTTCACCAAGCACGAAGTTGCCCAGACGTGCGAAGAATTCCATCGTGCTTGATGTTTTTCACCACGAATCCAGAAATGACACCTTTTCAAGATTTGTCTTTGCCAGAAAGATCCGCCACGACCAGCCGTTCTGTTCTACTTTTTGGATCGCGCGACGTTTCAAGATATGCACGGGATCACCTGCAGCAATTAATCACCTCAGACAAAACTCAAAACGAAAAAGGTGGATGAAAATGTAGCCATCACTTCTCGAGCTCCACCATTTGAACCATGTTTCATCGTCCTCTAGTCGAACTGCTGCCGCAGCGCCATCTCTGTCTCGGATTTCCAGGCACGGAAATCGGACCCGATGCCAGCTTGACCCTTGAGACGCTGGTTCTTAACGCGCTCCTTTGCATCCTTCTTCTCGCGCTTAGTCGGTTGTGCTCGAGTCGCCAATTCCGGCAGAGGACGCTTGCGGTCGATTCTGCGTGTCTCGGATATCTCTATTTTCTCCACATCCTGCTTCTCTTGCTCTCGTCGCTGCGTCTCCTGCTCTTCCAACAAGTCGAAAGGCTGGACGGTGCTCTGAGCCTTGGCACCAGATTTAGGAGGCAGAAACGATGCCGTCGTAGCCGACACGCTGGACAAGACGCTGTCGGCGGACGGCAGGAGCTGCACGGGGGATCCCGCCTCCTTCGTCACCTCTTGATTCACTGTCCCAGTCGCCACCGACCCCTCTGCATCACTCTCACTCTCGCTGCTGCTTGCGTAGTCATCTCCAAGCAAGAAGGACATTTCGATCACTGCAAAAATGTAGCCATTTCTTTCACCGTAGTTGAGTGCAAAACACCATAGTCCAAAAAACTTTTTCAACCCAAGCAGCAACGTCATGATGAACACTGAGACGAAGGCGTGGCTTAAGACCGAGCTGGTGAGCGCGTTGGGCTTCGCGGAGGTGGATGAGATCGTGGCCTACATCACGAGCACCTTCCACTCCAAGCAGGAGGTGTCCAGCTACCTCATTGAGCTACTGGGCATCCCAGCCAGCCGGGCAGAGCACATCAGCACGCGGCTGTTCTCGTCTAAGCCGTCCACCGCCAGTTCAGGCAAAGGAGAAACTGTGGCAACATTGGAGGAGCAACAGGGGTTGGTTCCTAGGCCGACTGCGGTGAACTCGCGCCTCAAACCCAGCAAGAAGAGCAAGAAGGGGGCAGCGGGACTGCTCAACAACGCGCTTATCATTAACTGCCTGCGTTGCGGACGCATTGAGTACAATGGCGCACGCCGCTGCGCTTTCTGTGATACTGAACTGCGTTATGAGGCGGATGCAGCCACGGCCGATCATGCCGCCCAGCAACACATGGAAGAGCTTGTGCGACTCGACGAGACTGGTGCAGAGCGTACTCGCGTGCTAGACGCAGAGCAGTATTTCTATGACGAAGAGCAAGTCGAGAAGCACAAGAGCGAAGACTCCAGCAGTTCGAGACGTCCTATTACAATGGCGCTGGATTTGGATAACAGACAATTCGTGGATGTCAAGATGACGCGCAACGAGCAGCTCGCCAAGGACGCGCGCGAGCTGGTGGACGGCATCCAGCGCAAGATGAGCAAAGGCAAGCGTGGCAAGGGCAGTCTCCATCAGCAGACGGAGGCTCCACCCGCTTCCAATGGCATCCGAGAGGCGCTCGTGGTGGTGGACGATTCGTACAATCTAGTTTTCGTGTAGCGATGAAATAATTGACGCGGTTAATTTGCAACAACCTGGCGAGCATTCGTCTTGACTGAAACTTGCGCCAAACTTTTGCCTGCGAGCCCTGGTGGACCATCGAGGCGTTTGCAACGAAGGAACTTCCGCGGACGGGTCATCCTGGTGAGACTTTGCGGTGTCGGTCGCCGCATGCGGGACGAAAAGTGCAGCGCATTGACGTCAGTGCCAAGAAAGTGTCGCATTGAAATTCATTGGTTACCGAGAGATGCGCAGGTGTAGCGAGCGGACGTCGTGACTGCCATTTGCCATTTGCAGATTTACCTGCGCTGTGCCACGTGCGACTCCTCTCCAAGCTCGAGCGGCCGCGCTCGACGATTCCAGATCGTCTATCTTGCCATGTCGACAACGGTCAGCGACGACAAGGGACTGAGCGCGCTGCAACGCCGTGTGGCGGCAGCGGAGTCGTCTAGCCAGTGCTCGGCACCAGCGAACCCGCTCTGGGATTTCTACGCCTGTGGGCTCGTGGACGAGAACGACGAGTGTTCGGACGGAGAAGACACGGAGGACGAGCGGGAGACCCAGGACTGGATTCAGTTCCAGCGCCAACGCGCACAAGCGCGTCTCGCCAACGCATGTCAACGGGAAGCCCGCGTCATGCGCACCGCGAAGCACTGACCGTAGACGGCATATCAGCTATGTATCCTGACAAAGTGCCGCCGTGTAATGGCAATGCGACCGGGGCTCCCATGCGTAAATGTTTCAAGAGCTGTAGATTACGAATAAGTAGATTAATGGGATCCTCTCGGTGGTCTGTGGCCATGCGTTGCTCTGCATATTGCTGTTGCTGTAGCGTTCCATCCAGACTGAAGCGATACGAACGTGCACAACTTGCATTAAGCTGCTTGACAGCCGTTCAAGCTAGGGGTTTGGCGCAGCCACAGCTGGAATGTGGTGACCTCCACTGTAGGCTTGCATCTGACTCAAGGGCTGGCAGACTGCGAAGCAATGAGAATGTCACCACCTACCTGGTGGTCATGCATGTCAAGCATTGCGCGGGCATCGCTTCGCTGGCTGCACTCTTGGAGTCGAAGTTCGACAACGCTGCGAGCCGTGCAACAAAGCTACGCCAAAGAATTTTGTGGGAGCGACACATTTGCTGTCTGGGAACGACGCACTTGCTGTCTCAGTGTGACCGCCCAGTGCTCGCTCAGCAGAGACGCCTCAACTTATTCTTTACAAACATTACATGTAGCAAGAAGCAATCACCGTGCCGATCTACATGCACGGTATTATAGTTGCCATCGCAATGACTGCGCCGCTGACTGCTGCATGTACTGTACTGACCGCTGACTCGATGGCTACATTACTTATTGTAAAAATCGAAAAAGAGACCAGAAAAATACGCTATTACGCGTCTTCTGATTGGTCAGTGAAACATCAGAATCAGCCATTTCTGAAGCTCGTTTTATTGGTCGATGAGAGATCTCCTGACACAGGAATCAGATTTGCCATTATTACGCACGTCTAGCGGCACATTCCGCCTTCCGCTCGCCATGACCGCTACCGCGTTGTCTCGCGTCCACTCGAGCGCCAGCGGCTACGGGGCCGTGGACACACCTCCCACGTCGCCACTTCTGCCATCGTCTACCGCGCTACGCCGAGAATCATGCGAGTATCTCTTCAAATTCCTCGTCATCACACAAGTGTTCATGTACCTGGAGGCTGGCGCGGTGCCGTCGCTGCTGCAGCAATTCACGCTCACATTCCGCCTAAGCCCGCAGGAGCAGGGACTTCTGGGTGCCATTGTGTACATCTCCATTTCGCTCGCGTCGCCCTGGTGTAGTACGCTCTTCCGTCGCTTCGACCCGCGACAGCTGCTTGGTGTCTCGCTCGTGGTTAACAACCTGGCTGTTCTCGGCCTTGCGTGCACCCCCACCTCGACTTGGTACTCCAAGTCTCTTCTCATCTCATTGCGCGGCTTCGTTGGGCTTACACAAGCCTTCAGCTGCGTGTACTCGCCGCTATGGGTGCACGACTACGCCCCCAAGGCCAAGCGCGGCACGTGGATGAGCTATCTGCAAGGCGCGGTGCCCGTCGGTATCACACTTGGCTACTTCGCCGGTTCAGTCACGATCTGGCTTGCATCACAGGGGCCAGATGAGGCTGCGACAGCGTTGCAAAGTGTCGTGTCCGCTTTATCGAAGGCTGTACTGGGGATCAATGCAAGCGCCGACATCGGCGAAGGTATCGACGACGCCTCCATGCGACTTTGTCATGGAATCTACTGCTGGCGTTGGCCGTTCCTGACCCAATTCGCGCTCATTCTTCCGCTGTCTATCTTGATATTTTTCGTTCCGCGGGAGCACATCCGACTGCGCTCGACTCGTCGCCGCTCCATCGTCATTGTGGATGCAGATGAAGATGTGGATACTGGTGTGGAGACGGCGGGCGATGACGAAAACGTTTTGATGAATCATTCGGATAACAACGTCTACAGACTTCGATCGTTGGCGTCACATGAAGAGGAGGAGAACGCTTCGAGGTGGAGCAACCTGTGGCTATTGCTGCAGCACAGAGTCTACGTGTTTATCGTCATGGGTTTGTCCGGATTATTCTTCGTGGTTGCTGGAGTGCAATTCTGGACGACGTTGTATTTGGAGACCAACACCGAGGGCTCCATGTACGAGATCCACCTGTCCTATCTGATAGTGAGTGGCACGGGCCCTATCATGGGCGTGTTCTTCGGTGGGTGGCTGATCGATCAGTTCGGTGGCTACTCGGGTCCATACCATCAAATGCAAGCGCTACGGGTGTGCATGGTGCTTGGAGGTGCCGGATGTCTGGCGTCTTTGCCAGTGTCGTATGTGCACAACACTTTCTCCATCGCAGTGTTCCTGTGGCTCATGTTATTTTGCGGAGGTAGCATTCTTCCAGCCTGTTCAGGCATCGTCATCTCAGCAGCTCCACCCCGGTTGCGTCCACTGGCCTCTTCAGTGGCATACGCCAGCTACAACCTCTTCGGATATGCAGCATCGAACTACATTCCTGGTTTCATCATGAATTTCATCATCGACCCCAGTGCTGACGCAGATGCAGATCCAAGTGATCTCGGAAGTGTCGGATCCTGCAACGCTGCCTGTACATACCGTATCGGATTCCGCATCGTCCTATTTTGGAGCGTTTGGGCCTTCTTCTGCCTCACGTGCGGAGCTATCGAGTCGGGTCGAAACTACTCGGCGACTGTCAATGCACACAGTAATGGCCATTGCAACGGCAATGGAAAGCAACACACCACAGCGGCTACTTCGCATCAGCCGGTATTCAAGAGTGTTGTGTAAATAATTCTCATGACAACTATTGTAGCCCATATACAAGCGATAGCATCATGTTAATAAGTTCCACATGGGTCCTCGAGAGGAGATAGATAACGTACGCGAGGGACATCGCGTATATTTATGATCGTAAATCGCGTATTCTCTTTACTCACTTGGTTGCATTCGGGTTACTTGTCATCATTTGCTTAATACGAGGAGCCTTGCGAAGGAGTGTGTTAAGCATCGTGCCTACGAAGAAGGCGACGACAGTCGAGGTCATGGTAATGACGTTGTACGGCATACTGAAGTCAGGTGTCGGTAGCGGCACGAGTAGAGGCTCCGTGAATAACGTGGTAGTAAAAGGAGCCACGGCTTCATTGTTACAGATCGACGATGCCTCCAACACGTCAAAGGTAGCCACACCCGAGGCGATGTCGAAGCCACGGTTGGCATCTGGCGGATGTTCCGATAAGCGCAGAAATGCTTTTTCCATCTGAAGTGAGAAGGCCAAAGTTGAATTGGCCGGAAGGAAAGCCTTGAGGCGCAACTGGTTGGGGCGTCCACGTAGCTCGGCTGGTACAAAATCAAACGTTTGAATCAACTCCTGAGCTTTCTCCTCGCTACTATCGGCGGTAGCTCGGAACGTGTGGAAGAAGATACGAAGATACCATGGAATGACATCGTGATACGTCACGTGCATGCCACACGACGGATGATTGTTCTTGAGCTGAACTGCGATGCCACCCCGCACTTGGCCGTATCCAGTGACGAAGCGGTGTGCGGACACGACATCCTGCTGTGCCTTGTAATTGCTTCTCAAAGCAGCTTCTTCAGCCGCCAATTTCCAGTCTCCGAACCACGGGTCAGAAAGTGGCACGGGTTTTTCGTGCAGATTGGTGGTCACCACATCGAACGACTCCATGCCTTCCGTGTGAATAACACTCTCGGTAGCCAGCAGACATGCAGTAAGATCTGTGTTGGGCTGGTCATTTGCAAAGAACAGTGAACCAAGACTCCAGCGTGCTTTGTTATGTTTGGTAGGGCTTTGCACCATCGTCAAGTGTTGGCGGAGTCTCCAGTTGCCGTCAGTAGATCGCTCAGCAAACAGCGACAGTGAGAGATACTCCCCCGACACTGCATTAATAGGATCAATAAGGCTCCCCAGTCCAGCGATTGCTCGACAAGGTAGCATCTTGAGCCAGGGCGTCAAGTTCTCCGTGCAGAGCTCCTCGCGCGCAAGCGATCCGTGGAGAAACACCAGCTTGGGGTCGGTGTTAGTCGTGGGGAAGGCGCCAAACTCTGATGGTGTGGAGCCTGCCAATAAGCTCGCAACCACTGTGTCGTCCATCTGGTTCAGTGATGCTGAGAAGATGCCGCCCAGCTCCGATGTGATGCCTCGCCATCGTTGCTGGGTATTGGCGTCACCTCGTAGAGCTACCTGCAGTCGAGCGCCGAAGGGTGCGTGGGCAAATCCGGAGTTGTTGAAACTCTGCGCTGAGCCGAAGCGCCAGTCTGCGTACCTCCCGACAGAGAAGGTCAAATGTAGCGACTCAGCGTCGTGCTTGTCGAGGATCTGACGCAGCACGTTAGGAAAAAGCGACTCGGCGTCGAGATGGGAGGGCTCGTCTACGGAGAACTCGAAGTGTCCAAGAACTTGGTTGACGGCAGGAAGTGGACGCAATGTCAGTCGCTCGGTGAACTCTGCGCGAGCTCCATGGAGCAGCGAGAACAGGCACAGCAGCAGCGCGACGAGCACCATCTTGCTTGGCTGCTTGATTGTGACGTATTATGTGTGCAAGTTGCTCGATGGTGTACGATATAGTTTAGGTACCATACACCATCGAGCAACTTGCGCATTCTGGTAACGATTTGTCGATTCGTGACTCAAGTCAAGTGTATCCTGCAGAAGTGGACAGCCATCTTGAATTCCCGCGCAGCTCGACTCGAACTTCGAGTTCGGGTGCTTGTCTCAAGCTGATGCTGCCAAGCCCAAAACTGTAGAAGGCCAGGAATGAACGGTCATAAGCGCGCTGTCTGTGTGGATTACTTCTGCCTGCAGTGCCAAAGCGCAAGCGCTGTTCACATGCATGATGGCTTCAACTAGGGCAGGGGCACTAGGACATCGACCATCAACACGCAAGAAAGCGCATGCAAACACGATGTCGTCCATGGACAACGGCGATCAACGCGCTGCCCAGCTGGCTGGCCGCCTGGTGGTCTCTGCAATGGACCGCAGCGGTCACACGCCGATGGGCAGCATTGGGACGCCCATCACCCACGATCTGCTGGCTCCCGGTGCCCCACACTGTGGAAATGACACCGGAAGGTGATCTTGTTGCCGGCTCGGCAGGCGTGGATGATGCGGGAATCCTCTTTATGGATTGATAATGCTAGTTAGCTCGCAGCTACGTACATGCAGTTGGGTCGGTCCCAATGCCTTCTCTATACAACTACACTATGACGGGCGGGAAAGCAAAGCAACGAAGAAGAGCACGCCACACGGAAGCCTGGCCCCGTCCTCACGTGTAGCTCATGAGCTGGCACAGCAGCTCCTCGTCCTCCTTCTTTACGAAGCGACCCTTGACGCGCAAGCGTGAGTTGGCGAAGTTCTTGCGGACATCGTAGTCCACCTTTTTGGCCCACACGCGGCGTTTACGCTTCTCGAGAAAACGTTCGATGCGTTTTCTCCGAGCCTCAGGCGAGTAGCTGCCGATGTACTTGCCCTCAGACGAGGGCGACGTGCCTTCCCTGCGCTGATCGCTCTCATTGGCGGCCGAGATCTCCATGCGGATGAACTCCTCCAAGTGTTGGCGGCCCAGTCCGCCGTACTCGCTACCATCGGACGAGCACACGGATGCCAGACGCACGCGCTGTTTGTAGTCGCTGTCGTACCACGTACCGTCATCCTCGACGCCCGTGGGGCTGCTGTCGCGACCCAGGAACGACTCGTTTTCCTGCACGCGCGACAGGCTGCTGGACTTGTACTTCTTTCCGTACGATGATGAATAGGTGCGGTCGAAAGACGACGAATGCTCGCGATATCTCATGCTGCTGCTGTTGTTGCCGCCGCGCATGGGGATCGAGATGGGTCTGCTGTTGGACGATGAGTAGCTGTCATTGTCGTCCTGGTTGGAAGCCGCTGCGGCCACTAGACCGTCGAAGGGCGAGCGGTATGATGACCACGTTCGGCGTTCGGGGGACTCGTCGCTAGCTTCGCTAGAGTCCATATCCACGTCGCTGCTGTTGCTGCTGTCGTCCTCGCGGCCAGGGATCATTGATGTGAGTGGGCGCTCCTGGATCTTTTGCGCCAGCAGCGCCATCGCCGAGCTGTACGAGTCGCCATGCGGTTGTAGGAAGCTCGACGAAGGCAGCGAACTGGCCACGCCTCCGTCGAATGCTGCGAATCCGCGCTTCTTTCCAGCCTGCCAAGACGACGGTGGTTCGGACGCGTACAGCGGATTGTCGGCGAATTTGCGCTCGTCCGGCGCTGATAAGCTCATGAGGGTCTCGGCCACTTCGGACTCGATCATGGTGGGAACGGGTGGCTGCGGCAGTTCCTACTGCAGCTAATGGCTTCGCTACGGATCTGCGGGCGGTTCCTTCGAGCCTGGGTCGTTACGATTTGGCTTTTTGGAGAATGGGCAGCGTGTGGCTGCCGTCTCTGTGCTTCCTGTCGTGCAAGGGTTCGGAAGGTTTGTCTCTGTTTCTGTATGCAAGGCCAGTTTCTACTCTTTTCGAGTGTCAGCCAGCTCGGAGCGCGCAAAATCCATTTGGCCAATGTATGCGCACCAAGTTCAAGCTGGCAAGCGCTAGCGAGGTGATCATGTACTACTAGGCGAGCTCTCATAGCGGTGGAGGTGGCACAGAGGCGCCGAGCGGAGCCCAATGTAGGCGGCGAACGTAGGCGGTTGCTAGCCATGCACTTGCAGCCTAGTGATCGCATATCGCCAACCGGTGGCCCTCCCGGTCCTGAGGTTAGGGCCCGAAATACGTCGCGCAGCCGGCCGACAACAACAGCTTGCGGTTCTTCCAGCGACTTGCACCTCCTGGCAATGATCGCTGCTGCTGCTGCTTCCTCTTTCCTTTGCAAAGGCGCCACGCAATGCAGCGGCGGAACTCTTCTTCAGGCTTCGAATTCGGTGCAAGGTCTCCGCAGATGGGCCAACGGAGGAGCATTGTCGGTGACCATTGAATCAAGCAAGGGCCATCGACAAAGGCTCAGCAAGTTCATGTCAAGCAACAACTGCAACTTGTACATCTGACCACCAAACGGGCCTTTCGAAAACGGACCGGTAAAAGTGCGAAGCCACCGTCGCGTCCAAGTCGCTTCTCGTCAGCAAGGCGAAAGATTTGGCAGCGGTATTGTTCAATGCGAGTAAGCTGCATGTGCTGCTATATGTGCTGCTATTTGATTCAACGTCAACGCAGTCGCAACAAGTAAGCGAGCGAGGAAGCGTAGCCATGCGCTCTGGCCGTCGGCCAATACTGGCCACCCGCAAAAATATCTCGGCGCATCTTGTCGGACAAGTTGAAGTTATCATTCCTCAATTTTTAGCCTCCGTTTTATAATTCATCACCTAAAATCATGCAGCCATCACAAGCCAGTGCCGGAGAATGCTTCAAGCAAGCACCGCAATGGAGACAAGGCAACCTCGGAAGGCGCCTTCCTCGCCGATCAAGCCTTCGTCCTTAACGATTCAACCTCAGGAGTACGTGGATACGCCCGGTAGCAGCACTACTGTATCCCCAGCCGAGAGCTGCGTCAGCGACGTTAGGAAGCAGGTCAAGCCGTGGGAACGATCGACGAGTGTCGTTAGCTCCGTCAATAGCTCGGAGAGCAGCGAGCCGCTGTGGGAAGACGACACCAATGACATACAAGAGGAAGAAGCAAAGAATTCGGTTATGGTGGCAAACAGCTCGAAAGCAAGCGCTCAGTCGCTCATGATGCAGACGCACATGCGAAAGATGCGGAGGCGCCTCGATGGACTTCAGCGACTGGTACAGGAAGCAGCACAACAGAGCAGACTTCGCTCGTGTTCACAGGAATCCGTCCCAGACACGCAGTCGCATGTAGTTCCGGCGGCAGAGGCGAACGAAGTAACACGCGACGTTGCAGATCTTCAGAGAGACGCGGAACCGGCACCGAAAGAGAGTGTCAACGAGTTTGGGCAGTTGGATTCGGTGTCGTCTAGTGAAGGAATAGAGGGTACATGTGCACGGACCAATGAAGTGAACGATAGCAGAGACGACCAAAAGGACAGCAGTTCGAAATCTAGCGACGACGACGTTCCTTTAGCGGTCACCACCCTTCTGAATAGGATTAAGACTCTGCAGGCGCAGTTGAAAGAAACGACTGATGAAAAACAGCAGCTTCAGAGCACAGTACTCCGACTGGAGGAGGAAAACGCGCGACTCCAAGCTCAGACAACAGTTGACCCACCAAATGACTCCAGTGGATTGGTTGAAGCAGGTGGAGAGCAGGGATCGTGTGACGCGGAGAACGATGACGCTACCAAAGACCACGAAGAAAGCTTTTCCCGCTTGACCATGGCGATGTTTGGTGAGCCATCAGCGTTTCAAATGGTCATGGAAGAGGATTTAACAATTCTAAAAAACCACGAACGCTGTCAGCACAACCTGCATGAACTTTGGGATACCATCCGGACGCTTAGGACGTTCGTGGAAACGTATGAGCTCGAGCGAAACGCCTTGAGAATTCAGCGTGACGACGCCATTGCCGACGCTGACCGTGCGGATGCCGAGAACGTCAAGCTGGCCAGTAGCAGCAACCCACAACAGAAGATCAAGTATCTGCAGCAAGTGAAGAAGGACAACCAGGCATTGCGGCGAAAAAACCGTGCGCTTAACCTGAGGATAGCCAAGCAGGCAGCCAAGTATATTCGAGAGAAGAACGGATGCTCACTGCTTGAGGAAGGCGATACGACAATTGATACCACACTTGGATCTATTACGCTTGACGATACGCTGCTAGATGAGCACGACGAGTGTGCCGTGCGCACTGGTGAGGAGATTTTGCGCTGTATGCGGGACCGCAGTGAGATTTTGGAGCATCGACTTGAGCGCCTGCGCCTTGCGAGGCAAGAATTACCTGAAGGTGACGACAGCACGAGTGAGGATTTTCACACGATCATGCCGTGGTAATAGATCAGCGTCCTCCTGCAACAAGCGCCCAATGATACAGCATCTCTAAGAATCGCCTCACTTGATGCAGCTTGTGGTAGAGTGGATTGCTCACGCATTATTTATCGTTTTTATGCAAGTTGCTTTGATATTCGTCAATACAGTCTTTAATTGGTTAATAATCTCCTTTTCAACGTGTGATTGGATAAAACTTGATCTGCACACTTTTCATTTCCAAGTTATTGAAATTGCTGGGCGACAAGGTGTGAGCGATGCATGCTGGCGCTGAGAGCGCCGATCACTTGGACAGCCTCGCGTCTGCCACAGGACTCATGCAGCTTAGCTCGGCGGTGATTGCATCTGACGCTGCGGACTCCAGCAACAACAGTGGCGGCGTCAACAGCAGATCAAATTGCAATAGCAATGATAATTCCTCATTTGCAGACGCTTCGTTGCCTCCGGGTTGGCAACGAATCATTCACGTATCGGGTCTACCCTGCTACGTTCACGGTGGCTTGGGAGTCGTTTGCTGGACGCGGCCGTATCCATTGGATGTTGGCAGTGACGGCGCACTGTCGCAGCCGGAGTTGCATCGCCTCGTGAAGCAGCACGTGCCGCCTCTGAGCATTTTCACGTCTGGATCGAACGTCGCTGCACGGAGACGAAAAGAAAGTTTGGGCGCAGCAGATGCGGCAACTCCTGCAACAGCGTTGTATTCTCACGAACCCAGTAGCGTAAGGAAGGATTTCAGAAGCTCTCGAACAGGGAGACAACTCCTCTGTTGACAATGCACTTGGCAGTGAGACTGAGCAAGATGTGTTTAATGTGTTGTAGTTGGAGCAGATTCAGACGAAGAAGCGCAAATTGGATCCAGTGGCCACGGAACAGAAGGGAAATGTTATTAAGCAGCAGTCGATGGTGGGCTATTCGTCTTGTAGTTATTATTAATTCTCGCCATTATTATTAACGTTGTCGTTATCGCCTGTAGACTCTGGAAGAGTTCAAGACACTGCCCATTGGCGATCCCCGTGTTCTCCAGGTAAGTTTCACAAACGTATTTTATAATATGCAGACCGGAATGACTGGATTTGTGCTAGGCATGCATGGAGCTATCGATCAAGACGCCAGCCCAAGTTCTTCAAGAATACCAGAACCGGAACCGTGGTGTTTCAATTAATTACAACACGATGCCCGTGGAGGGAGATGGCGTGAAGCTCTTTAAAACAATTGTGACTGCCGGCAGCACAGTTGCAGAGGTATGATGGAATTGTACTTCTTTGTGGTAGTTTCTACTAACTCAACCCTTTTTGCAGGGCGTCGCCTCAACGAAGAAAATTGCCAAACAGTTAGGAGCGCAGCAATTACTAGCGATGCTGCACGAGCGCACAGCTCGAAAATACTACGAAGTAGCGGAAATGTACAACAGCTCTATGAAGGGCCAGCCAGTTACCGCCGAGTCATCCTCCTACAGACCTGCAACCGCGCAGCGCAACGATGGAAGGGGTGGACGTGGTGGTAGTATGGATCCTCGGCAGCAGCGTAGTGGGAATGGCTCGAATCGGATGCGACGGTCTCGTCGATCGCCTCCTACTCAGGACTATGAAGCTGGATACCGCGACTATGAAGGTGATCAACGAATGAATGCGCCACCTCATTGGGGTGGATACAACCAGCAGTCTATGCAGCATGCAGTACCATGGGCTGGTGGAGGTCCGCCGGGTGAGATGGGTTTGGACAATATTGGACCTGAGCGTGTGGTAGTTTATTCTCAAACCCCGGCCGGAAATGTGGGCAATTATGGTGTCGGGCAATACTACAACAACGCTGGAAATGTGTGGGGCGGCTATCCGAATCTCAACCACGCACCGCATCCGAATTTGCCTGGAACATATTCTCAGCAGCAGTATAACGCCGCCTATGGCGAAACTCAGGCGCCTGGTAACAGGCCGTATGGTTATGGCAATTATCCCTCGCGATCGTCGGAACGCCCGAACACCTCAACGCCCATCGAAAGAGTCACGGTGCGTCGTCCAGATCCTGGAGCTTGAGTACATCTCTAGTTCATTCAAAATAGGCATTAGCTTGCTGACTTGGGCGAACTCTGTTAATACTGCAGGCTAATTTACGGAACCAAATGTCAAACCAGTGATCGAAGAGAGAGAAACACACGGCTTAGGTAAAACGAAGGACGGGAGTGATGAAGCACTCGAGGTGCACTTAACCATACCAGTAGTTTTGTTAGCGCCTAAAACTTCGCTCATCATGTGTTCTTTATAAATTGCCACGATATTTATGCCGTCCGGGCTCTTACTTCGCTATCATCAGATGTGTGTCATTCTTTAATTTTTAAGTGATCTTCATATCTCCAAGCAACAGCCTTGGCGCAACATTATCGATGATCATAAGACTTTCCGCAACATTAGCTTTCTCCGTGATCATGCGACTTACGCAAGTCACAACAGTGCGACAGCTGGGAAGAGAGAGAATGTAAAGATGTGGAGTCAAGTCATGCGGCCATTCACGGCGCAATAGAGACCACAACGCGGGTGTGTAAGGGAAGAGCGTGGGCTCGACAGCCGGAAGTCTCGCTGCGTTGAAAGAGTCATTCGGCTTTGTCTATTGCTGGCGAAGAAACGCCTGCGTAACGCTCTGCTCGCAGTCTGTCACCACCAAAAGTTCACTTGTCAATAGATGGAGGGCTTCCTGCTCGTCTTCGCCAAGGAACGCAGTGCACAGCTGCAGTATTGTGTGCTGGAGCATGGCATGTTGCGCTGCTTCGACCGGCCAGGTGGAGTGCTGCGCGAGTCTGTCGGACTTACGAGACATCGCATCCGCGTACAGCCACTCTTTAGTGACAATGCCGGCGTCTGTCCGAACCGGTTCGCGGTGCACGCGCTCGAGGTGAAGCGCAACGACCAGGCAGGGGCATTTGTGGCGGCCAGCAAGTGCGAAAAGACCTACTACTTTGCCGCGGCCACCTCCAAGGCCATGATCAAGTGGGCCAATGCCATTCACAATTGGCGACGCCACGCATTCGACGATCCGACTAGCAGTGCGCTGTCCGTTCACGATGCCATCACCGACACGGCCATGAAGAATCCCGATGCTAAACGACGTTCTGTCCTGCTGGAAACGCAACGACTAAATCTCGTCAACTTGGCCAACCGATTCGACGTCAAGCTTGTCACGGCCAGTACGAGCACCGAAAAAAAGGCTGGCGGTTTGTTCAGAAGTCCGTCATTCCGCGTATCCTCGACGTACAAAGGCCCTGCCGAGATAAAGACATCCAGATCCAGCTTCGCCGTGATATCCTGGCTGCCGGGGTTCTCATCCCTCCGACCTAACTTGCTGGGCAGATAAATTACTCGAACTCTATGTAATGCTCTCTCTGTAGCAGTAAAACTCTAGAAAGTATCGTGTCAGTGTCAAGAATTCACACAACTTTGAAGAATCAAATCGGGTTTGCAATGTGGTAGTTCCATGTAGACCCTAATCGAAGAGGTTGCCTCAGCGTTGGAGCAGGGGTTCGTCTCTCTATGCGATTATAGATAGAGTCCTTCGGGAATGTTCGCCTTCTTCTTGTATAGCGCTTTCTCCTTCGCCTTTCGGAAATCCGACTGCGTCACGCGCATACGACGTTCGCGTAGTGCGAGCAGACCAGCCTCCGTGCAAACAGCCTTGATGTCAGCTCCAGAAAGCTCGTCTTTGGACATGACGAACTCCTCCAGATCCACATCATCAGCCAAACTCATGCGACCTGTGTGAATGCCAAAGATACGACGCTTGGTCTTGATGTCTGGCAGCGGGAACTCAATCTGCAATGCATAAACAAACTAGTCTTCAGTATAACCAAACACAGGCTAAGAACCTGCCTGTACACACCTTTCTGTCGATACGTCCAGGACGAATAAGGGCGGGATCGAGGCTCTCAATGGCGTTGGTTGCCATAATAACCTTCACGTCGCCACGCTCATCGAAACCATCCAACTGGTTCAGCAACTCCAGCATCGTACGCTGAATTTCACGCGTACCGCCACTGCTCGAGTCGTAACGTTTGCTACCCACCGCATCAATTTCATCAATGAACACAATTGACGGCGCGTGATCGTCTGCCACACGGAACATCTCACGCACAAGTTTTGGACCGTCGCCCAAGTACTTCTGAATCAACTCGGAACCGACAATACGCAGGAACGTCGCAGATGTCTGGTTAGCTACAGCCTTGGCCAACAGCGTCTTGCCCGTACCAGGTTCACCGTACAGAATAACGCCCTTGGGTGGACGAATACCGATGCCTTCATAAAGCTCCGGATGCGTCAGTGGCAGCTCCACAGCCTCCTTGATCTCCTGAATCTGCGTCTCCAATCCACCGATGTCCGCATACGACTCAAGTGGAGCTTTGTCTACCTTCATGACGCTCACCATGGGGTCGGTATCGTCGGCCAGGATACCCACAACTGACATGACCTTATTGTGCAGCAGCACAGAGCAGCCAGGCTCGAGCATATCTTGGTTCACGAAGGACATGACGCCCACGTAATACTCGGGGCCCACAGAAGAGGAAACAATGGCGTGGTTATCGTCGATCATCTCCTCGAGTGTGCCGACACCCATGGGGGTGCCACGCAGATCGTCCACCTTGGAGCGCTCCTCCTCGTCCTTCTCCTGCTTGGGCTTCATAACCTCCTGGTTCTGGATAAACTCCTGCTCCATCAGCAGAAAATCCTTGATGCGTTCCATCTTGAGCAGACGCAACTTGCATTTAGCTGTCGGATACACGGTTGGGATACGAACAGCGGCGGACGGTCCTTTTTTCTTACGGCGTTTGCGCGTAAGGCCACCACCACGCGGCTCAAATTTTTTCTTCTTCTGCTTGGCCGCATCTTCCTTCTTCTTGGCAGCCTCCTCACGCGTCTGGCGCGGCAGTCCGCTCTGGCCTTGACCCATTCTCGCTGCCTTCTTCTCCCCTTTGCAGCAGTGTGGAAAGATCTCTCCCTAACAAAAGTAAAAAAAAACCTCGGGAAGTGCGGATACTGGAGGTTTTATTCAGTATCCAAGTTTTTTAAATTTTGACCTATACAATCAGAGAAAAAAAAACAGGTATGATCATGGATTGGAGGAAAACGAAAAGGCAACTCTAAGTTGAAGCGACCATCACTCCTATCTATTTATGTCTTCGTCCATTGCCAACGGCCGCCTTCCCAGTGTGACAGACTCCGTCATGTCCGTTGATGTGAGAGTCGGTTATTAATAGGCGGCAACGCTGCTTTTGGCTACGTTAGACCTCTGCCGTGCGCCATCCGGATGGAATTTCGCGGGCCGTTTGGAGTTTCCTTCGAGAGCAACGCGTTGACTGGAAAGATTAGATCCTTCGTTGGGTGTGTGAGCCGCAGCTGAGAGTCTCGTTGCCAGCACAAAGCGCTAGTTGCGCTTGCCAGCCCAGCAGGCAAACGAAGACAGCGTTGCGGAGTGCCCAGGTGGTAACTAGGTGAGGCATCCATTCACTTAGACAACTAAGACTCGGTGGACGAGACAGTTGCTTAAATTTAGTTTCTTTCTATGACCTTTTATCTAAACCTCCGCTAGCTCGCACAAGACAAACGGAAGTGTCGCGACAGGATGGCTAGCTACACTCCAACTGGGCCTGCTTCCTCTCCGTTGAAATCGGTTGGATCGCCACTTCACTCGTCCTCAAGGAATCTGTCGGCGAAAGGATTGTCGGGAGGCGACAAACTTGGCGGTCCCTCTGAAAATCCCGCTCCTATTGGTGATGCAGCGAGCTCGACCCGTAAAGCAAGCACCACTACGGCGGTTGCTGCTCCTCCCGCGCGACCGGGGACGTACTCTTTTGTTGTAGCTGGAACAAACTTTCAGATCGATGAAAAGTACAAATTTGTCAAGGTCATTGGTCGCGGTGCCTACGGTGTCGTCATGTAAGAAATTATGTTGACTTTCGAATTATTTTTCATAGCTTTAACATTTACTTTAATCATGCGTAGTTCGGCTGACAACATCGAAACCAACGAAAAAGTGGCCGTAAAGAAAATATCAAGGGCCTTTGAAGACCTCGTGGATGCCAAGCGTATTTTACGCGAAATTAAACTCCTGCAGCATTTCGATCACGAAAATGTGATCACTATTGTGGACTTGTTGCCGCCGCCATCGTTGGCTCAGTTCGAAGACGTTTACATCATCGCTGATCTCATGGAGACCGACTTGCACCGAATTATCTATTCGAGGCAACCGCTCACTGATGATCATGTGCAATATTTCCTCTACCAGATCTTGAGAGCACTCAAGTACATTCACTCTGCTAACGTACTTCATCGGGACTTAAAGCCGTCGAATCTCTTGCTGAATTCGAATTGCGACTTGAAAGTGTGCGACTTCGGCTTATCGCGAGGTGTCACGCCTGAGGAAGACAACATGGAACTCACGGAATACGTCGTCACACGCTGGTACCGCGCGCCCGAGATCATGCTCTCCTCCAGAGAATACACCAAGGCAATCGACATGTGGTCCACTGGGTGCATTTTCGCAGAGCTGCTCGGTCGTACACCACTTTTCCCTGGTGACGACTATATCCACCAGCTCCAGATCATTTGTGACAAGATCGGAACTCCATGTGAAGAGGATCTGCATTTTGTTGTCAGCGAGAGAGCCAAACGATTCATGAAAAACCAACCCATGAGACCTGGTGTTCCCTTTGCCAAACTGTTCCCGAAAGCTACGCCCGAAGCCATCGACTTGCTCCAACGTATGCTTGTCTTTGATCCGGTAAAACGGGTTTCTGTGGAGGAAGCTCTGGAACATCCGTACTTGGCATCATTGCACAACTTGGAGGACGAACCTGTTGCAGATAGCTGCTTCAGCTTCGACTTTGAAAAAGAAGACTTGACGGAATCTCGGCTCAAGGAGCTTATCTTTGAGTAAGTCTGTGTTTGCTGAAAACGTGTATAGCTGTCACGCCTTTAACATTTCGAAATTTTTCTTTCAGGGAGATCCTTAGAATCCACCCGGATGCACCACGCAGTCCGTTAAAAGCATCTCATGCAGGAATAAACAGCCCTCCGACTGAGCAAGTGCTTAGCCCAAGGTACTTACTTCTTGTAATTTCCTCTTCTGTCCACTTTGTAGCTGATCGCTTTGCATTCGTTCGTAATCTCATGTCAGTACGACTCGCTCGCACACACAGAACTGATAGCTTCAGTCCTGTGACGCATGCACACCATTACAAGGAACCGAACTAAAGCTCGAACAAAGAGTGACCAATGCTATTGACAAAAATGCAGAAACGAATTCCAGTATTTCTGAAATCAGCTTACGCTGCAGTTTGGGTCTTCTTGCGATCGTGATAGTTCGTCCAAGGTCCACTTCCCTTGGCATAAAAGTCCATCGGATATGAGCCCTCCTTCCACTGTGTTTTCTCCAGGCACACTTCCGCCTCGTACGCAGTAAGCAAAGGCTACAAAAGTGACAAGAGAACATTAGCATTGCTAGAAAACACTCCGTTCGTGGCTAGACTACCAACTCACCTTCGGGAAAGCGTAGCCCCAATCAATTGAAAGGCGAGGACACGCAATCTGAATCCACGCGTCAACGTCCTTAAACCGTGCAAGCTATATAAGTTCGCGATACATCGTTAGTGTAAGCAGCTACAGATCAACATTCAAGCATGCACAAAATGATTACCTTGTCGGGGAAAAGCTCCGACAGCAGAAGTACGAAGTATTCCTTGCCGCTCTGCTCCAGTAACTGCTTCACGTGGTCGAGAATCAGCGGGTTACCTTGGCGTCCTAGCGTTCCGAGCACAACGCCAAATTTCTTTGCTCCCTTGGCATGGTCGATGGCGGCACGACGAATTTCCATCATTTGCGGTAGGTCGTACTTTTCGATCGTGAGCACCTTCGGGTATGGATCGTAGCGGTACGCCTTCAAATTCGGATTCATAATCATAGCCGACTGGTACATTACAGATTGAGTTAATAATGAGAGTAGGTGGGGTCTAAAGCATCATAGCATACCTCGAGATGGAAGCGTCCGTCGGCAATGAAAACGAGAGCATCCACCCCGTCGATGACAGGGGAGGTGCAACCCAGCACCTCACCAGGAGACAGTGGTTTAACCTGAGGCACCACCAAACTCGTAAAGTATTCCTTCAGTCTCGAAGACACGAGGTGAATCGAGCTGCTGAACTGGATCGTCCCCATTAAAGCGAGCTGCAGACAAGCAAATAATTTTGTAGTTAGGCATATGCTGCAAAAATGACTGGATCAACAACTCATACCTTGGTTTCTGGTGGAAAAGTCAGCTTCATGCAATCGATGAGCTGCATCACACGCAAAACAAAAGTATTAGGCTTGAAAAATATATTGCATACGGTTGACGTTCTACGCTACGTACATGGTCGACGTCAATAGCAATGTCCACGAACACGTAGAGCATCTTGATCGACGTGACATCAATCGGTACGAGACAGCTGTGGCCATAGTGCACCATGAAGTCGGCTCCGAGCGCAAGCGCACTAAGATCATCCACGCAACAAGCGCCGTATGTAACCTGTAGCATCATACGCATCCGTCAGTATATTATCTCTTCTAATTGTACAAGCACATCAACGTACATCGCCCAGAATGATACTGTCGGCACCCGTGAAGCGCTCGATAATGTCCGAGATAACACAAGAGTAGAGCAGTAGGCCTTCAGGAAACTGCAGCGCCACACGCTTGCTGCCGGCCTGGCGGATGCGCCATACAGTCTTGCGGATCTCGAAATTGTAGTTCCACGGCAACTGCTCGATCGCTTTGGTCAGCTCTGGATCCTTCAGAATCTCTTCCGGGATCTGATTGGCCATGCGCCGCTTCAGTGCTGCAGCTGAAGGTTTGCGCTTAGTCTTGGTCTTGGTTGCGACGAGCTGCTGAGCGCCGCACCTGCATCCATTTGACCAAGGCATCAGATTAATCTCTTCGTCCGTTGCAGCCAAACGTGTACGTACCCATTATTCTGGCATTCAGCGCCGCTGGACTGGCAGCAACCGTTCTCTGCAGCCTTGCTGTGGCCCGAGAAGCGCGGCGGCCCCGCAGCGACGGAGGTGTTGGTCTCTGCTCCCATGATCTTCATTGCTGCGAACCAATCGGCCCGATGGCTACACACCGGAACAAGAATGACGATCGTTTGTAGGTGTACCTACAAAAAAACCGGTTTGCTTCTGGAATTTACATCAACATTGTAGCTTAAAAAAATAATTGTTTGTAGGTTTGAACCTTAGACTCTAAGTGCTGGATGTCGCAATCAGCGAACCCACTTTGTACCACTCTGCTGAAATACTGCATTTTGATAGGCTGTTCGCAGTTGCGATATGGACGCAGACGGGCCGAGGGAGATGCGCTCTGACCTGTGTTGACCAATCCGCTCGAGTGTAGTGGCGGGAGCGGCTGCGATTGGACGTAATTTGTAGCCAGCTGGCGAGACCAACCTCCTCTTGATTTAACTTGAATTTTGTAAGGCCGAAATCCCCTCTCTCCCAGCCTTTACTTTGGCAAAGAAGACGACTGGCTCCGCCCCTTCACTTGAGAATCCGCGCTTACGTAAACGCTCCGTCGGTCAGCGCTCGATAAACGCTTCGCTCGTAATCAAGGACATCGCGCGCGTCAAGGTCAAGTGATCGATCATGGATGCCTTCCACAACTTGCTTCGCGAGGCCACGAACCCTCGCAACTCTGGCGGCTCAGGCTCATCCCCGCTTCCCACGCCCGGGAGCTTGACCCAAGCACTGCAGAACGCCGGCGGAGGCCACGCTATGGGTATGACGCCCCCGCAGCTCAATGGTAATGGTATGGGCTTACCTATGGGTATGAGCATGCCGCTGTCCATGCCCGGACTGCAGCCCGGCAACGCCAACGGGCTCGCGCCTATCCATGGCGGCCGCATGAACTCGCTCATGGGCGCCAGTTCGCCGATGTTTCCGAGCCTTGGTGGCAACGGCACACCTACCTCTATGTTGACCACCACGGGAGCTGCTACTGCTTCGACGACTGCCGCTGCTGCGTCTGCCGCTCCCGCCGCCGAGAAGAAGAAGACTACAAAGAAGCGCAAGGCTCCCAGCTCTAGCGCTGATGCCGAGTCAGGGGAGGACGGCCGCAAGCAGCCCGAAGAGTACGAGGACCCCAAGGCCAAGCGACGTGCGCAGATCGCCAAGGCTGCCCGTAAGCACAGACAGCGCCAGAAGGACGAGCTGATTGCGCTGCGTGCCAAGGTGAAGGACCTGAAGGAGCAGATCGAGGTGTTGCAGTCGTCCGAGCCGTCGGAGCACAACACGGAGCTCGGATGGAAGCAGGAGGCCGAACAGCACGCCGAGATTCGCGCTCGCGTGGACCAGGAGAACGAGTTCCTGCGTAAGACGTTGATGGAGCAGATGAAGTTCATCCAGAGACTGCAGGACTACTTCACCAAGCAGCCGCTGCTCAACATGCCGTCACTGGACATGATCCTAAACTCGTCGTCATCAGCATCCACTACGCCGGCTGCGCTGTCCAACACAATCTCAGCCGCGCCGTCGGTGTTGCAGCTACAGTCTGGCTCGTTCCGTGACCGGCTCATTGAGATGGCTAATGAGGCCATGACAAACTCGGAGAAGCAGTTGACTGCCTGCGAAACAGCCTTCCGCAATCCCAAGACGTCCACTATGACGTACTTCGGCCTGCAGGTGCAGTACGAGATGGGCAAGAACGAAATGGGCATCTTCTTCCGCCACCACCTTTACGGTTGCAACTCGAGTGTAGTTATGAACGACCTGTGGTCGGTCATTGGCGACGTCAGCTTCGAGAAGGGTTTTGCGTTCACCGAGACGGCTGAGATTCTAGAGGAGGTGGACCCCAACACCAAGTACATTCGCCGAGTGGTGAATCTCACCATGTCCAACGACGCGGCTGTCGGTGGAGGCATGATGAAGGAGGAGAGTCTGACTGTCAACCAGAAACGCGACAACCCGGATGGCAGCGCGACAATGATCTCGAGGTCCGTTCTCGACGACCCAAGCCACCCCAAGTCGGCTGACCACCTTCGCCGCAACGCCACCACTGCGTACGTGACTGATTCTGAACAATCACTCGACTTTTTTTTTTTATGGATTTCTAACTTTTTGTGACTTTTTGCTGCATTTCAGAGTATCACTCAAGAATTTTAGCGACACGACCGGCCAGGGATGTCTTCTGTTGTGGTCTGTCAAGGTCGAGCTTGACAAGGACCCGGATGAGCGCGCCAAGAGCTTTAACATTCCGGACATTATCCTGAAAAACCTGTTCGAGGTTGCTCCTGTATTCGTCAAGGGCATCGTGGACCGCGCGCGCGGAACGCTGCCCCAGAGCTAAGTCTGCCGCGGATGGTAGACATTCCAATAAGATGGCACGAAGTCCAACATGTACGTTTCTGAGTTCGATGCATGTCCTTTACCGACAGGTCAATAGTAGCGTACCTGAAGGGTAAAGACACAACAAGCAAAGACATTTTGATTTACTCTCGAATTGTACCATCCGAGCGTACGTCACCAATAGCGCCTATCACGCCTATCACGGTCTCGTTCTCGGTTCTCATTGCGATCGCGGCTTCGACTACGATGGCGTCGGTCTCGGCTCCGGCCTACAGGACTACGATTGCGTCGGTCCCTCTTTTCACAGCTTGGGCTGCGACGACGTCGGTCTCGACTGCGACTGCGCGCACTGGTCGCTGCTGGTGAACGGATGCGTCGCCGCTTCTCGCTGTCACGACGGTCGTGGTCCTGCGAGGCATTGCCTGTCACTTCTTCTCTAACCTCCTTGGATGCGGGTACTGAAGTAGTCGATGGCAATTCGGTTGCGCTTTGGGGTGGTTGGTAAATGGCGCTGGTATTAACTAACAGTGTCAGAGCTTTGTCATGATGATATCTAAAAGAATTTCCCCCTTTCGCGCACCTGTACGACTGCTGCAGACGAGCGAGTGCTGCAGCCTCACGCTCAGCTTTGGACGCTTTCACTTTCTGCAGCAGAGCCAAGTGAGAAAAGTGCTCAACCAACTGATGCTTTATCACTCACCTTCTTCCGCATGCCAAAATCATCGTAGCCATCTTCCCCGACCTCCGTTTTAGCCGATGCGACTCTATACGGAGCATCACTCACGTTAGATCATGACCACCATGCTCATCACTTACATCATCTCACCGTTCCTGACGCTCGTTGAAGCCACCACCGGCACCATCGCGTTTCTCGTCCTATTGATACCATCAAAACAGTGTAGTATCAGCATCTTCATATCCCCTTCAACCACTCAGACAAGTACTCACCAGTCCTGCCATCCCTGGCTTGGAGCTTTTGCACATATTGCACTCGGTGCGTCGCTCCCAATTCACATTACCACATCTACCACGAGTGGATCAATAAGTTCTCTTTCAGGCTCACTCATCAATTCTCCAGCTCTTACGTGATGCACGTCCAATCTCCAGGCTGGAAAAGCCCCGGGGGACCTCGGAAGTCGGTTCCTCCTTTGGTTTTGGCCTTATCGCCGCCCACTCCTTCGGGTCGGGGAGTCTGACAGCGATTGCACGCATTTCGACGCGCAAAGTTGATGTTGGAGCAGCTACAGAAGAAGGGCAGTGAGTATCGACTAACAAGAAAGGAGAACATGAAGGTGGTGCAGAATATACCCAGGATTGGGGCAGGCCCAGTCCCCGTCCGACATCTGGAAGCCTCCGCGCCCGCCGTGGCCTGCCATCGATGGATTCAACGAAAAAGTAGGCGCGAAATAGTTGGATATGCGCTCAGATCTGATTCCTTACAAAACTTAAGCCCACATGACTACACTATTCTCCATAGACGTCGCTGACGGCAGTGGTGGTGTCAGCTTCCGCCTCTTTCGACGACTCAATTGCCTCTTCTTGAGCAAGTTGGAACAGGAAGACTGCGGTCTCAAACGCCAGCTGCCGATCCTGAGCATCTCCTGCGATCACCAAGCGCTCGAAGGTCTGCTGCAATTCCACGAGGCGGTGATTGGCGAACTTGTGTCGGATACTCGCGAGCTGGGACTCATCTAGCCGCTGGAATTTATATGTCGAGTAGTCTTTCAGTGCCTTGAGTTGACGTAACGAGGTCCGCACGCCCTGCGCTGCGTTAGGCGACAGCTCCTGCAATGCCGCTTCCACTGACAGCAGCACCTCGTCCAGCGCCGTCTCAAAGAATTCCTGATCACATGATTACTTGAGCCTTAACTTTTTTCTTTTGTTCATAGCTAATAATCCACGACTCACCTTCAACTCGTCTCCATCCATCCTTTCCAGCAGCTCAAACGCTCCGTTTGCGCTGCTGAACGCGAACGCACCAGCCATCGGACTCGTGTCGTCGTCCTCTTCCAGCTCGTTCAGCAGAGCAATACTCTCGTCCAGCAGCATCTCAATGTCAAGAATAATGTCCTCTTCCTCTTCGAGCGCAGCTGCTTCGCTAATAGCGGCCTGTAACTCGTACTGCTTGAGAACCTTCTCGACCTTGAGATTCTTCTCCGATTCGATAACCGCCAGCTCCTAGAATGACACCATTTGATCAGTTTCAGCCTGCATTCCATTACGCTGACATCGCACAGCTATTGAGCCTTGTGGCGGGAAAGATGACAATGAAGGACCCTTCCTTGCCAAGTATCTCTTAAGGGTCTCACCTCTACATCAATGTCGAGGTTTTGCCTTGCATGTGGTGGCGGCACTGCGAATCCAGGTCCCAAACCTTCGCAAAAGGGTCCGTTCAAGCTGCTACAAGTTGCTACACCCGTTGCAGAGCACACGATTGTGTCTGCAGCAGCCCAAGAGGCCACAACGATAGCCACGAAAATCTTCATTATCAGCCCAAATTCGAAAGTGAAGCAAAAAACACGTTGCAAATTGCCGAAGTGTTACATTCAAGTCACATAAATGGTGTATCTTTAGTGTTCAACGATTCGTGCAACATTCGCACTCTGTCGCCGCACCATCAATCGCTAGCCGCTCGCTCAAGCCTCCGGACCATGACCATGCGCGTGCTCTCCGCCTCGAGCGCCATCAAGACCCACGTTGCACGTACCACCTCGTGCTGGGTGCGCGCGTCTTCGACACTCGAGACGCCTAGCTCCAAGCCCACGCGCTCACCTACTGCGCTGGGCCTCGTGCCTCGTCGCTCCAATGTGCCAGAGGTGCGTGCGTGTCATTTAATTATCTACTATTTGAGATTATAATAACGATTATTACTTATTTATGGCATCTGTAGCCTCCTATCGATATTCAGACCGCTCTAAGCAAATGCAAGGCCCAGAACGCGCGCAAATTCGATGAGGTGGGTGTCAGAATCGAGTAATTGTGCTTCATTGAGTTTCGTTGGTGATTGGACGACTTAACATTGCGTGGTGATTGCTATTGTAGACCATTGACTTAGCAGTCCAGCTGGGCGTGGATCCGCGCAAGCCCAACCAGAGCGTGCGCGGCGTGGTGAGTCTGCCGAACGGCACTGGCAAACCAGTTCGCATTGCCGTGTTCGCCCGCGGACCCAAGGCTGAGGAAGCCAAGGCTGCCGGCGCTACTATTGTGGGTGCCGAGGATCTCGTGGAGCAGGTGCAGAGCGGCAAGCTGGAGTTCGACCGCTGCATTGCTACGCCCGATGTGATGCCGCTTGTGGGTCGTGTGGCTCGAATTCTTGGCCCTCGCGGTCTGATGCCCAACCCAAAGCTGGGCACGGTGACACAGGAGGTCGGTGATGCTATTGCGGCGGCACGTGGCGGTCAGGTGGAGTTCCGCGCTGAGAAGAAGGGTATCATCCACGCTGGTGTAGGCAAGATGAGCTTCTCGGAGGAGGCGCTGCTTGAGAACGTGCGAGCCTTCATGGTCGCACTCAGCGACGCCAAGCCGGAAGGTGCAAAGGGCAAGTACATTAAGGTAAGTTGTCGGCTTAACTCCAGTATTATTGAAGTCAGCGTCATACTCAGACTCTGTTTGTTGTAGGCTGCTCACTTGAGCTCCTCGATGGGCCCGAGCTACAATTTGGACATCAAGTATCTGGATCCGGCCTCGACGTCTTTCATGCGCTTCGAGTAAGCTGAAGCACGCACCATCCTGCTTTTAGAAGAGCCGTCACCCGTAGACAGCAACAGAATGTGGTCTAATAAAGAGACCACTGTTCACAAATTCCATTTTTGCTCCGTTTTGTGACACTCAAAATTAAGTTATCTGTGATCATATCCGCACATGCTCAGAAGGCAAATGACGGAAGAACTACGCTACTACGCGCGCTCGGAGCGCCACCTACAGGCACTACAGGCGTGGCTTGAGGCCTCAATGCCCTCGTACCCCGCCTCTGTGGCTTCTGGTGGCACAGATCCGGTCCAGAGCAAGCTGTTTCCACTTCTCAAGACGCAGGAGCTGGGTGGCGTCGTGCTATACAGCCCCTCGCTGGGCTCGACCCAGACGCTGCTGCGCGAGACGATCAAGCCCGCTGCACCTGCAGGTGTTTTGTGCTACACGGAGCTACAATCGAGCGGAAAGGGCCGCGGCACCAACACGTGGTCGTCACCCGAGGGATGCCTTACCTTCTCCTTCCAAAGCGTCTTCACGGACGGCACCACGCTACCCTTCGTGCAGTACCTCGTCTCGCTGGCCATCATTAAGGCTGTGGAGGCAGTGCACGCCGCAGTTCCCGGTAGTGCTGGCCCTGTGAAGATCAAATGGCCCAATGACATTTATGCCAACCAGGTCAAGATCGGTGGAATTCTCTGCCAGTCCGAATACCGCGACGGCAAATTCAGTGTCACCACAGGT